TTTCCTTTGATATTTTTCCTGTCTTATCATTACTCTCCCACTAACGGTGTAACTAGACGAACACAGGTCCCTGAGTCTTTGGACACATCAGCACTGGTTAAAACGGGAACTGAATAGCTCCTGGGAATGGAAGCGCCCTGTTGCATTTCCTGCATCCTTCCTACAGGGTTTCCATTTTTAGTTTGGCCTTTGTGGGCAGCAGGAGCATGCTATCGCCAGTCTGCGGAACAGGTCACGGCTTTTCTCTGACATAATAGTTCGAAGTAAATTATCGTCTATGCAATATAATTTATCTTATTTCCATTAATGGGTCCTCTAATACTGGTTTGCTTTAAAAACTCCTGCCTACTCCTAGGGTCCAGGGATATACTGCCGTTTATCCAGTCCAGTTTTGTATCCACACTAAGAAAGGTGCTAGATTCTTCTGTACATTTAGACATTCCCCAGTGCTTCCTTATTTACACAGCCATAGACACCCGGCATTGAATGGAGTCTGTCCCGAGCACATTCATTTGCTTGTGCATCCTTTTAAGAAATCATGCAGCTGAACATACTCAGTTAATTCAGTCTCATGTTCCCTTTTTCTCCGTAGTAAATTAACTGCAACAGCATTTTCCTTCAATGCCATGGAGTCACTTTTAAAAACCACTTTTGCTTTTGATGCGTTAAAAATTTTGCAGAGAAGGAGCTCACTAGTGCACCTGATTGTTTAGGTGGATTGTTGTCCGGACTCCATAGGCCGGCGCAGCAGCGGTCTCAGCTAACCGAAGCCGGCAGCTTTCCCCCGCTGCCCTGGAAATGTATGACATTTCCCCCGGGCTGCAGAAAGCCCTCTTGAAGCTTGAAGTTCTTTTGGGAAACCCACATTCCACTCTTTAAACCAACATTTTTTGGCAAGCCCGCCGTTTAAGAGTGCAGTGGTCGCCCCGTGAACCCACAGACGCCGGCACCCGGTCCCTACAGTTGGAACACACAGCCCAGCGCAGAAGGCAGGCATAGAAACGGATCGTTATTCACCAGGGTGTCCAAAGCTGTCTTAAGAGCAAAATTGTTCCAATTTTATTATAAAGCATCCTCCATTTCTTTTACGATAACAAAATAATAGTGCAAAGCCTAAAAGTCGAAAGCTTAAAATTGGAATTTCTTTTATAAACAGAAATTGGTGTTTGCCTTTTTCACCTTCCCCCGCCCCCCTTCCTTCTGCAGGAAATACAGTCAACAGTATTGTAGGAGGTTTGCACGGTGACAGGTTAGTCTCAGAATTAGTGGGGTGATCCCATTTTAAGGTGTAGAAATATTGAATCACTCTATTGTACACCGGAAACTAATACTGTATTCCAGCTCGATTTCAATTTAAAACCTTAAGTGAAACATTAGTGTTTACTTTCAGTGTGTGGCTTGTGGCGATCACCTCACTCCCTTAAGGCCACCGCCGGGGATGTGGGAGGACCCCCGAGAGCGAGGGGTGAAAGGCAACAGGCAGATGCAACTCCGCGGGGCTGAACAGGCCCCTCGGCTGGCCACGCTCGCGCGTTTTCTAACCCCACCTGTGGTTATCCGCTCCCCCCAAACCCCCCAGTGCTGACGGCCTGGGCGGAGCTGGTTCTGCAGGGCCTGTTTGGCCTCGCTGTGACTGCGTAACAGGCCTACAGCGCGTCTGCCACCTGCCCTTCCTACGTTCGCCGTGGCGTCTGAACCAAAGAGCGTTAGAGCCAGAAGACAGGGATCTTCTCTTCTCGTTTTATAGGGAAGGAAACTGAGCTGTGATTACGCTACATGCCCAGGGTCACATCATTTCTAGGATTAGGACTTAATTCGACATAAGGATGAAAACATTCTTGGCGACCCTTAGGGATGACTTGGAGGCACATCCTGGCAACGTCACGTGGCAGGCAGGGCATGGGAAATAATTTCAGTCGTGCGATGTTTTCCTCTCCTGCTTGTTCTATGATGGCAGAACCCCAATAATTTTTTCCATATATACCAACAGAGGGTAGAGTCTTTTAAAAAGTGATTAAAACAAAATAAAGATGAGTAACTGAATGTGCGACCGATTTTCATCCTGGCGGGTCTCCCGGTGGCGGGGTTGGCGGTGGGGTCAATCCTCCGCCTCCCGTCATGCTTCGCGCGGTCACGGACCGGGCGCCTCGTTCAAGTTCAGGTGCCAGCAAAACATGCCAGGCACAGGCTGGGTTTTTCCTCTCATCTCTCCAGCGACTCTTTGCTCTGCCTTTTACGGTGGAAAATCTCAGCTGCCCCTAAATTGACTGCTGACGTCTTTGGGTCTAGAAGTGACCTCCGGAAAAACCACAATTGTGGGCTGTGCCTATATAGGGGGGGAAAAAAAGACGCCTGTGATTCTGTACGGAAGCCAATTCCAAACTTAGATCCTTGCAAGGCGACAGCCGGAGCCAGCTGCCCGCTGCCCTGTGCGGAGACGCTGTTTATTCCTGAGAGCGGAGGGCGAAGGCGCCCTCGCCCCAGGAGGCGCGCTCTCCTGGAGCTCGGACCCCGGCGGGACCTGTAAATAAGTAATAGGCTGTCCTGTTTTAAAGACAGACCTCTTGTTTCTCTGCTGTCTCCGACTGGGAGAAGCAGTTTTACCTGTCTTCACTGGCCCCATCACACAAAGAGTTAAACACCGCGGGCTGCAGCCGAAGTCTCCACTTTAAAAATAGAAACTGCTGCTGCATTTCGGGCCCTTCCCCCGCCCTGCACCGCACCTACCACCTATCCACCGGCTCCAAGGCTGCGGAGTCAAGTTCAACGTGGAGGCCATTCCCCCACCGAGCCCACGGGAGTCTTTGTGAAAGTCCGAAGGGAAGGAAAACATAGTTAGCATCCAGTCGCTGGTATTTCCTGTGGCCAGAGCGCCTGCTCTTGTGACACCTGGCTGTCGCAGACAGGCCAGCGCGCTATGCCCGCAGACAGTGCTGTGGAAAGGAATTGCCTAAAGCAGACCCCCTCGAAAAGAAGGCTAGCGAGGATAGAGGAATGTTCTCCTAAACGAAACGCTAGCTGGGCTATTCTGACCAGTCAAGGTTAGTAGCGCGGCCATTGCAAGTCTGCTGGCTCCTGACGTGAACTCCATTGACCTGTGTTTGCAAATACTAACTTGAACCCGGGGGCGCTTCCGAGAAGGCAGATGCGGACATGTCACGCACAGCATGGCACAGGGCCGCCCTGCGCTTTCCCGCGTTCGCGCAGGAAATGCACCTGCCCACCCTGTTGGGTGACTGTATTAAACTCGCAGGCCTGAGGCAGCTCCGCCCTTCCATCTCAGCAGGTGTTTCTAGGGGATATGGAGGCAAGGAAAGATGTTGTTAAGCAGGAGGAACTGTTTGTAAGCAATTAAACTTGGCAATTTTGAATCATTTAAATTGGACCAGAAAGTACGAGGCAGGTGGAGAAAAGAACATGAGCAGAACAACTTTTTTAAAGTGCTTGCCACAAACTTAGTCGTTTTTATAATAGGAACACATGAAAGGTAGAAAGGAGAATGGCACTGGACCAAAGAGGAGCTAAGTGAGGAAATTAATTTTAGAGAGAATAACCGAACTTTCATTTTAGTAGAATATAAACACGGTTGATGATGGACTTGAAGTTTGGAAACGAAGATTCAGGGATAAAAATGACCCTCCACTGCCTCCCAAATTGGAAGAGTTGAATTTCTATGTGACGGTTGGAGTCTGAAGAGAACTGATAAAATTATTATAAAATTTTAAGACATCCAAAGCATATTTTTTAACAGGATGACATATTATCCTTTCTTTAAAAGATCAAGGAAGCAAACTAATTCTTTTTCCTCAATCCAAATTACGTTTCCTTTTAATTACTTTTGAACGATGCAATTATCAGCAAAGATTAAGAACAAATTAGCATGGCTAGAAAGTGGCTACCTACAAAGAAGGCAATTGAACAATTCAACCCGCGTTGACTGAGGACTGACTCCGGGCACAGCGCTGCGCCGGGTGCTGGGCGCTGCGCCGGGTGCTGGGCAACAGTGGTAAATAGGCTCAAGGTCCTGGGAAGAACGCCTGCGATCAATTAGTGTAGAACCAAGAGCTTTCCATTCCTCCTGAAGTGAAGTGACCACCGCCCACCCAGGCACTTGACCACAGGACGAGCAACATAAGAGTTAGAGGACGTGATAAAGAATTTAAAAACCAGTAAAGTACTCCACCTTGATGCGTCTCACCTGTCCTCAGTGAAGAGCGATTCCAGAAGTTGAAAATGAGCTATAATGTTATGTTAAAAATCTAATTTTATGTAAAGAAAATACAGTTTTACACCTTTTTGATATAGCTTAAATATATTAAAATTAGAAAAAAAAAGGAATGTCCCATGCTTTGATTTAAAAAAAAGAAAAAAAGAAAAAACTTAGGGACCTTCTTAAGATATAGTTTCAAATTTTTTCCAGCACTTTTAATGAGACTATAAATAGGCCCAATCTTGCTGGAGATAACTTGATGATGTATGTCAAAAGTTTAAGAATTTACACTGAGCAGATAATTAGACACAGTCACAAAGATAGGAAATACTGTTGATTCCCTAAACCTGAAAGCTGCCTAAATATCATTTAATAGGGGATTAACTAAATCAATAATAATAAGCCTATAGAATGAAATATTGATATATGTTATATAGTAGTCATTTGGATGTAGTAGAATTGTGTTTTGCGACATGGAACCCTCACCCTATGATATCCATCAGTGGAAACAAAGAGAGAAAAAGCGATCTGAACAGCGTGGCCGCATCGTGCTTAAGACGACGCGGCACTGGGGTTGGTGCGGGGCCAGGGACGGACTGTGGACTGGGGAGTCGCCACATGGATGTGATGATGTCCCTGACTTTTGACCGTTCCTTAGCTATTGAGTTGGCCAAGAAGTCAATTTAGGGTTGTTTTTCCTGTAAAATAAAAAAACACCTTTTTCATTTTCACCAATAACTTTATTGATTTGGATATTACGAGTATGTTGGCTCTCTCCCACATGGTATAATGTCAGTTGTTCTCAATTAATGTCTTGATTTGATCGCTATCCACTTCAACTAGCCTACCAACGGTGGGGCATCTTCCAGCGAGAAATTTCCAGCCCAAAACTTTGCAAACTATTTTGAAACATTTGATTAGTCATGGCACCTTCTCCATATGCTGCACAAATTTTTTTCTTTGCGTTTCAATTACATTTTTACTTTTCTTGAAATTATAAAGCATAATATGCCAAAAATGTTGCATATTTTCTTCCATCTTCAATGTTAGAATGGCTACACAAAAATTCACCAGTTTTGATGTTTTTTTTCAATGCACACTGATATGAGAGCTGTCACAATACAATTTAACAAAATTGTTTCAAATGAAATTAAGGACAAGTAAGTGCTACTAGAACCATCCTACGGGGAAAAACTAAATGAACTTTTTGGCCAACCCAATATTGGTATCTCCCGCAGGTATGTAGGCAAGAGGAATGAGATGAGCTAAGGCCACGTCATCTTAAATAAGTTAGTCAGTCTTCTCTTTAGAAGATGCAATCAAAAACTCATGGGCAGGTGTATGGAAATGATTGTTTCAAACGGAAGGTGGATTGCATTGTCATAGTTCAAATGTGTTTGGTCAGATACTAAGTAGTTCACACTCACTACAATCCTATGCCCTAGGTAGGATGTCCTCTTTGTGGAGAAAACAAGGTCCAAAGTTTAAATAACTGCCAAAGGTCACATAACTCATATCTGTGCTGGAATTGGAAGTTGGGTCTATCTGATGAAGGCCAGTGAGCTGTGTCCACGGCACCAAAGATCAGTAATGAAGTGTCTTTCCCAGAGCAGCGCTGTTGTCAGAAAAACGGCTTAAACACTCTTTCTTTCTTGATTTTGGAAACCACAATCTGTTGAAAATTTAGTCTTTTTTCTTGAGATAAGCCACACAGTTCTTTCACTTACCTGTGTTGCTGTTTTTCTATTCGGCCCACACACTATCTCCTTATGAAATAATGGGGGCTCTAGGCCTTGAACAAGAAAACCGTGAGCGTGCTTGCACGTTCTTGTAATTCAGGATATTTACCTGAAGTTCCCAAGGCCCAGAAGAATCTGGTGGTTTCAGATCTGGACTAGTATGATGCTGAGGGAACTTTCAGAGAGGCGGAGGGAGTGGAGAGGCAAGGACAGTCCCCACCTTTGAAGAGACAGGTTTTGATAACACATCGCTTCCCTTCGTATCAACCTTGTCCTCCAGAATTTATGTGGCTCCTTTCCTCTGACTCATCTGGTCAACAGAAGAGTAAACAATAGAGATCAGCAAATGCCTGGCGATTTTTAATTATTTTGTCAACTTGTGAGTAGGCGTGAGCCAGAAGTTGTGGGGCCTGAAGCTTCTCCATATTGGGGGATCCTCTTTAAGAAAGATCACATGAAGTTACACACAGAAGCTTAGAAAGTGCCTGTGCAATTGGGGGTCTTAATGGAAGTTTCATTGGCTGGGTGGTAAAGCCACCTCCATAGGAAGGAGAATGGCGACTTAGTACTTTATAGAAAAGGGAGCTACGCAATGTATTAGCTGCTTGCACTCTGCTTCATTAATGAAGACGTCACTGCTCCTAACCTCGCCAGTGAGGCTACAGCCCGCTCCCGTGTGGGGCTCAGATGGGGAGCAGCCAAAGCATTCCTAAAAAAGCAAAACTGTTTCATCACAGCCGTGGGCAGAGATCAGATTGTAATACTTTCGTTCCATTGCAGGGCACACATTGTAAGGGGAAAAATAAATAAAGTTTGGACCAGCGATTTCTCAAACAAGGGTGGTAATAAGGAAAGGCCATTTGGAAAACAAATCAGATTTTCAAAAGCTGCTTTTCGTTTTGAAGGTGAAAGGTCATGTTACGAGAAGCTCCGAGCTCCTTAAAATGGCCGAATAGAGCTAGCGAGTGACAAGTCATTTTTTTATGCTGATAAAAAAAGAGAGATGAGCCGGGTTTACCTCAACAGCGGCTGGCTAGAGGTGCCCTGGGGAGACGGTGATTTAGGTACGGCGCGGACCCTCACCAAGCCAACCGTGTGTATCCAGGGACGCGAATGTTTTTGCTCTAGCGATGGGATGTTTACAGATCAGGACAGGCTCTCCCCCTGTAAATTAAATACCAGATGTCTGGGAACTAGTGTTGTTGCTAAATATATTCAGAGTCACCTCCTGGGTAGAGACAGAGAAACCATAAGAGCAGGCATTTGATCAGAGTGGTGAAATTATGAGCGCAGATACTTTGTACAACGATTTTCACACTGAATAATTTATCCTAAAGAGTTCAATGGAACATTTTAAAAAATCTTAGATATCAAATAAAAGTCTAACAAGATTGTAAATTGACTGAATTGTTGTATATGGAGATATTTATAGTTTGTTTCGTTTTGAGAAAGCTTGTCAATCTTTGTAATATAAAGCATATTTGTACTGAGAGCTGAGATATTTAGTATTGAACGCACTTGACTAGAAATGCCCAGCTGCTAAATTTCAGATTCTGGCGGGGAGAACTGGGGAGAGGTGAAGACTAAGTTCAGCAGAGAAACTGGAACATGAGAGAGTACCCTTTAATTCTCACCTCTTTCCAGATTAATTACAGAAATTCTCCTAATGATTTAACAAAGAAGCAAGGAAGGAGGGGTTTGCTGGGGAGTTGAGTAAGCAGAACTCAAACAAAAAATGTTTTTAAAAAGTTGAATAGCATGCATGCACTGTAAATTACTCCTTTAATAAACCAGCCTATATTCATGCCATACAGCTTGCTTAGGAAGAAAATGTAGCAGCCATTGTTGACTGTTGCCTGAAATACATTTATAAGCCATGCAATTGCTTTATATAGTTTATTTAAGCCGATAGCACTGAAAATCATTCCAGGTAATAGAGGCTGTTATTTATGGCTTGAGCTTCCTTCGTGTAGGAGGCAAAAAGGTTGCCCCCTAAAATTCCTATTAAAATCTCCCTCATTTGTCAGCTCTGGTTCAACGGAACGCTAGGGTGGGTTGGTTGTGCCTTTCCGTAGGAGGCCCTAGAAGCTCCTGCCTAACCCCCTCTCAGTCCTGTCCCACGGGTAGTGCTTCCCCATCTCGCGAGGACGCGGGCTCTCCCGTTGACGTGATGCGGGGAGGCCACGGCCCGGGCCTGCCTGGCCAGCCTTTCCTCGGCTCTAGACCCCACCGGCTTCCTCCCGTCCCTCTGGTCTCCTTCGCGGGCTCTCCTGCTCTCGCCTGCCCCCTGCTGGGCGCAATAATGACAGGCCACAGGGGTCCCGCGCAGTGAGCAGAGAGAGCTGGGCTCAGCCCAGGAAGGGATGCGGCAGGGATTTCTTGTGCCTCGGTCTCTGCCTGATAGGCCAAGGGGTCCCTTCTCCAACATGGGATGTTTTCCTTGGCTTTGTGACTATCTACCTGCCTGCCCTTTCCAGCAGGTTGCTGTGACGTTGAACTGCCTTTTCATGCCAGTGTTAGTCATAGCAATAGAAGTAACAACATACACGTATGCAGGCTCTGGCTTCAGCATTCCCGCCCCCCCCGTCCCCCCTCCCCCCCCGCCCCGCCACCATGATAGACTGAAGTGTTGGCGCTGAAACAATTGGCGGAGGGGGCAGAGAGCTCTGTGACAGCCTGGGAGGCACCCTGGGGGCTGGGAGAGCGGTGGCAAGTTCAAATACTTTGTTTCTCTATTTTAGCCCTGTGCGGCCCATTTTCTAGACGACCCTTTTCTTTCTTACCCTTCTTTTCTCCTTTGTGAACACCAGCAAGCAAGGCAGAATGGGTCAGAGGGCTGACGCAATCGTTCTGATGGACAAACACAAGCGTGTGCAAAAGAGGACTATCAAGTTCCTCATAGACGCAAATACAGTTAACTTTGCGGCCCCTTAAAGGACTTCAGAATATACTAGAAAGACTTGCATCCAGAATGAATCCGAAGGCCATTTCTCCAGGTTTCCTCAGTCCTAGCCTCTGGTTAATTGCCACGGCAGCTAATGAGGAAGGAAGAACGGCTAGTGCCAACCGATAGCCCCGTTGGATCGAGCAGACAGCTTTCAGAGATAAGCTAAGGGTAATGGGCTTCATTAAGCCTTGCTACAGGCAGGCACACATGATCATTATAAATATTAAAACTGATCATTTAAATGCAAACACATTTAAGCATTGATTACTTAAAACCTTATGACTGTACGGCTGCGCTGCTGATTAAACTGAACATAGTGGTTTCACGTATGCAATCTGTCTGGAAAGTAAATATTATCATTATCTTGTTTAAATATTCACAGTGAAAATTGATACGTCTTGTGAAGTCCGCTGAGTCAGTCCTCAATCAAGTTGTTTAATGATAAAAACAAATGGATATGTGTGTAAATCATTTGTAAAGCAGCAGCTTTTATCTTAGAAGCTGGAACGCGAAACATACTTATCCTCCAAAATAATATTATTTATGATGGTGACATTTGCATTTCATGCAGTGAGAATATAATGTTCCAAGTTCTTATAAACTATTATTTTGCCACCAAATTTTGTCCTATCAATGAATATTTATTGGTGTGGAATATTAATTTCAATTCTGCTTCTAATACATAATAAGAGCATTGCATATGGTAAATAATTAACACACAGAAGCTAATAATAATAACTCTTCTTTCAGTTGAAAATGCAAAGAATTGGGCTTCCATGCCACCTGCCGCGCTATCAGCACCGTTTCAGGCTACGGTGACAGCGCGCTCCTGGAAGCTGCGACGCGCCCTTTGTAGGGCGCACTGGCTGGTTGGTTACACGTTTCAGGGCCTGCAGGGCGCAGCGCCTCACAGCTCAGGGCAGGGACGCAGCGGGGCGCGGGGCGTGGAGGGGCGGCTGCTGCAGCCGCCTGCTCTGCTACAGGTACCAAAAATATTTGAGGGGGGAGGGGCCCTGTCTGGAAAACCTGGAGACAGAGGTGGGTTTTTGTTTGTTTGTTTTGGTGGCAGATCTAGTGACCTTAATCCTCCTCATTCTTTGATGCATAATTGCAAAGGTCCGATAAGGCTGGGGCAGGTCAGTTCCAGGCCGGGGTGCTGCTGGCTTTGGGGACCGCCCATCAGGACCCTTCAGAAAAGAATCCAGTCTCCTGGTGCATAAGTGACTCGGTCCCCTTGTGGGCCCGGAAGCTGGATAGTTTATATTTCACAGAACCAACCCTGATTCCAGGGTTTACTTGGGCTCAGAGATGTGTGTTTTCTTTCTTTTCCGGCAGGTTCCTGGGCAGATCGCTCGCCACTACACGAAGCCGCAAGTCAAGGCCGCCTCCTCGCTCTGCGAACATTGTTATCACAGGTAAAATATCACATATGCTTAAAATAGACCTCTCCCCGTGAGCAGAGAACACGAATCATCCAAAGCAATCAACTCAAATTAATACAACTGCTTCATCATTTTTTTTTCTTTTACTGATTCTAGAGAGGGGAAGGGAGGGAGAAAGGGAGGGAGATAAACATCATCGGTTTCTTCTCCCACGCACCCCGACTGGGGACCCCACCACAGTCCAGGCAGGTGCCCTGACAAGGACCAAGCCCCAAGACCTTTCCCTTGCAGGATGATGCCTAACCCGCTGAGCCACTCCGACCAGGGCTGCTGCCTAAGTTTTACTAGTCTTTTTATGGTAGCTCACAAAGCAGGCAAGGCTGTCGTTTTCCATTTATCTTTGAAATGTCTTGATAGATATTTTGGTGCATAATCTTCCATCTTAGCATTTCAGATTTCTCACACAGTCTATTTGTTTACTGACAGACATATTTAAGCAAGAAATAATTGGACTCGGGTATTATTTATCACGCATTTTAAATATCCTTTCCCTGTGCAACGGGTTCAGCTCATTGCCGACCTGGATCTGCCTAAACTACCCGAACAGGGGCAACCGGAGCGGACGCCTAGATCACCCGCTCCGTACAAGGTGACCGGCAGCACACGCTAGGGGCTGAGCCTATGAAAGCTCCGCACACGCCTGCTCCTCAGGCTCACCAGAGAGAGCTCTGGCTTGGCCTGCGCAGTCTGAACCTTCCCAGCAGGATTCAGCTGCACCCCCAGATCGGGAAGTCACAGTCCTTGCATTTCCCAGGATCAAAGAGAAGGATGTTGTCCCCGATGGCCTGGCGGGAGCAAGGGCGGTGAGGCCTGGGCTGCAGAGCTCCACCCCGGGGCTGGGGACCTCCTGGCCAGGCTGGCTGGCTCTAGGGGCGAACCCCAACCCCTCTGAGTCCCCCTTTCTCATCTGTGAAGGGAAGGTTTCGGGCGAGATGCCCCCTTTAAGACGTCCACTTTTCTGATAACCATGTGACTGTTTTGTGTGTTCATCACATGACTGAAAAAAAAAAACAACCCACAAGAACATCATCCGTGTAAAGGGGAGCCCCCTGAAAGGGTCTGCAGGTCTTTGAGAGGCGAGAGGTCTTGGGATATTTTGTCACATGCATCTCATCATCTCCGCTGACAGGCCCGCCAGGGGGGTCAGGCGCTGCCTCAAAGCCCCCTGGGAAGAGGAATCCCAACCTTCCAGATGCTTCTGTCATCTGGCCACTCTAGAGTGCAGCACAGAGGAATTAGTTCCCCAGGTCTGACTGCTGGCCAGCCCCTCAGAGCCCTTGAAAGGATAATTTAAGGGATCTTAAAAATTGCCACTTATACCAGCGACGAAGATTTAGGGTGACTGTTTTCTTGTCTTCACTTGAGGATTCCTCACATCCATCAGGTATTACAGATCATGGTTCTCTGTAGTATGTTGTGGGGACATGGCCCCGAACATCTTCATTTATTATAGTGTTTAGTGTGATTGTCAGTAGGCAGTGAATTACCGAAAGTAGCAAGAAGGCAAAGAATCTCAGGTCCTAATAATATTTAATTATATTAGTCTGATATCATTAGTTTAATTGGGACAAAACCCTTCAAAGTGTTTAGTTTTGATTAAACAATAACATCAAACCTTTGCTATATGCTGGGCACTGTAACAGTAATTGCTTTCCTATGCATCCTCTCATTCAATGCTCGTGACGACACTAAAAGTCAGAGGTTAATGGACTCATCCAATTAAAGCAACCTCTGTCTTCCGGAGGAAGGCTCCCAACCCAAGCATGATCCCATGGGCAGAGCTCTGAAGCACCAGCACAGGACCTCATCAGACCTACTTTGTGACAAAATTTCACAGAGCAGGTTACTACAAGGCAGGGTGATTTTCCTCCGGCATGGGCCGACTGGCTAATTTTATAGCCCCAATCAAAGCGAGCGATCCAGACTCTAAACAGTCTTTAGTTCTACCAAACAAAACAATTTAAAAAACATTACCAACAGCAACCAAAACAATTTCTAAAGAGGAAAAAAGGTAACTAAGCAAAATTTAAATAATACCGTCAGAATCCACTGACCAAAATACTTAACACGATTTTGGGTTTGGGTGGGACCATGTGACAGGCACCGGGGGCCCAGCGGATTGACTCGGGCACTGAAACTGCCTTTCCTGCTAAACTCGCCCCGAGTGACCTGAGACTCCGTGGCTGCTTTGTATCACTTTTTAATGACAGTTGGAGAGATGACTTTATAGAGCTTTCTGCTCAGCCTTCAACATTATTCCTGTCGTATTTAGGGCTACAATGTGAATGCAGTGACCATAGACCATGTCACCCCATTGCACGAGGCCTGCCTGGGTGATCACGTGGCGTGTGCCCGGACTCTTCTGGAAGCTGGAGCTAATGTAAGTCCCTCTTCAAAACCTGAATGTTTTTACATCTCCTGAGCAAGCAGACCAAGCCAAGATCTCTTTCTGCCTCCCTTTCCTTCTTAGTAGTTTTCAAAGATACCAGAATAAAAATGAAGCTCTCAAATTGCCCCAGCCCTTTCTCATTTGCACTCAAAGAATGATTTCCAATCATAATATGGAATATCCTCTGGGCTGTTTCCTGCTTTCATGATTCTAAATAGCATTTTTTTAAAAATTTTATTTACTTACTTGTTTTTAGAGAGAGGAGAAGGGAGAGAAAAAGAGAAGGAGAGAAACGTCAATGTGTGGTTGCTTCTCATGTGCTCTGTACTGGGCACCTGCCCTGCAACCCAGGCCTGCGCCCTGACTGGGAATCAAACCAGCGGCCCTTTGGTTCACAGGCCGGCACTCATTCCACTGAGCCACGCCAGCTGGGGCAAGAGATGAACATCTTTACACCTATAATGTTTGCTCACCTTTTGGACGACTTTCTTTAGATAAATTCTCAGAAATAGAATTTCCAAGTTACACTGCCACCAGCAAAGTGGCTTCGTCACAACTTTTACCACCGTTAAGCTTGTTGCCTTGTTTGTACCTGACCATGGAATTGGTTTTTGTGTATTTGGTCCTTGAGTAGGTATTTTTCCATGACTCCTATTCCTTTATGTTCCCTCCTGGGAATTTTCCGCCCACCCTGTTTCTCTGCACCTCTTGAAGTCTCATAGCCATCCTTATTGATGCGTCTGAGCTAGATATACTTCGTCCCGTTCCTGCCATGCCCTTTCCCAATTCTGTCCGTGAGCCGATCACCTTACTTGTACCAACGCGTGCGGGGAGTCCCTGAGGTCCTCCGACCCTCACGCGTAGCTGTCGGTTGGGTGCAGGTCAACGCGATCACCATCGACGGCGTGACCCCGCTGTTCAACGCCTGCTCGCAGGGCAGCGCCAGCTGCACCGCGCTCCTGCTGGAGTACGGCGCCAAGCCCCAGCTGGAGTCCTGCCTCCCTTCGCCCACGCACGAGGCCGCCAGCAAAGGTGACAGCCCCGGGCCGGGGGCGGGGGCAGCGGGTCCCCGGCCCCGCGCAGTACGGGACGCGCGTGGGGGGCGGGCAGGAAGGAAGGGGAAACCGCCTCTCCTTCGCGCCCGCAGGTCACCACGAGTGTCTGGAGATACTGATATCGTGGGGCATCGATGTCGACCAGGACATCCCTCACCTGGGGACGCCGCTGTACGCAGCCTGCATGTCGCAGCAGTTCCACTGCATCCGGAAGCTTCTGTATGCCGGTAATAACCCCCAAAGCCTCTCCCGCCCCATCCATACCCGGTCACCCAGCTCTCCCCTGGTTTCTCTGCATTAGCTCTACAGGTTGCCTCTCACCGCTAAAATGTTCTTATGCTGAGGATTCTCATGCGTGAGTGTGTAACCAATTCAAAGAACCTCATTCTTCGCCTCTCCAAACCCTGCTTACATAGGTCATAGCATTCACATCTTCAAGGCTGAGTATGATGTTGTCAAATACGCCGATATCTGTGCAGGAAACCAGCAGAGGGAACTTTAAGGGTAGCAGCTGCTTCGGGAGCCTTAGCCCCCGCCAAACGCAACTCCTGACGCTTCCCCACTGTGAGCCCTCCCCGCTGACGCGCAGAGGGGAAGCCCTCGCCCTCTTGCTGGAGACCAGCCGGCTCCTCAAGGTCACCGTCAGCCCCCAGACACTTCTCCTGACCTCTGAGACCAGGGCGGCCTGTCCCACTCCAGGGCTGGCGCTCCCTTAGTTACAGGCTCTCTCCTTTCCCTGACACCTTCCTCCTGCACAGCACCTCTCCTGTGCTGGGCGCCTAACATCTACCCACAACGGGGAAATCGGTGCCTGAGCCTAGTATGGTGCGCGACCGTCCATTGGTCTCTGACACACCCTGACAGATCTTTCTAACCCCTCTGTTACTCCTAGCGTCTCAGCTGAAGGATGCATTTCTGGCGGCCAGCCTTCACCTGGGTCTCCCCCACCGCGAGCGAGACCCTTCGTCGGGAGGTCTGCTCCTTGTCGGCAGATTGCTATTCTCCCCACTGTGTTCTCCCATAAGTGTATCTAACCAGAAGAGTTTCTTCTCCATCACCTTTCTCTCCTTTGCTTGGGATATTTCCTTTCTGTCAACTATTTTATACTGGGTAAAAAAAAAAAAAAAAAATTCTGAAAAGGATTGTTGGTAATTGTGGATGCATTGTTATTCTCAGGCACTGTTCTCTCACAAAATTGATAGAACCAACAGAGTTTATGCTTTCTCTATGAAGGTTTTGCTGTACAATGTAATTTTTCCACTAAACATTTTACATTGGGTTAAAAGTATTGAAAAGGATTACATTTATTGAAACTTGAAAGTAGCAGGAGGGCCATAAAGGGACTGAGAATGCACTGCTTTGTATAAAGGTTAGTTTGACAGAATGTATCAGCAAATGGAGTTGAAAAGGACTATTGCATTTTTATTGATGGATGTTTCTTGGTGGTGTAACCATTTACGTACTGGAAAATGGGGTTGTTATTCTTTGAAACGTCAACGGCATTTATTCATCACACATGCGTTCAATGACCACCATCTGCCAGGGCTTACCCTAAAGTGAAAAGCTACACAATACGTGATTCCACATGTGAGGTGAAATCCACTGGATTTCTCCCCTGGTGTCTCTACATCAGCCGCTTTACAGATTGCATCTCACTGCTGAAGTGTTCTTATGCTGAGGATTCTCATCCTTATGTGTGAGTGTGTAACCAGTTCAAAGAACCTCATTCTTCGCCTCTCCAAATCCTTGCTTACATAGGTCATAGCATTCAGATCTTCAAGGCTGAGTATGATGTTGTCAAATATTCCAATATCTGTGCAGGAAACCAGCAGAGGAGCATGTAAACATTTTTACTTTGCGTGTAGAAATATAATGTGCCTTTCCAGTCAAGAAGCTCAGTGACTTTATGTATAAATCAACTTAAACTACATCAGTGAGAAACGACAGGAAAATCTATATACATTTTACCTAAAGAGCTCACATATCTAGAATCATGAGTTTTCCAAGACACAAAAGAGCTCTCTTGCCTTAAAATAAATGGAGAGAAGAAAAGCAATAAGCCCTTGAATAATCCCAAGAGCTGTCAATCATGATGAACATAGATAAGCCAACCTAATGGCTCACTGTGTATAATACACATAATAGTTACTATGATTAATTTTGGAACTGTTTAAAATTAAATTTTTATTAGTAGCTGTTTTCAGGATATAGAAGGTATTAGAAAATATAACAAATACGTGGGCTTCCACCAGATGAACCAAGTTTTATGGTACTATATATGCACCATATATGTATGCACGAAGCAGTCCCTTACAGAGGGGACTGCGGGCCCCTTTCTGCCACACCTTGCGCTCTGCCCTGAGGTGGCGCTTGGAACAATTTTTGTTGACATTCATCACCATTCCGATTGGCCTGCAGGCGCTGACGTGCAGAAAGGCAAATACTGGGATACACCGTTACACGCTGCCGCTCAGCAGTCCAGCACGGACATTGTCAACTTACTGCTAGAATTCGGAGCCGACATCAATGCCAAGAACACAGAGCTTCTGCGGCCCGTCGACGTGGCCACTTCCAGCAGCCTGGTGGAGAGGCTGCTGCTTCAGCGGGAAGGTAAGGAGGGTCCAGGCGCGCGTCCACGCCACAGAAATGTCTGCCGGAGTCGAAGACCTTTTGCTGGCATGTAAAGTAATAATGGCGTAAGACTGGGAATATGTTTTCGTGAAATGAAAAAGATAATCACAATGACTTTAATTTTATTTTTTTCACCTTACCTAAACTTTATAGTCCTTGGGTTAAGTTAAATATGTTCAGTTTTTGGCAATACATAGAATGTGTTTCTGTTTAGTGTCTGCAGATAAGTATTTGCAAGCTTTCCCTTTTTGATAGGGGCAGGCGCCTTCCCTAGTATGTTGTAGAAACATAATTGGGACATATTTCCACACTCAACACTTTTGTTCTACAACTGGATTTCTTAAGTCTGGTCAAAACACAATAACAACATTAGCTGTGGCTTAAAGAGTAAATCTCCCCTGAGGGAAAAAATTAAGAATTTCCTTCCATAGTGCATGACCACTTCTTTGATTTATGTCCTCTTCAAATAATGGAATCTGTTTCTGAGGTTTTAAATGCAACCGTCATTTCATAAGCCCACAGACTGAAATGTTTTACAGAACGTATATGGAATATACGGTCTCGGTCCTCATGAGATCTTATAATTATAGGCAGGATAAAGGCTTGTACGGATTTCCCTAGTACAGGGGTCATACTGCCCTAGTTTGCCACAAAGCCCTACAGTTATTTTCTGCGTTTGTGTCATGTGTCTTGCAACATATAAAACCTCATTTTTTAAAAAACTTTTAATCAGCACACCATTCCCTGACTTCCACAGCGACGCCCAGCTCCCTGAGCCAGCTCTGCCGGCTCTGCATCCGCAGCTACATCGGGAGGCCGCGGCTGCACCTCATCGCCCAGCTGCAGCTGCCCACGCTGCTGCAGAATTTCCTCCAGTACCGATGAAGCCGCCGAGGAGCTCCCGGCCCCTGTCCCGTCAGCGGGCTCTGTGTCATCTGTGTCATGCGTGTTTCCTAGTAAAATATGCTCAAGCTAGGCTAACGGTGGGTACGACACCCCCCAGGGAAGCAGCGAGATATGTCCATTGTAACTGTAAGTGTGCTAGTGGGTACGGTTGTTATAGGCTTTGTTGTTGTTTTGGGACAGAGTATATTTAAAATACCTATAAATTATTCCCATATACACCTTCGTGGAGTGAGGAAAAAGTGAGTTCTCCCTTTTATGTTTTTTAGAGTAAAAAAAAGAAAAATGTGAACTCTAACCAAAATTATTCACTTATTGCATTTAAAAAAGGTCTGTATTCTTTGAATAATACATTAACCTTTTATTTTTGGCCACTGTTATCGATTCTCTGTATTTTTGATATGAACACAAAATATGCGTCTGGTTTAGAAAAGAGCAGGGAACACACTCCTTGAGATGAAGGCCGCTCACTCGGGACACCCACCAGGCTGCCCGTGCGCTGTCCTCACAATGCTCGATTTGTCGAGAAAAGGAGAATCGTCCCCTCCTTGCAAAGGCCTCACCCGGCCCTTCTCCACCTTAAATGGACCTGGTCCAGGAAAGGGTAGGACTGAAAGTTACCACCGCTGCCCTCTCTCACCCTGAGGTGTGGAGAACATTACGCACCTGCTGCGGCTATTTTAAGGCCTCCTCTTTCTCAAGGGTAGCCTCTTTAGGTCTCTCTTCAGTGCTTTTAGACATATCACTCCAGCCTTCTTCCATTTCAGAAATTGTCAACAGCTGGTGATACCAGAACTGAAGCAAATGGACTTCGTATCTGCTCGATAAAGAGGCCCCGGGCACACCCCCGGGAAGCAGGGCCGTGCAAGGCTATAGAAAATGGAAGAGTAAAAATTCCTTCAGTTGTGGGGTGCCACTTAGCAAACTTTCAGAAGCCTTAAAAATGTGCCCAATGTGTAGACATTACTGGTGGCATGTTTAATTTTTCCTACACAAAGCAAGGGTTCAGCACACACTGTCTGGGTAAGGGAGCGTGGGATCCAAGAAGATAGCACTAAAATCGTGTCCCCTGCCTGGGTTAGACTTTGTCTATTCTCTTCTGCTTTAACTGTATTCCAGTGCAATATAAAACATAATAAAAACATTTTATGTTTCCTCTGTAATTTTAGGCCAGATTCCAGTCTATTACGGATTTAGAAATAAGATAATCAAGACATTCACAGGTCTGTGTAAAGTAGAAGAAAATGTTTTGATGAGGTTTTAAAGTTTATCAGATTTTCATGAAATAATGTGACCACTGTTTTAATAACCCAGAGGCCCATTTCCCTTACTTTTTAGTTCTTGGCTGACTTCCAGAGACCCATGTGAAATAAACCATTATTGTATGTAATTCCCAGGTCATTAAGAATGCATTTTTAAAAAAGCATTTGTTTAGATTTTTCAAAAATAGAAATAAGGCCATAGCAGGTTTGTTAAAATGTTTCTTATGTTACTAGAGACTTTGAAATGTGCCTGTTTTACTGAAACATCTCTAAAAAGTCTGTAATATCCTCATAAATATTTTTATTATAGAATAACCTCATTAATGATAATTTGGTATTAGAACTGCTTTTAACAAAAAGAGATTCCTCCTGTATTTTTCCCAAGTTAGGGGTATTCTCAGAGTGTGGGAGAAACACGTGCACCTCCTCATTGGCCTTGTGCCACTGAGAGAAATACCAAATATGAACATGAAAATTGGCACTTTAAAATTTTAGAATGCTGGCGCCTTGTATTGTAGCTCGAGTGTGATTGTCTTACCAAAGAACTGTCCTAATTTAAACATAGTATATGTTTGTTAATGTATTCAAGTGTGATTATCATCCCTGGAATAAAACACTTTTTTTCCCTGTTGTAATTAGCACTTGGTTTTGTCATAGAAGGTTCTGGAGGATGAGAGTCCATTACGTTAACTTGTTTCACCACCAGTTTTCAAATCAGCGTGTCAGCCGCATGAGAGTCAGCTCGTTGATGTAGACTAACCCCGCCGTGACCCCTGAGTGGGACTAACGTAGGGCGTCTGCCGTGCCAGCTCCCGGAGACACGTTTGGGTGCGTTTGGAGCAGACCGGGGACAACCACGCAACGTCCGAGGCCCCAGCCCCACGACAGGGGCTGACGGACTTGGCGTTCGGAATCTGGTCGAGGGTCGCATCTCCCTGGCAGTGCGATGGGCAGAGGTCCTTTTACCTTCCGCTGTCCAGAAGGGCGTTACACACACACACACGCACGCACCCCTACGGCACCCAGGGACCGCGTAATTCTCAGGGGCAGCAGTACCATTCGAACACGGAGGGTGGAAAGGAGATCGTGTCCTCCCTTAACAAGCTTTTACTGTCTTTTTCCCGTCGCTGTGTGTCCCCCATCCTCTCCACCCCGACCCTGTAGTCACCACGTGGTTGTCGGTGTCCATGAGTCCTTTTGCTGCTTCGCTCCATCCCTCCCCGCCCCCGATCCCCTCCCCGACAGCTGTCCGCCTGCTCTCTACGTGAGTCTGTCTCTATTTTGCTTCCTCACTTAACAGCTTTCGAGGGAGCGGTCTCCAAAGCAAGGCAGCACTTCGCATTGTTAGGTCTCCAATTATTATGCATATCCACAGCCACTCTGTACATACTCGTATGGCTTAGGCACGAAATTACTCCTTGCAGGGAGAACTCAATTTACTCCTCAGCCAATGGTCTCACTCAGGGGAATGGAATGCAGCAGTTTTATACTTTCAGGTACATTATCCTCAGGAAAAGCCATTAAAGGTGTTAGAAAGAATCTCACAAACGTCCTTCTCTGGTTGTGTATGAAGAGGGGACATTACGTGACCACCCCACCCACGTGTGCTTATTTTAGTAGCCATGGTCTTGTCTGTGGCCCAGGACCCCACACATAGGGGGCCCCATGCTTGGCTAATGGTCTGCTGTCTTCATCTGGAAATTCTCATTTTTGACCCATACGCCCACATTTTTATTTTGCACCATGCCCTGCAAATTCTGTACCTGTCCTGTGACATTTATCTCACCAATAAATAACATCCATCCGGGGGGATTTTCTTTTCTCTGGGTAGGTCAGATGGACCTTCCTCTTCCAATTATTCTGGGACTTAAAACCTTACAAGAAGTGGAGTGAGAAGGTACAGTCACAGGCGAAAGTCAGGGTTAACTTCCTCCTCGGGGGTGGGTGTAGCTTCTCCCCCTGTTCTCTTGAATCCTTTGTGGGAGAATCTCCTGCTCCAAACCCAATTCCCTTTCATTAAGGCCCAAGGACACAGGGAAACTAGAGTAAATTGTTTGCAAAATGTCCCCACTAGTTCCACTGCCACACCCCTTTGCAATGTGACTTTTCCTTTCTTTCCATCAAGAGTGGGGAGTCTATGTCCACATCACTTGAATTTGGATTGGCCCTCCTTGTTGCTGTGACTAAAAAACACGGTGGAAGTGATGTGGGGTTACTTTTGAGCTTAGGCACGGGGGACCTTGGACCTTCTGTTTCCATCCTCTTGGAAGCCCAGGCTAGCCTCCTTGGAGATGACAAACCCAGCCGACAGGCAGCCCCAACTGCCAAGTGCGTGGGCAAGGCCCAGAGTGTAAGATCCAAGGGCCTCACATGTTTGCCGGCTTTGTAGCAATTTGGTTCATTTCTATACAAACCCACAGTGTATGTAGTTATAAAGATTTCATTTTCAGTCTTTATGTATTTATGGAGGGAGAAAGATATCTGTTCCTCTTGGTGTTTTCCTTTGTTAAGTGATGATTATAGCCCATTACGGTCGCTGTCGATTGTAACTGAGTTGGCCATGAGCTGTAATTACAATTACAGGGGTGAACATTTTCCAGTTTCATTTGTACAGATGGAGACATGAAGTGGCCTGGCAGATTTGAACACACTATTGAGCGAAGTGCTTCTAATGTGCGCCTGGCCTGAATACAATGGAGTGAATCCCTCGAGGCGGAGAAAAACTCCCAGGCTCTTGGCTTCAAAATTAGCTGAAACTACATTTAGCATCTGAGATCTTAAAATATTTAAGCAAATGATTATATCTCACAGTCTGTTTTAAGAAGTTGATTCTGACATTGAAATATAAAATAGTTAAACAGTAATTTAGGTAGTAGATGTGTTCTTACGTTTATGGTTCTGCTTGTTTAAATAAAAATGGCACTTCCAATTCAGGTGTAACTTATTGCATCTTACGGTTATGCCTTCCAACTTAAAACGATTATTAGGAGGCAGTATAAGGGGGGAAAGTTATTTATTTCTTTATTACCAGCACCTTAGAAACGGGACCACAATTTTTTTTTTGTATAACCACCCTTGAAAATACACAATCCATTGACAATTATAAAATAACGTGTAGTCCTAGCATGAGAGTCCAAGAAGTTCAGCTTAAATACAGCTGAAGATGAAGGTAGTTCAAGTCTGCAGGGAGGTGAAACCAGCAGATCTCAATGACTCTGAAGTGAAGGCTATGGTGTAGAATAAAACAACTTTTTAACAAACAATCCCATTGAAGCCTCAAACTTTTGAGAGACTTCATTCACATACTATTGATTTAGAGATCACAAATAGAGACATAAAATATTTCTGTCAAAAATTCAATGAGTAAGCATTTAAAATTTATAAAAAGCCTACATTCAGACATCTGGGATGAAGAGTGAAAGAAGGTATCAGAATTTATGATAAGCATCACGAGGCTTACATATTAACAGAATGTGCATACTGTGTTCCGCATTGTTGTAATCTCTTCCTTGTTTTATATATTCTTTCCCATCTTTTGAAATAGCAGGATCTTGGAGGGACCCAATAACTAGCACTTCTCCTTCTTGCCCAAATGCTGACCAAATGGAAAAATAAAATGAAGGCATGGAGATGGCAGCCACCTACCCCCCGCCGTCCGGGGACAGTCTAAGTTGGGGGGGACACAGCCCGGAGCGAGGCCAACGCCCACACGCAGGTGACTGAAGGTGGCACTGTCCTCGTTTCCCCCCAAAGCCGACTCTGGCCTTAAAGAAAACTCCATGCTTTCTTCACGTCGGCGTGGCCTTACCTCATCCTCGCTGAGTGGCTAGAGCGAGCGAGCTTCTGCAATGAAGTGGCCTCGGCTTCCAGCGACCTGGCAAAATAAAAAACAGCGGCCGGCGCACAGGCTGTTAGGGACCGCGCTGCGCGCCGCGACAGCCCGCGTCTCACACTCGCAGTCGGAGGGCTCCCTGCCGGGGACAGTGAGTTTCTCCCTCAACAGAATTGTCCTGTCGGGCGAGGCTGTGCGTGTTCTTTTGACAGGTGTCAGGTCAGGAACGAGCACTGACTTCGAAGGCTCCTTGGTGGGCGCAGAAACGGATGGACCCGAGAGGGGGACTTGAGACCATTGTGAACTCGGCGGGGAGGTAAATCCACTTGGAGCTGCCTTTGCCGCTGAAGTATCTTTACTGGAATCAGTCGCCACAGGCCCTGGTGACTGTCGCTCTGCTCGCCGTCTCGGAAGCACACTCCCCTGCAGTGTCACTGGGCAAGGACCACCAAATCCCTTCCCTTGGACCTAGCAGGCCCCGTGGAGCGCGTTCGCGATCTTGCTGTGAGTCACGTCAACTTCCTGGCCCTCTGCCACAAGATCAGCAGGGGCATGTGAGCATCCTAACCTCCCCCAGGACACCGCAGGGTCCCCTCTGCCCAGGACAGTGTGCTGCCCGGGTCTGATGAACCGGGCGTAGCAAGTTTCTTAGATGCCAGAGTCCGATGTATATGAGTTCGTGGTGGGGGAAACTGTAATTCGCAGAAACTTCATTTCTTTAATATGACAAATCTCCATTCTTTCCTTTTGGTTCAAACTGGCCTGGCCCAGCAGCCCAAGTCCCCGGCCCCTCCCCCCTTGCCGGTCCACTCGGTCATCAGGACCTCAAAGCAACGAGGGGCTGGTCAGCATCGAATAATCTGAGGAGCAAGGCCTTGAGTCTGCTGAACCCAGAGGCAGAGTCTCCGTCAAACCTGGCCTCAGCTGGGTTTCGGCTCCCGGCCCAGAGAATCGGCAAAACCAGACGAAGTGAGGCCACGGCTGACATCAGGGGCAGCTGCAGTGACCAGCTACCCTGCCCTAAGGCCGACCAATCAGAGACCATGACCACGACCCTGCCCAGACCCCGACTCCCTTAGTCACATGACGAATGGCTTTTCCTCTCCATAACCATCCCGGCAGCCACGGGGGAGGCAGGTCTCTAGCATCGGCCCACTCACCTGTGTCTCCAGGATGGGCCGCTTCCTGTAAATAAACTCTCATTTTCTTAGCTGCAAAATCCTGCTGGTGCCTCACTGGGCTCTAATGGGCGCAGGCACATGGACCCCTTTAGTCTGGTAACAATGCTTCACTCTAGGCACAAGGCCATGTATCACTCAGCATCTGATTCAACAAGAGTTTCATGGAAGGGATGCAACTGACGCTGAAGAAATTGGAAAAGCTAAAAAGGGAGCATCGAGTTCACAGGGAAAGGTGACTCCGGAAGCAGCGTCCACCCTTAGAGCAAGAGAACAAAGGGAAGGAGTTGGGGTCCTACTAGCGGAGAATCTGGAGGAAGAGCCCTGCAGGCTGAGTGAAGGGGCTGATTCTTCCCGGGCTCAGAGGAGCCGTCCTAGAGTCAAATCTGGGGCTCGGATTCCGAGGGCCACTGTCCCCGTGGTTGCAAAAGCCTCTGAGCGCATGTGGTAAAACCTGCTCCGGAAGGGAGACAGGAACCAGCTGCTGCTACAGGTGAAGCTTTGTGCTCCCTGCATCCCTGTTCCCTTCCTCGGCCCTCCTGGCCTCTCTCTAGCTCCCCCTATCTGCAGACTTTAACAAAATGCCCAGCAAAGGAGCAGGCACTTGGAAGAACTGCTCCGCAGGGCTGAATACAGAAGGGTGCATTTGAAACAGAGGCGAGCTTGCTTAACAATTGGTCCATTTGTTACTGGAAAACTCTAACTCCTTAACAAGACTGTTCTCGATGAAACCCCACCCTATCGCCCTCATCTACCTCTCTAGCCCTTACCACCTACATCTTGGGTCTGCCCTCATGCTAAAGCCCAGGTGATTTCTCCAACCCAAATGGGTTGTTACAACCTAAGAGTCATTAAAAACACAAAACAAACAAACAAACAAAAAAACCTCTCATTACAGACCATGTCACCTATGTTATTGATCACGTTAACCATTCTGTGTGGAGCAATCCCCTCCCCGCTTCATCCCACAGATTTCCATGATTGTCTCGGAAACCATGACTTATACCTACCGAGCACTTAACCACATGCTGCACGCTGTTCTAGGTTCCTGGCATAGTTGACTTATTTCATCTTCAACACCACCCTGTGAGGTCTATCCTACTTACTTTCATCTCTTGCAAATAAAAATGGTTTAACAACCTGCCCAAAGCCCCATAGCCACCCCCAAGCAGGGCTGCTCCTCCCATGCCTGTATCTTCAACCAACCCCAAATCATACCTTCTAAGGTCCAAATCCAAGGTCGCCTCTTCTGAGAGGGTGCCGAGACTCCCTCAGGCCAAATTGGTTGCTTCCTCCCTGACACTAGTATATTTTCACCGTGGCAGAGCTGTTCAGGGTACGTGTTCTTCCTACAGATAATTGTGTCTGTGCACCTTCTATAAATCATCCAGGACACGCTGTCCCACAGAACTTCCTGTGGCGCCCGTGCTGGGTCTGTGCCCTACAGCCTGGGAGCCATGGGCGGCGTCGGGCTGCTGAGCCCTTAAGTGCAGCCAGCGTTACTCATTTGATTTTATTTAAATGTATTTACATTTAAATCTAAGTAGCCACATGTGGCTATGGGCTACCATGCTGGATGGTGAAGATCTAGTGAGAAGCACAGCACAGAATAATATACAGCTCCTCAAAAGAAGTGCACTGAATGAGTCATTCATGAAAAACTGCACTGGGCAAAGCGAAAGCACTCGTAGAGCATCATTTTTGTTTTTCTTTTTAGCCATACACGGACTCACATCAGTTGACTTTATTGATAAACCCATAATAAATACGCATGCAGCCAAATATTAGATAGCTCCACTATCAAGATCTATCCCATGTTTTGTTGAGGAAAGAACATCCAGCCAACGACAAAGTCTTGTAAGAATTTATTTGCGCCAAACTGGCAATTAGTGAGAAGCAAAATCTCAGCGGACTGAGAAAATACTGTAGAGAAGGGCAGCCTCACAGTTTCTTTTATACATTAGAATCCAAGGAGGAGACGTGGAGGGAGGGCAGGTATGTGAAATTCCTCGGTGGCAGACTAGGGAGGCGGGAGAAAGCAAAGTGGGGAAACCTCTGGGGCCGGGCAAAAATAAAGCGGAGACATATCTCTCGTACATCGGGGAAGGGGGGCAGGATAGTTAACATTTATTGCCCACAGAGATGGCGTGTGGGGAAGGAGGTAACATGTCCTCTGTTGCTCTGTCCAGGCAGTTGAGCACTGAGCAGTCTGGAAAAGAAGATTACCCTGACATTTGAGGCCTGTTACCTTAGATGCGCAAAGACAGCAGAAAATTCCAAAGTGGAAGATAACCTTTGTCCAGGAAGCTGCAGGCCGAGGACGTGGCTACCCACCAGGACTTGCTTTCAGTTGGGACCTGGAACGTAACCGCCACGCGTGGTTACCTTGGTCTCTGGGTCTGAGCTTGCTGTGGTCGGCCCGGGCCCCTTTTGTGTCCACAATTTCATCTTGCATAATAACAGGTATCTGCGTGCCACACGAAGTGATTTTTTTTTTTTCTTGCTGTAAAAGATTTTTAAAAACTTTGTTGTGTAAATATTTAATGGACAATGATCTGTGCCTGCTCTGCGCTCATTCTTTCCCTGTCTGGTTCCCTGATAAAACCCACGTGACGGAGCAGCGCCCGGGAGAGAGAGGGAGGGACCCCACGGAGACTGAGCCACACTCGCACACCGCGGCCTCTTTGGGAAGCGTGAAGCTCTACCTTACAAATGGTTTTCAAATATCATGTAATTTTCATGAACACAATGTAATCATTACAGAAACAGGGAGGCTAAATTTTAGACATCAAACACTTATTCATTTTAATTTTGAAGATCTTTTTCTCATTGGTGTTTAGGAGGAAAACCCTTCCGTTTCCCGTTTCCAAACAAAATTGTCCTTGTCCTCGGGAGCCTCCTCACACCCTCCTTACAATGCTCGGCTGAAAACAGGCCTTTGCGATGTGTGCCGGCTGTCACTGAACATAAAAAATGCTGAAACCAGGCCGTCAGCGGGGCTGAGACACCCCGGTATCTAAAATGTAAACTTCAAGGGCGCCCTAAATGAGTGAGGACGAGTAAAACAGATTGGAAGCCCGCCCAGCGACGTCCACGCCCACGGGGACCAAGCCTGCGACCCCCAACACGGAGAGTCGGGTCCTCCGACTGGGGGACCCACGAGGCCAGGCAGGCGCGCGCTGAGGCCCCGCCCCTCGAGGCCCCGCCCCGCCCCGAGGCCCCGCCCCCTCCGGTGCTGCTATAGAAACCCAGAAAGCTACATGGCTGCCGCCGGGCGGAGAAAAGTGACCCTGATGGAGCCGGTGGCAGCCCTACCCAAGCCAGGGCCACCTCCGCCACAGCCCTCCGCGCCCGCGCCGGGGAGGCCCAAGAAGTGTCTGGTGTACCCGCAGCCGCCGAAGAGCTCCCGCCTGCCTCCGTCGGTCCTGCGCTGGCTCCAGGGCCTGGACCTCACCTTCTTCCCCAGGAACGTCAGCAGGTGCGGGGGGCGGGGGGGAGCCAGGCCAGGTGGACCCGCGCCCCCCGCCCCCCCCAAAGACACCTACAGACACCCCTGCACATTGAAAACAATGTGATGAAGCATTTCATTCCCTCATCCAATCAATCATCCCGTTTTAGACCTGAGCTCATGCAGAAGGTGACTTAAAAGAGTCAGGGCTCTTCAGGGAGACTGGGCAAGTAACTTGCCGTCAGCACCCAATATGAGACCGGGGTTAACTGTAGCACAAACGGTGTAAGTAACCACATTTTATTTCATTCCCTTACTGCTATGGATCAGGGATTTTTCCAATGGCTTCCTGATAGCAGAAATATTCACCATACATTACCCCCAGGACCTTCAATTATCATCCTTCGAAAATGGATCTTCTTTAAAAGTCAAGTTGGATAACTGGGCACAGTTGCAAAAGGTAGGTTCGCAGTCACCGACACTTTTAACTGTTAAGTGTGTGTTTTAACAGGCGTGCTCTGAGGTCCTGGGTTTCTGTACGCACGTAACCGTGCCAGGAAACACCGTTGTGTAGTTGGCAGCCAGGTCAAGAGCTACCTGTGAAACTGAGCTTACTCATTTCAAGTTGGAGTGGGGTATAACGTTTTTCTTACCAAATAATATCTTTTAATAATTACCCACATTAAACAGAAAATTCATTGAGAGGCAAAAGGGGACTGATGTGAATTCCTCGTAACTGCGCATTTTTTTATACAACTTCTTATGATGAAAATGTTTTCTTTCTACTATGAAAGTTCCTGGCCAAAAAGAAAATTAAATTACCTAAAGAACTAATCTATGGAACAATTCACTGTAAAGCTGGAGTACCTGAAATACTGATACAAGAGGTTTATACGTTGTTAACACATCGAGAGTGAGTTATTTGGAATTTTCTAGCAATATAATTTATTATGAAACTTTTGATAATACTGTATAAGTCTCATTTCTAAAACATGCCTTGTCAACAGTATTTTATTTTTTATTTCCAGAATTAAAAGTATCCAGGGTGACTTTGTGAATTTCACAGACTATAGTTACCAGATGCAGTTGCCTCTAGTCCCCAGGTCTACAGTGTCGAAGTCTATCAAAGATAACATTAGGTTATCAGAATTAATAAGTAATCCCAACTTGCTCAACAATGAACTTAAAATTGATTTCCTCTTCCTCTTACAAATGTTGCAAAGAAAATTAAACAGAAAGTTGAATCCAAGTAAGTTTTCCTTGACATACTCAACTGAGTTCTTCTAAGCTTAATGACACTCTTCTTGGGCACAGATGAAAGAAAAACCTGCCACTCCCTCATTTCTGCTTTCTTCTTTCACTGGTTTGATGGGAAAAATACTTCTGTTATTCTAGCAGTGGAATTATTATCATTGGGGTGGTTTATGTCATAATTCATTCTTTTTGATGAAAGCATAGGTTAACAGTGTATAGGCCCATTTCTTTTTAGAAAATCTATTCAGTGAATCCTTTATGTAAAATTTGGTGGGAACTCAGAAGTTTTTACAGACCAACTCAAGTTAGGAGAGAGGATGGGAATGCGTAAGAGTTCATCAGGCTGCAAGTACTTTACCCCAAGATGCTCTCTAGAGTGCGGCCAGTATTACCCTCTCCGTACGTGGTAGCCTTTTTGCTGTTTAGATGGTCAGTGGACGGGGGCCACCCAGGGGGACATTCCAGCAGCAGCACCCAAGTCAGCCTCAAAGCGTCCCAAGGCCCGGCCATCAGCGTCCCAGGATGGCAAAGTGACTCGCCCCTCCCCCCGTCTTCCTCCCTCCCTTCCTTCCTTCCTTTCTTCCTTTCTTCCTTCCTTCCTTCTTTCCTTCCTTCCCTTCTTTCCTTCTTTGGAGGGAACAATCCAGGGAGTGAAAAGCAAACCTTGGGAAAGGAGAAACTATTTGCAAAGCACAGATATCTGGTAAGAGCTTAGCCTTTCACTTTTAAGGTCTTGTCTGCAACGGCAACGGAGAACCAAGCGTCTCAACGTCAGTTTTTGAAGAGTCTGTTCCTTTCCCACTGGTTTGTGATATCCTCATCTTTCAAGTGGTCTGAGCTTCTGTTTGTATTGGTATCTGTTTCTAAGCTCCAGTGAACGTTGTCCGTGTGTGAGCCACGCCATCAGCCGTACTGCCTTAATTACTGTTGCTCTACAGTAAGGGTTGATACTTGGTGTAGCAAGTCCTGCAGTTTGTTCTGTACGGAGCACCCTGTTGCACAGGCTTTTGTTGTCTCATGTGCTGGGACTTTTATGGTTATGGACTCAGTAATACTGCTTATTGCTGTGTGTGCGTTCCTATTGCGTTCTTCTGTGCTTTTAATTTGTTCTCTTCTGTTTCTTCTTTATGTCTCACCTACCTTTTCTTCTTTTGGACTGATTTTTTTTTTTTTTCTAAAGACAATGTTCCCCCCTCTACTAGTTTGGAAAATTTTAAATTTCTGTTTTTTAGTGCTACTGTAAACATTTTAACATGCGCATTTATCTTTGTTTAAAAGTCGTATCTTCACTATTAGGACCTTAGGCACCGTGACACCTGGCCACGCTTGCTAGCCCCCTGCCCCACTTAAGTTCTGGTGTCCAGCATTCACGTTTGGTCGAGTCATTCTTTCTAACACTGCAAATCGGATATCGTTCTTTTTTCTACCTAATGTTTAACGTATCTCCTTGTTACTTCTACACATTGGTTCTAGCTGGGATTTCAGGAACAAAACACAGCGATTCGCTTTACTCTCCTGGTAGAAGTCCATCTTTGTGCAAAGCTAACTGTTACCTGTGGTCTCCCTTTGAACACAATTTCCCTGTAGCCATGGATCACCCCAGCCCTTCGGGTTCTTGAATGGTGCTCTATTACAGCCAGTCTAGGCTTTCTGAGACTGCTGACTTACAGCAGTCAGAGTCATCAATCATGACGATTGCCACTCAGGGAATGTTACTGACCAGTGTTGTATTTAGCACTAGCAGGACGTGGCTAATGAGTAGAAATTACCTTAGATACCTCAAGCCTTGGTGAAGGACAAGCTGCAGAAAACTGATCGTTAGAAGCTCTAGAAATCCATTTCACTCGGGAAACTGATGCCCACGTGAGGCAGCCTGTGAGATTAGTAAGAAACACAGTAAACAGGAATGATTCTGTCACCATTTTTATATAGAAATGTTTGCAAAAGGAGACACTATATGATTTCATTTATATAAAATACAAAACAAGGTACAACTGACCCCTGGTAACAGAAGTTGAGACAATGTTTCCTTTTTAGGATACTGTATGGGAGAGACAAGGGGGCGGTGTGGGGGGTGATACCACAGGGGTATTCTTTCCAAAAATGTATCAAGCTGTAAACATGTGGCTTGTTGATTTTTTCTGTACAGATTTTGTAACTGAATAAACGCTTAAAAAAATAAAACTTATAGGAACACAGAGACACTTCCTTTAAAGTAATTTTTTGAAGCAATTATTTTGTGCACGTGAGGTAGGGAGAGGGTTATTAGCACCCGCTCTGTATTCCTAGGAATATGATAAAACAGATGTATACATAGTTCGCTCAGTTTCTAAATGAGGGTGCTTAATTTTGTCAGTGGCCACTATGGCTCCTTAAGAAGCAACGTCCATGTTTGTTTTGTAGAACGGTTTGACATCAAACGGGCTGCGGGGGAAGTTACTCTCAGTCACCTTCCCACGTCCGCCTCTCAGCAGAAACCTAAGTCAGCGGTTTCCAAGCAAACAGCAGTTCCCGTTTTACGTAAGTGATTTTGTTATTTTATTTTTAACTTTTTTTTTTACCTGTTAAAGTGATTTTTTTTTTGTCTTTGTTCATTTAAGTTCTTAACGATAGTCAAATGTTGGGCTAGGCATTCAGTCTAAAACGGTGCAGCAAGGTGGGAGCACATTGTCCTCCTGGGAGGAAGAGGGGCCTGCGGTCCCCTCCAGGGAGCCCCCGGCCTCCTACTGGAGAGGCCATTTCGGTCCTAATGTGTCCCACGCAGGTGGGTGTGAAACAGCTGAAGCGCAAAACTCAGTCTCCAGCCGCTGGCGGTGACTGAGTCCCCAGGCACGCACAGGTACTTGCATACCTACACTACCCGATCAGTTGCATCACAAGACGCCACCTGCTTAAATTCCCTTAATTCTGAAAGCAAATATTTACACCACAGCAAACTACAGCCCCCTGGCCCAAGTTTCGGCAGCCTGTTTTTTAGGGCCTGCAAGTTAAGAATGGTTTTTTATCAATGGTTGAAAAAAATATATATATATAAAAAAAAGATATGTCCCAGCCCCTAAGAACTATATGAAATGCAAGTGTCCGCGTCCATGAGCGCAGTTGCGCTGGCCTGTGGCCTGCCCGTGGTCACCTCTGCTCCCCGCTGGGCCAGGCAGCTGCGCCTGGAGACCATCTGACCCTTTAAAGCAGGTTTCTGGAGTCAGGGAATAAAGAGGCAGCATAATATAGGCAACGACTTCGGGGGAATGGGGAGGGGGTACTTTTACTAAAAATGACTCATGGTTTATGTGAAGCTCAGATTGAACTGCGTGCTCCGTGTTGGCCCCGACAGCCGCCAGGCCGTGACGGAGGGCGTGTGGGGTCTGCGCTACAGAGCTTGTCTCCAGCGTTCGGGTTCGGGGAGGCTGCATGGGGGGCAGGCGATTGTCGCCTCAGGTCTGGAAGAGCAACGTCCCAGGCAGAGCCCTCTCTTGAAACCCATGACTTCTCAGGGAGCCTGTCCTGTGCTCAGACGCACTGCAAGTACTGAGGGCGGACGAGGGGTACAGAATAAAGTTTTCCCAAGTTTTCCCAACTCCGTTTGATCCCGTACCACTATCAATTTCATTTCGTTTCCCCTGGTGGAAACAGTGACCCTCAGAGCACAGTTTTGAATTTCTAGACATTAAGCCGGCCCATCAAAAGCCCCGCTACCTCACCGCACGCCCCAGGCCTTGTGCTCAGTGTGATGGACTCCACAGAAGTGAGTAACGGTGTTTCTCGGGGAAAGAAAGGATCCATCGGGTCCCTCAGATTCTGGGGACGCATCCCTTCCTTCGAACTGCTGGCCCTTCCTCCACCTGGGACATACCTGCGGGGGTGGGGAAGGTTCCCCGGGGAGGGGTCGGAGCAGGGGAGCCGCAGCCCGGCCGCTAAGGCCGGCGGCAGCACCGGGACAGGCAGGCAGCGCGGTCTGGGGAGGGGCTGCGGCGGGTGCCTTCCCGCCTTCGCCTTTGTCCAGGGCGGCGACGCCGACCTGGGTGGGAGGAAACAGGCCTCTCTCTTCTTGCCTATCCCCATCCCGTTCCTGCGCGTGGATTCTCCCAATCTAGGCAAAACGGGAATCAAGACATGGTGCGGGGCTGACCCTGGCAATGATACGGACGAGAGCTAAACAGGCTTTAAATTACGTTTCCCCCCAAACTGGAGACAGGGAGCCCAGGGCGGTCATTTCTGATGAGGGCAGAGCGACTAGTTCGGGTCAGAGGGCCAGCACATCAGTGGCGGGGAGCCAGGACCCAGGGCCGCCTCTGAGGCTATAGGCCCTTCACCTTCCTCTCACCCGCTACGCTCGCAGAGGCCCTGGGTCATCCAGCCCAAAAAGCTCTCGTTATTCAGCAAGGTGCGAAAATTAGTCGTAAGACAGGCTGGTACCTTTGTTTCTCTCTCTCTTTTTACCACAACTACCTAAAGTATTGGTTTCCCTAAATCTAGCATTAGCAAAAATGATGGGCCAAGGGAATACAGATTTCTTAGCTGCAGCGGGACCCTCACTTGAGAACTGAGTGCCCTGCAGGGCCCAGGGCCAGGCCGGCTGCCTCGGCGCCCGGAGCTCCCGGAACAGGAGTGGGAGTTACGTGCGTGTCGAATCGAAGCTCTGCGAGAAGCATGGCCTTGTGGTCTCAGCTGCTTTCTGAAGCAACGTTTAAAAATAGTTGAGTCATATTCAGGATCAGAGGCACCAAAATAAGCCCTGGCTATTTTTAGGCACTGCTGATGACTTTTGGAGGAGAGTGACGTTCAGATTTTTTATTTATGACTACTATAATGCATGCTTTAAACATTCTGTTTACCCAGCGTTTAGATGGACCTGTCTCAGCCTGTTGCTGTCACTCTGCGCGCGTTTGACATGTTAGAAACATTGAGCGCTGTCTAAGTGTTCAGTAGCCACAGATTAATTTTAATTTTGTCTTTTTAAAACATTCCAGCACACATAAATAATGGCAATTCAATTAAAACAACTTCTATGAAGCAACCTAGAACACCTTCTTTTGAATCCATGACGGAACCTACTGAACTTGAACGAGGACTGGAAGAGGGGACACCTCCTTCTCCTGCCACCTTGAACAAACAGGCGCGTCGACTCCAGGATGCATGCCAATGACAAGTAAATTAAAGGGGTGTCTTATCCACAATCGTGCCGGAGAACATGTTTTTTCAGTTCTAGTCAACAACCACATATTAAACACACCTGTGCCCCACACCGTTGAAAATACAAAGTCAAATTAATTAGTACAGAATGAGCAAAAATAATTTTAAAGGTACAGTTAAATATAATTCACCATGATGAGTAGGTGCTCTTTTGCATAAATTTTGTAGGGATAGTGAATCTACTTTGTAATATTTTTCCCATTAGAAATGAAAAGAGTTACTAGTTTGCCTGAAACAAATTTATTTACACATCACATTTATGAATAAAACATTTATCCTGAATGGTTATTATTATACTTTGGCCCGTAGAGAATCTTGCCCACCTTGAAAAATAGCCTTCAACATTTTTTTAAAAATAGGTGTCCTTCCTGTTGCTACTGAGTTGTGGAGAAGGAAAATGCTTTACTTTGAAATTGGTTCCAGGGTTGAGTAATCCACTTAATTCAATTTAGCTTTCATCCCCCATATTTTTATTGAAGGGAAACGAAAGCAGGTCGATATCCTGAAAGACTGATCATCTTTCATATATTTTTGGTACTTTCATGTTCCCATTCAGAAAATTCCCTTCCCCCGGGATTACGCCTGTTTTTACACAAGCTCACAGTCTCCTTTGACTTCTAAGATGCAGACTGCTACTGGCGAAGCCCAGGGCCCGGCTGTCCTTGTCCAGCTAAACTGTGCCACTTTCTCTGCATATGTGAAGGCTTACACAGCTTTATTAGAATCTGTACCTCCAGAGACCGCCTTTTTTAATTTTACATTTTCGGGTAGATCACATTTAAGGAATTAAAGAGAGCACTGATGAAATAGATGACTTCTTAGGAATGTGTTTAGAATCTGGCTTTACCTAAGGTCAGGGATTTCTTCCAAATGCACGTCGTATGCAGCTAGCCGTTCTTTGCCTGCTGCCTTGAGTTCTAATGGGACAGATTTAAAGTAGAAGATTGTCAGAATCATTTTAACCCACAAAATACAGTTCCTTAGGAAGGGTTTTAGGGGGAAAAAAATCTTCTGAAGGTCAGTTGGGGAAAAGATCCAGAGAAAAGGACTAGATTTGGACAAACAGTCAAATAGCGTGTTTATCGTCTTGACCCTGTGTTCAATGTCCTGAAAAAGCTAGTCCCTCGGGGGCTGTGGGGAGTCCCTTCACTCCCGCAGGACCCATGGGGCGCTGTGAAAACATCCCGTGGCCTGCGCACTGCCCTCTGGTGCGATGGATAAGTGAAGGCAGCAGGTATGGGCACGGTGGGTAACGCCAAGAACTTCTGGGGGTATCGGTTGTGTCAACAGAAGCCAACAGGCCAGGCAGGTCTCAGGAGGGCCATTTGGGTCACCAAGGTTCTTTGATGGAGGGAAGCAGCGACCCTCTCCAGGAACAGCAGCTGCCTCTGCAGGGCCAGAATCCTTCCATCAACGGGCAGAAGTGCGGGACATAGAAGCCTCTTTGAACTGAGGCTCACGTTCGTTAGTGAGCCCTCTTACGCTAGTGCCCGTTCATGCTCATCTTCTCCCTGATCCGGCCAAGGGAGCGATTGTGTCGGGGTGGGGTCATGGTCCCGGGGGGCAGCTCTGCCCTTTGCCCCTGGTGGCTCTGGGGGAGTAGTGTTCTCCTGGTGGTGCCTGAGGGGGCAGACTGATGCTCACGGGTGTGTGGTTAAGGTCACTTCTTCACTTCTGGATTTAACTGCAGGGTTTGTTAAGATTTAGGGACCTGAAACACATACTGTACATACATAAAAATCTAGATCACCACAGGCACAGTCACATGGTATTTAAATTCAGCATGAAAGCACTTTTTCAGTTATTTAGGAGCAGATGTTTCAAAGGTATAGGTGTGATTGGCTCTTACTAAGGGTATGAAAATAACTTCCGTATCACTAGTGCGCTGAATGTGAAATACCAGATTTTATAAATACTTTGTATGGCTTTCAGTACATTCAGAATACCTTTGAAGATAAAAAAAAAAAGATCAATTTTCCTATTACAGAGACAACAAAAACCAGTCAATGCTCTAATGCAACTATGACCCTTAACACACCTTAATGATTTTGTGGAAATATGCTTCATTAATTTTGACTGACATGAAAATCATAGATTGTCACAAGATGTAAATCATTTTGATATTGTAATTTTGTTAACCTGCTGGTGATTTTATAGGCCAAGTATTTTCCCAGTGCTTTTAAAACCTTTGTCTAATGAGATTTCTTTCATACAGGTAGATTTAAATTTACAGTTATTTGTCCACATTATTGGTAATACAGACATCTTCACATAGTAAAATAAGTTCACTATTAGTTTGGGTTTTCATGCATAAGAAATCTAACAGTAAAACAACTTTTATAAATTTTAAAAATTGTTTTTCATATTAAGGTATTATATAAAGATTGACATAGTCAATAAAGATTGACATTTATAATTATGTAAAGAATAGTTAAAATTAACATTAAATTATAGGACATTATAGGTGTCAAAGAATAACAGACTTGCAGTTAAATCAATCCAATTTAGATTTCAGACAGAAATCGGGTTATTCTCTGTTGTCTTCATTTGCTAAATAGTGATATGTAATTTTTTCATATTTTATACATAAAAATATTAGTTCTTGTATTCATTAAAATATGGAATGTGATTATATATGTATAATTTAAACTCAGTGGTATCTTTCAAAGTAATTAAAGCATAAAATATAGGCTTCTTACTCTATCTAAAACAAAATAAAGAAAAATACACTAGGGTTTAGACTGTCATTTTTAAGTAAGGAAATTTTAGTACCTATAAAATACTTCTCAGATACACTTCATATTATCCATTGCATCTCTGAGTTGCATATATTCTTTTCTATAATTTTTTGTAAAGTAAAATTTAATGTCTTTTGAGAGGTTAGAAGTGGTCAATATAATAGGTAGGTACATAATATATATTTTCTCTTTTAAGAAGCTTATTTAAGAAAAATTTTAAAATATTAAGAAAAATTTTAAAATATTTTAAATACAACAAGTTTAAAGATAGTAACAACCACAATTATTTTAGTTATATAAGCACACTCTTTAGTTAGACAAAAACATTTGTATTATAAATTCTGTAAAAGAACTTGAGTACCGAACTACTATTCTTCCTAGTATGCATTAATGGAATAAATTTCAAAGTCAGAATTCTAGAACAATTGAAATACTTATAGCCATGCTTCAGGCTTTTAAAAAAATAACTGTACTTTTAATAAGTATTTTAAAAACCTGAATTTACATGATATATCCAAAATTTCAACTAACATCCTATTTACTTACAAAAATTTACTTCCAACTTTCATCAAATAAATTTTTAGAGTTAATATAAATTAATTAGAGATCATGTCAAAATCAATGTCTATACACACCCAGTATCTTTTAAACCAGTCAATTATCATCAAATGTAAATTCTCACACAGATACAACTGCATTTTGTTTTTACCCCCTAATGTTTTTCATATTTATATGATCCCTTTATAATTGGACATTTGAATTTCAGATACAAACCTTGGTCATGTTTTCTTTAAAAGAATAAAACTCAGAAGTATTTTGACTGTGTATCTATTCACTGATACACTTTAAACCCACACCCGAAAGCTTCTATTACATATGGGCTAACACCGCGGTTTGCTGTGCACCACACGGAGGACACGCGAGGCGGCTGTGAGCAAGGCGGTCAGCCGTGTGTGCCTCCCGTCGCGGCCTTTTGAGATAGCCCGTCGTTCAGGTGTCACTGGGTCCTTGCTATGCGTAGGTGAGACGCTGTTTTCGGCGTTGTACTCGTCTACATGTTTCAACATCTCAACAATAAACCTCTGGGTAACCATGCTTTCCATGCTTTGTGGAAGTTTTACACGCTCTTTTCCATGATTCAGTCCTTTATAATTTAAATATTATCTTCCTCCCAAATAGGGCTGTACTATTGTATAAAGGAGACACGTATCTTTTTTCTCAAAAGTATATAAATATTTTATTTTTTGAAGTTAATGAATAAAATCAATTGTTCTCCCCCTTCCTCCTCCCCCCAACCTTTGGCTCTTAGGCAACAAAGGTGTACTAATCAATAAAAGTCTTCAAAAAAAAAAACCAAACACCAAAACAACAAACAACAGTTAAGCCTGGAGAAAAACCTCCTATCAGAATGGGTTGAGTCGAACTCCAGTCCCTAAAGGTGAGAAAGGGTTCACTTTTGCCCACATCAAAGCATCGTTCAGCGAGACGGTGGACTTCCCGTCTTCAAGGAAACACACAGGGCCCTGCACAGGGAGAGGCAAGGGAAGAGGTGGTGAGGTGATACATTTGCAACAGGTTTTTAAACGTACAGAAACGACCATGCTCATAAAAAACCCACTGGTGATATTCAGGCCACGCTGATAGGAAATTTAAAAATATGAGATGTGACTTTGGGTGGTGAACACACACAATACAATGTACGGATGATGTATTATAGAATTGTGCATGTGAAACCTAATTCGATTAACTAATGTCACCCCAATAAGGTCAATAAAAAATATAAACATTTAAAAAATGAGAAAAATTAGATGTTTGCACTGCCACCAATACAGAAACATTTTAAAAGATCTTAATGTTATATATAACCTGATGCTGTCTTTTAAAATAGAGTTTAACTTTATAATTTGAATTCTTTACATACAGCAGTACTAACAATGATAATGATATGTATCGTTAGTTTATTGCTAAAAAGTTAACATTTTATAAAGACATATATGCCTAGTAATAGCCTGAAACATACGCTACTATTTTAATCATACAGTTGGGAAAATCATTTAAGCCAGAAATTTTGAACTTGCTCTCCAGAAGATGAAAAATATATTGCTGTGTGTGTGTCTGTATAATTTAAAATCACACCACTCATGTGATTTGCAGCATATTTATAATTTAGTTATATCAGTTATTTTGTACGTCAAGGGCTGTTCTAAAGAACTAAATGCAAAAAAAGAAAAACCAAACTTCTTTCAATCTATATTTCTCAGCTTTTAGAAAAGCATGATTTAAAAGACACAAAAAATTTATTTTCTTATTTATGTTCTAAAGTTACTCGGTTTTTGATTATGATTTCAAATGATACAGTTTAACAAATTATTTCCAGACATCGTTAACATCCATCACACGCAGTAGCAGCTTCCTGTTCACAGATACTTCCCACTTCACGGTTGCACCCAGAGCACATTAGCTTTCTGCTGAGACTGAGCTTCCTGGGAAGGAGCTCTCCTTCGAGATGAGTCATGTGCGCCTTCCTGCACGTGAAGTAATTAGTCGGCCCTCCCTAACGTGGGTTGGGAGCAGAGAACGTTAGACAGCACATGTGTTCGGCCAGTTGGCTCTCTCAGAAGCAGAAAAGGAAACAGAAGAGGAGAGAGGAACGTGAAGGTATCAGGTACCAGACTCAGCACCCAGAGTGCAGTGAGAGGCCCTGAAGATATATTGAAAAAACTGCATTGTGCATTTTCTCCTAATTGGAAGTTACGGAGTTTACTGCTTTGGGATAATAAACACATATACAATGGCGTGTCCTGCCTGTTTTTTGGAATAGACTGGCGTGTTCCGAAGACTTAGTTTGCAGTGTCAAGTTTACGGTAGTTAGGGTTTGCAATTGTCGCAAGCCATTTATTGACTGAGTGGAAATCTCCGTCGGCCTGGCGTGTGAGCGTTAGAACTGCAGTTAGCCACTTGGCAAGAGAAGGGTCAGAATCGACTTACTAAGCGTGACCGTGACTGGGAGGCGGAGTCCCTCCCGTCCCGTCTGCAGCCCCAGCGAGCAGCTCAGGGACACTCCCGCTTTGCTTCACGGGCACACCGACCGCTGGCCCTGGCGCTGAGGTGACGAGGGCCTGCCTCTCCTGGAGGGATCGGCCTCCCGGGACGGCTGGCTGGCTCGGGAACCGCTCCCCGTCTTCACTGTGACCGGGCATTAGGGGCCACCCTTGGGGGATGAGCTGTTCCTCATGACTGCTTATAAACTACTAACGGAGACGATGCAATCACATTTAGTCTGTTATGATAATTTCTAACTGTCGCTTGGGTCCTTTATTTAATTTCCCCGAGGAAATGGCCTATATGTATTTTAGAACACTGGTTACTAAGTACACCTATCAGTTGTTACTATGTATGTCTGTTACATGACTTGCTTTTATGCTAGTAGCCCAATGACCCCCGAGTTTATTTTAAGGAGAGAGAATGTTTGCGCCGGCTATGGAAGAAGCATTAGGGGACAGCTTCCTGCTGGGCCTCCGGCCCCTTTATATGTCCCTGCTTGTAGTCAGATTAAACTTGCTTGAAAATCGCATTTCAAAAACTAACCAAATAAAATGATGGGAATGCATGATGCCTGCGCGCCATTGGGCTGTACCTGGATTTTTAACCCCGTAAGGCAGGAGACGTGACTGTCGGAGTGGCTAGGCAGGTGGGAGCCCGTCACGTGACCGGGCCCGGTCAGTCCTCTGAGCGGCTCCTCTTTCAGCCTCTTCCGTAAAGTTGCGTAAACCGCTCTCTGTGACTCAGAAGGGGGTGTATACGGAGAGGCTTCCGATGACCTACGTTTTCAACAGACATTGCGTTTTCATTTGTGTAGAATCATGGCATGATTAAAGGTTAGAATAGAAACAGCCCCCGATGACTGTTTGGGTCCCCTGTATAGATGATGCCAAATCAACTTTAGACTCAATTTATAACACAAAACAAACAAACAAAAAAAAACTTAATAAAGGAAGCATTGTAAATTGTTACTGAATATCTGCTAAACAAACCAAGGTTCATTATTTTGCTAAGGGAATAAGGACGATCTACATTTTGAATGGGCATGTCTGTGATATTCAGTACCCCCTTCCGGACCCCAGGTTTTGCATCTCAGCCACTCACTGGTTGACGGGCTGCGTGCATGCTCTCCACGCGTCCAGCTCCTCAGAAAGGCGTTCGATCGTTAAAGGCACGGCCACGTCCCGGCGTTTTAACAGCTGGCTGAAACATGGGAGAAAGAGAGTAATATCTGACATCTAAGTCTAAGGTACCAAAAACGCCAAGGAACTTTAAATAACTGCAGTTTTTGACTCGACAACTATTGTTCAGAGGTAGATGTGTAGAGCCGGACGCGTGTGTGCGCGCGTTCATGTGCTCCCTCGTGTATTTAGTCTTGAGGTCCTGGCAAGCCACAGATGTCCAACAGCTGCTGGTGGACAAGTCTGAGTGAGCGAGGGACGAGCACATGAGCCGCACGAACGTGTGGAGAGCGGCCACACAGACCAAGCACCGCTGCAGGCCAGCCACAATGGCTCCGATGCGGGGCAGTGCGTGTCCGGGCTACGATGCGCATTAGGAGCAAGAAAGCCAGGGGGAGGGCGGGCAGGGAGCAGCGTCCGCCAGCGGGAGGGGATGGGAACGCTGACTGCGGTGTTTCAGAGACCGGTGTGTGAGAAACAGCGACAGCCGTGGCCGCCACGTCTGTGTAGAGGAAACAGACGGAATTATTATTATAACAGACGGGGCTTTAGATAAAGAATTCTAGCCTTAGCTTCTCTAGTAAGTTACAAACTTTTTATGCTTCCCAAGGAACTAATTAATGGAGATACAAAAGTAAAGCTGTTTCAGAGATAAAAAGAAAAAGAACCTAAGACCTTAGAGAGGAAGTAAGGGCAAAAGTGAGCCTCTCGGTAATGTACATTTTATGGTCACTCCTGCCAGCTGTCATTATTTTGCTGGGACATAATAAGAATTGGTGAGGAAAACAACAGGTATAAATACCCCCCCCCCCCGCACATACACACATCTAACATTTCGGTAATGTTATCTCAAATTGGTGGCTTATTGGGTTTTTTGAACCCCAAATCGTTAACAACGTGGCTAGCGCCCAAATGAATGAATTAAAAATGCGGCCTCCCTGCCTCCAGTTTCGCACGGGACAGCACTTGATCTGCCCTGTCGTTTTTGAAGACGCACTTACTAGGCACAAAGCGTTGTTAGAGAGAGAGGAGGGGAACCTGGGTGGGTGGATGGCAGCGGCGCAGCCCGGGGTCACAGTGATGCAGGTCCCGGCCGTGGCGGGGCGCGGAAGGCACGGGTGGCAAGGGGGAGCCCAAGTTTTGTGGGCCTGTGACGTAACAGTAAGGACCTGGAATGTTCTCTGGGGATAGTGGGGCGTCTTGGAGAGCTCTCGGGCAGCCTGGCCCTCCAGGTGGTCCCCAGGGTGGGCTGACAGGGAGAAGGATGGGGGGCTGGATGAGGGGCTGCGGGGGGCGCTGTCACTAGGTGCTGCAGGGAAAGCACGTCACCTGACCTCCCCCCGCCCCCCAGTCGTTTGATTCTGGATGACAGTGGTATGATGACACCCTCAAAGGCAAGAGGGACCATGGGGGAAAGAGCAGGTGTGCGAGGGAAGGTGGCCGTAAGGCTGAGCACGCTGAGCTGAGGGCTGGGGCCTGGCGGGCTGCCCGGTCCCCACGTGGGAGCTCAGAGAGGAGGCGGTACCTGAATCTAAAGTGAGCTGTCTCCATGGGGACAGGCGAAGCCATGGCTCGGTCAGGCTCCTGAGGACACAGTACGGTCAGGGGGGAGGGGGGAGGGGGAGGGGAGCCGGGAAGAGGAAGGAGGGGAAGACAAGGAGAGACAACGGGGAGAGAGCAAAGCTTTGGGGGACCCGATGGGAGTGGACTGGGGAACCCACACAAGACAGCAGAGCCGTAGCCGACGGGGCAGTCAGGGAAGGTCTCCGAACCAGCAGAGCTGAGCTGCTCTCCTTACACTGACCTGTCTCCCTTAACTAGGCACGGCCTGTCCTAACCTCCTCCCTCACAAATCAAAGGCCCTCCTTCCAGCCTCCATGTTATTTTGAGCGGTCATTTTCTCTCTCCTTATTTTCATCACTACCGAAGTCACCTACCACTGAACGTATCACACTACGTAATCTAATAATTCCACAGGGTACCCCCTATTGTCCTATATTTTATAGTTAAAAGCTGTTTTTGAACGGTGGTTCTGCTGCCAGCGCAGACACACACGTCTGCTCGAGCCTGAATAGTACCAGTTCCTGCTGTTCCTCCGTCGGCTGCAGGGGGCGACCTGTGCCTGCACCTGCACCCAGACCCGCACCTGCACCCACACCTGCACCTGCACCCACACAAGACCGGCCCCAGACGGGGGAGGCATCAGGAACCAGAAAGCCTCACTTCTCTCTAAATCCGGTGCCGCCAGGACAGGTCCTCAGGAGAAGCGCGTACCCACAGACTTTCAGCATTTTTGGGAGGACCCACCCTGCCAGCTGGCAAACCAGGAGGCTTGGACGTGACTTTTAGGGAAGGCACGGTGGATTTTATTCCTGAGTAGACCACGTTGTGAGCGCCATGGCTGAAGGTCAGCAGGCTGTTAGAGGACAGGGGCTGGGCAGGCAGTTATACCCACACGGACAATTTTGAGTTTGCCGCCGCTCCCCAACCGCCTGTACTTTGCTTCTCTCCCCTGGCTGAAATACCTGGACTTTCATATTCCTTGCAAAGCAGGGCTCCACAGTGCTGGCCCGCGAGACACAGGCACCCCACCCCGAGGGACTTTCCTCCCTGCCTCCCACAGTCTCGTCCCCTGGGCTCGCCCCCTGGCACTTGCACCTCTTCCCTGACAGCTCAGGGCGCCGCCAACACAGCCTGCGGGGGCCTGGAGGCTACCTGGCCACCATAGGGATCTCAAGCGGGAGGAGGAGGCCCAGAGGGTCCAAGCAAAAGCAGGGAGGACCCCAGGTCCCGATGGAACAGGCCAGCCGCTGAGCAGCCCTGAAGTGTGACCTCCAGTGTCTCGACAAGAGACCCCTAAACCTGTGTGTTCCAGCTAGAACTAGGACCGCTGCTATTTACAGCCCCATTGGCTCCTGATTCACGCAGCTCACCGGGCTCTGGCACACAGCACGTGCTCAGCGAGTAAGTGGACGCATGCAGTGCACACTGGTGCCTTCCTGGAAAGTCGCCGTCTCAGAGAGAGGCGCTTCTCTGTCTAACAGGAGAGAAGCTGCTTTACCTCGTGTACTCATAAAGCGCTGGCACGATGCTCCCGTACTGTCTCCTGACAGCTAGCAGCGCTCCGACGTAGCCGCACAGCACAAGCAGCTCATTTCGAGCTCTGAAACAGAGTGTATTTAGTTTTTTTAAAAGTCCATCATTTGAGCTACAGAACCTTACTTTCATATGTAGCCATTGTACTTGTGTCTCTATATTTTAATAAGTCGCATTTATGGCAAAATATGTTTAGAAAATTTTCTGAACTTGAAGATGTTTTATTATTCATCAGGTGACTTATTCAGGCGTCATGCTCTATAACAAGTAATTTAAAATAAAAATCTTAATTACTGAACTCCTGCTTTCCTGTTTTTCTCTGTCCCCTGGCTGGCTGTCCACGCCCTTGTGCCCTCAGGAACTCATGCGGTCAGGCTGAGGGGTCCCCAGCGCGCTGCCGACCCTAGGCACGGGTGCCCCGCTTCCTGCCGGGGAGCCCCACCCCCGTGGTCAGGCCGCGGCATCGTCCGCTCCCCACGGGCCTTAGAGCCGCAAGAGCCCAGAGCCTCCGCGACAGGGCGGACTCAGTGTCTGAGGACGTCAGCGACAAGGAAAACAAGATCCTTCAATGACACTCGCTCCTCTGGACGGTATCCATCTTTCACTTTCTAGAACTTTCACTCTGCCCCCAGCCTCGTACGCTTTGCACGTGCTGGATAGTTAATGGACATGGCTACCAGTTTCTCGAGACTCGACATCCAGAACCAGGAAAAAGCTCTAAATGAGCCCCATTTGAACCAGGTGCGTGCGTGTGGGTACTACCCACCGATAAACACACGAACACCAGGTATTAGTAAATGGGGCCACTAAGGTTTATGACTTCTGTTTCAAAGTGACCTCTGTTTTTTTTTTCTTAAGATTTTAACAAATAAAAACGTATTTTTTTCTACACACACATCTCCCTGTCCAAGATAATCTTATTTCTTGGTCTAAACACCCAAAACCATACAGCCATTTTCAAACATTACGTAGGCTCAGTTATGAATTCTGGAAAAAAGTACTCACTCAGTACATGTATGCAAGAGTAATTTTTCAGTACGAATATAACTCAATAGGTCAAGAATGGGATAAACGACATCCAAAGTCCAGTTGGAACTCTTGATGTATCCTGGCAAAACAGAACCAAATGGGTCTCTAAGTAACAGTATTAAGGCTTGTTCATCCACTTTTCAACCTAATTGATTAATTCTCTTCCTGCCAAACCGACCCACCCCTGCTTTCGAGATGATGGGCATTGAACTGGTGACCTTCTCTCAGGTCCCATCCCGCGCTGTCAGCAGTCTGCCTCCTTTTTACAGTTAGGGTGGCGAGGGCTTAATGTCAAAGCTTGTTAGCGCTATGGATGAAAATGTCAAATCCATGAGACTTGAAATTACGCTCACAACTAAGCACTCACCCTTGACGAAGTCAATGCCGATAGGAAGGGCTTTTTCGGGCTCTTGACTCAACAAGTAGTACTTCACAGCTTCGAGCACACTGCCGTCTGCCCAGGCGGCCTCAGCCAAGCGCGTGCATTCTTCGACTGTGGGAAGCTTGCACTGGAGAATGTTTGGTTTGGTGATAATGTTAGCAAAACGTAAAGGGGTAAAAGCAACAGTATAAGCACTAAGTGCATCCCATACACCTGGATACGTTTTTCTTGTTAGAGCTGCTCAAAATAGATGTGAATAAAATAATTTGTATTAGGAGAATACATTTATGAAAATATCTTGAAGGTGTAATAATAATAAATAGGTATTACCCAGTGAGTTTATGGTTTTGGATCATTCAAATACCTAATTAAAGAGGCAGAAAGTAACCTGTCTCGGTTATGATATTGGAATTACTTTCTGTAAATGTAATTTAGAGGAAAAAAAAGGCCGAGATTAGTTATTTTAGAACAAGTACGCTGACCAAATCAAAGACTACACTGAATGTAGAAAGCATAAAAGGTTCACTCTCTCATGACCTCTACACAATTCATTCATTTCGCTGTGCCTTTGAGACAAAGCAACTTCATTTCAAATAGAAAGGCGAAAAACGTACCAGCTCCGAAAGTTCTGGGCTTTGACATTCTGAAATATGACAGTGTTGATTTGGAGCCTATGAAATTTCATTACTGCAACATGAAAAAGCAATACCCCCGTTTTCTCCATTTTTATATCCTGTAAAAGCTGAGTCTATTCCACTATGTGTATCATATTCTGATGACGTTCGTGACTTGTGAAGTCACAGTGTTCGAGCTCGTCAGCGTGTTCCCGAGCCACGCCTGCAGCTGAAAGCTGTGTCCCGCTCAGCAGTCTGTGGCCACCACCGGGGGCGGGGGAGGGGGTGCTTCGGCGGACGGTGCTTTGTGTTGGGACCGCAGGAGGCGTGGCCCGCCCACAGCGGGGTCACCGCCCCTTCCCCTGTGACACACACCGCCCTCTTCTCCTCACTTTCCTTACACCTCCCCTTAAGTTATTGTTCAATTTACTTATTTATTAAAAAACTTATTCAATAGTTTCATATTTTGTTGTTCAAAAATTAGGAAAAGTGAACATTTGAGATCACTCAGTTTCTCTCAAAATAATTACGACAATGGCATGAAAGGGCCTCTATTGCATATGATGTTTCATCTTGTTTTCCCATCTCTACTCACTAAATACCAGTTATTTATTGAGCAGCACAGTAATGTGCTTGGTACTGGGTCTGGCTAGATGAAACTAAAAGTTTCTTCACTTTAATGGAGGCTCAAAGAGATGAGGAAATTAAAAAAAGGTTCCCATTAAAATTTCACATTCAAAAAGAATAGAAGGAGAGGAAGGGAATCATCCCTGTAGTTCTCGTCCTGTCTGAAAATCCTAAAGGTTATATAAGTTAACATAGTATTTGCACGCATACATGTTGGTATTACTTGGGAAACTGTCCAGAGTTGCTAACACCTCTACACGCACTGACTAGTCTTTCTAAAGTGTTACCGGTGCATTCTGACCAGTGAGGGTAACTGTGCCCTTGCAGACTGAGACGGGAAGCCCCCCGGCCCATCACTAGCGGCTGTGTGATTGGCTGAGCATCTAGCTTCTCCGAGCCTCGACGCGGACAGCCGCGCCCGCTGCCTCCGAGGGCCGCTAGTTAGTACACGCGACAAGGCGACACGGTCCAGTGTAATTGAGAAACGACGTCCCCAGTCCTTCTCCATGTCTTCTAATTTCAACAGAATGATATTTTTTTTTTTTACTTGTCGTGCTTATTGAAGCAAAGCACAGCTCATTTAAAAAATGACTCATGGCGGACAAAGCGTATAAAGAAGTTACAATCCCTTATCTTACAACCCATTGGTAACGCTGAACATTCATCCTTTCACAAGTGTTTTCCCTGGTACCACTCACACTCGCGCACACACGCACACACACTCACGCACACACACGCCTGAGGTCTAGCTATGTGAACATCGTGCTCAGCAAGCAGCCATTATTGAATGAATAGGGCCACTCACACGCTGGGGGGAAAGTCAAGGCTCATATGAGTAAAAACGGCCATTTCTAGAGTTAAAAATCAGGAAATGTATTATTTATATCTTATCTTTTTCTTAAAAAACTGTACCTATCTTCTTAAACATGCTGTGCCATTATTTTCAAAATGAAAAGCCCATGGCATGTGCACAGTTTCATAATCTGCTTTTTACCTGTTTTATAGCCATCTTCCGGTGCCAATAAAACCAGAAACATAGAAACGTACTGCAATTCATAGAAACACCCTCCCTCCCTGTGGCCGAACATTTTGGTTGTTTTACATACGGCCTCGGTTGGTAAATTCCTATATTCTGCAGTGGAGGACTTTTTAAAGCACTTTGGGAACGTGCACGCAAATTTCATCACACTTCATCGATTCTTTTAAAGACGCTGAATCACCTACTATCAAAGTCAGCACGCGTGCACCTCACACATCACGTGGGTGCGTGGAAGGGGCTTGGGATCCCGAGCCGGTCAGGCGGGAGCTGATGCTCTCCCCCACCATTACTTTAGGCAACTTCCTTGCCTTCTCTGAGTTTCCTTTCTTTATGAAACAGAATCACTATCCCCTGATTTCAGGGCTTCATGAGAACTGAGTAAAATACAAATATATGTGAACATTTAGACCAGTCCCAATCATGTAGAAGTTCAGTAAGTGTTACTTCTTATTATTGTCATTTTTGTCGTATTGATAACAGGGCCCTGAAGAGACCATCTGTTTGTTTCTCTGCTTGTGTCTAGTCCCCGAACCTGGGGTGAGTTAAGTGACCGCCCTGGGACCCCGCCCCCCGGGAACAGCTACCTTCTCGTGAAGATCGTTGATCTCCTCCGCACACCCTGGGTAGAAAGCGCAGAGCTTTACTAACTGGAGTCCGTTATCGGGAATCATCAGGAGAAGATCGGCCGCCAAACTCCTGGTCGCAGAACAAAGGGGAAACTTCCGTGAGAACCCCCTCTGACCACAGCTCAGGGCTGCGTCGGGGCCAAGAAGCCTCTCGGGCGCCTTCCGAGCTGTTCCAGTTCCATCTGCGGCGCTGATTTCCCTCCTCGTGGTGAAACGAACCCCTCCCAACGGACATCAGGGACCAAAGAGCCTGGGGGAAAAGCAGGTTAGAAGGTCCCCAAATATTTTTTAAACCCCTAAACCGAGTCTTCATATACTCACAGTGGATTTTGTTATTATAGAATAATCCTCTGACCAAATGGAGTGGTGTTAGACCTGTGCTTTAGAGCAAATTATGAAGCACACTTATGAGGTTAATGCTTGTCAACAATGGACAAATGTATTAGTGCATTAGAATACTTGGGTATTTTAAGGCTAGAATTTTCAGTATTTTATCTATTTGTTAAACTTTAGGTGGAAATCAAAGATACAAATGCAGGTTTCTGATGTACATTTTAAAGATCCAATCAGCCCTGGCTGGTGTGGCTCTGTGGGTTGAGTGCCCGCCTGTGAACCAAAGGGTTGCTGGTTCGATTCCTGGTCGGGGCACCTGCCTGGGTTGCGGAGGGGCCCTGGCTGGGGGCGTGCGAGGGGTAACAGGTAGATGTTTCTCTCTCACACCAATGCTTCTCTTCCTTTTTCTCCCTCCCTTCCCCTCTCTCTAAAAAATAAATGAATGAATGAATAAATAAATCTTTAAAAAGACTCAATCAATGGTATACATGATTTAAAAATAAGGCATGTAAAAACTGTATGGACAACAGCTTTATATTAAAAGTATTTTTTATAAAAGTTCTTTTTTTTAAATCACTAGACAAAGCGTATTTGGTTACATGCATGATGCATGACTGAAAAAACACTAGTTTTTGACATTCAAGATGCTGTTATTCAACTTTCAAGTAACTGATATATACCCACTCAGCATGGCTTTAGAAGAGGCAATATTTCAAATGTGAATTTATTAAGTGTGTGCTGTGGATTATGAGAGTAAAATCCTCCTTTGTTTCTGTGTGAAGCCTTCAGTGAAATCTATATTGGTCATTTATGAATAAATGATTTTTTAAACATTAAGGGATCAAGAATAGAGTATAGAACAAAAATGGAGATAATCTGTTGTGTCAAATTCTGTATAATCACTGGAGAGGTAAATATTTTAATGTTTTTATAATTTCCAAGTAAGAGTAATCCCTCTGTTTTTGTTAAAATTATGAATGACTTTATGTTTTCTGATATTAACATGTAATAGCCATTTTCAATAATGTCCAGGAGAATACAGAAATTACTTGCTTTTATAGTATATAAACTTGGTGTGCTACAATTCTACTCAAAGCTCTACCAACTAGAGACAAAAATCTGATTTTTTTATTATCGAATTATATTCTGATATAGTGAAATTTACAGCAATGTTATCTAATTTTATTCACCCTTTAGCTGAAATCACTACTTATTGAAAATTTAGTGTACCTATTGGGGAAAATGCATATATATGTAATGATATGGACCAACCAAATGATCTAAGCTCTTAAATTTCACCACCGCAACAGGCATTTTAATTTCCTTAGCTGAGTTAGGTATTATTTTATATTGTAGAAAGCCACAGTTCATTTATTATAGACTTAAGTATAAAATCAAGAGTGCTTTTGTACCTAGGTTATAGAACCTGTTTTCCTTATTTTGTAGTCAGATTTTTATGTTTTAAATTACATAAATAAATTGGCATTCTATAAAACAAAGTGAAAATAGTTCATGATAATTTCCTAATATAGAGTTTGTATTCTAATAAAATGAAATATAAATTTTTAATTAAGCAGTTTTTATAAAAGTAGATGATACCTGTATGCATCAGATGGAAAGCTAAAAAAAGAATAATTTTGAATATGAATACTACAAATACAGAATGAGAACCAAGAAGAAGGAAACTTTGACCAGTCAGTAGAAGAATGCGAAGGATTCTTGGTTTATAAAATAATAAACACTGTCTTGACATTACGCTGTTATTTTAATTACTTTGTTTTTAATTTGCGGAGCGCTCCAACAGCCACGAGAATGACAGCCGCCCCTGGGAATGAACCGGCCCAGCCTCCAGCGCGTCCGAGACGGACCCTGACCTGGGTTCCGTGCCCGTGTCTGCAGACACGTGAAGGAAGAGCTCCTGGAGGGAGCGGCAGGGGAACAGGGGTGTGCTTTACAGGAAAGGCAACGAAGGCATAGAGTCAGCTGACAGATCTTTAGCCTTCTTTTAAATGTAGCATCTATTCCTGCTGTGCTGCTTTTTGCCCTTGATACTCTGAAGATGCACCACATGCTGCCTCGCGGTGCTCTGTGTGCTTGGAATACGAGGGGCCGCGCTGGGCTCTTCCAGGGTGGGTCGCGGCAGGTTCAGCTCCCAGCCACGCCACCTGGCCCAGTTCCTCTGCTCTGGCGTCGCCACTGCCTCCCACGATCTTAACTTGTAGTAACAATGGGGACCTGTCTGCTCCCCACACACGCTATGAAATGCCGCCTGCAATGTGTTAAGCAATGCATCGCATCGCCGTACCATTCTCCGCGTGTAGAAATGCTCACCACATTGGAATCATCATGCACTTCCTCGCCAGCAATTCCAGGGCGCAGTGGGTGGCGGGGGCCGCCGCCTCCCCGAGGGCCGTGCCCACGCAGACCGCCAGCTCCAGCTCGTTCCCGCGAATCAGGGAGGCCATGGCCAGCTGGCTCGGAGGAAACCACGTCATCTGCGTCAGAGAGCCCGGGCGGGGCCCCCATTCCCGCCAGGCTCGGGGAGCAGGGCAGGCTGTACTACCTCCAGTCCGTCACGCCTGTAAAACACTCGCTGCCACAGCGCTATACAGGGCGCAAGCGCAACAGCAACTTTCCAATGGAAACGCTGGTAAAGGGACCCGCAGGGAGTATTTTATAAGGTTAGGATTGAAGAATTTAGGACCCTTGCTCATCTTTTTCTAATTAATAACAGTCTCTGCGACATCCTGAGCAGGTCCTTCAGTCTGCCAGGAAAACAATGTAAACTCTTGACAGCGTCTTCAAGAGCGTACAATGAGTACCAATTATCCCCCAAAGCCAGCCTCTCTAAGGATACAGGAAAATGGAGTCGGCCTCTTTACTAATACTTTACTCATTTTCTTGGTGGGTCAAGTGGAAAACGCCCTAAAAATATACCTTGTGAAGAATATACTAAAGTATACTTAAAAATAAGTGCTTTTGAGCATCAGGAGTTCTGAGTCCAAGTTCAGTGATCTTTCCCTGGACTGCGCTACCGCTTCCTGTCTACAAAGAAATACTTGAAGTGAGGTGGTCACAGCTATGTATCTTGTGATAAAAATTTTTTAAAATTTAAAAATAGATCTCACAGTCTGTAGTGCTGTGCACTTAATGGGCCCAGAAAGCTTGTGACCCTGGATGTCACGCGGGACGTCACCGCGCTCCCTGCAGACGCCAGGACGCCTGCCTGCCGGGAGCGTCCCTTGCGCATGCACCCACAGGGCAGGAGGTACCTCGATGTCGTCGGCCGCCAAGTGGCAGCACGCGGCCAGCACTGCCCGCCCGTCCTGCAGGTACCGTTCTGCCAGTTCTTCACTCACCGAGTGCAGGAGGCTGGAAAGGGAAGGAGAACACCTCTAGGTACACATGGGATCCCACCGTAAAAGGGACCTGATGCCCTTTTGTAACAAGCCAGTTAAGGGCTCGAGTCAGATTTAATTGGGCATCTTTGATTTAGGCATAAAGCCTGATTTGGAGCAGAACGCAGGAAGGGAGTTATTCGCAATAAGCTGATAAGCACCCCCCGCCAACCGTCAGAAGAAATGCCTAATTTTCAAAATTTACCATCCTAAATTGAATCGTTTATGACTCAGCTGTAGGGGGCGGTTCACCTCTGCAGAATTACAGGCTGCGCTCTTCTAAGTTCAGGTGGTGACTGGAATGTGGGGAACATACGTGTGAGACCTTCCCAACATCACGTTTAGGAACGGCAAGGGGTAGCAGCAAAGAACCCATTAGGAATGCGTGAGTCCCAACACATTGTTTGCTTAACATCTTATGATCCTTTTTCACTTGGTAAGTGTCCTAAAAGTTCAAATACCCTGTTTTCTGGGTAAAATAGGAGCTGAGAGAAGACGGAGAAGGTAGATTACTAGATTTGAAGAAGGTCAAAAAGCTGAAGAAGTCTAATTTCCATTTCCTTTAAAACCACAACTATTTGGATTTCTTCTTTAAAGGAGGCCGACACATTATTCTCAACCCTCATACTGGGCTCGCGGGATCAGGAACAGCGTTACTAAGATATTGTCCACACGGACTTGGTGGCAAACATCCATCAGCAGCACACGGTCCGTCCTCCCCCAACAGGTTTGCTCAGTGGTAAGTGCTCAGGTGCTTGGATTGCAACCTCCACACTGAAATGTGCTTTGCTCTCCTGGAAGCCACAGGAGATGGCATGTCTGGGCTGCGTCTCCATGGCAGGCACGTCCCCACCCACCTGGCGCCGGACGCTGCGGTGGAACCGACCGTGGCGAGAAATGCAGGGAGCCCGCGAGGCAGCCAAGCCCTCTGACTACAACGAAAGATGGACTACGCGGCCCTCACGGCCTCCTCAAGGGGAAGCCGCCGTAAACATCAGTGACCCCAAACAAAGAGTCGCTTACTCGTTAAAGTCTTCCTTGTAGAAATCGTCGGAACAGGACGGCCCTTTCGCTGTAGAAACATGGAAGGTCTGCATATTCCCCTCACAAGCAGCCTGGAATGTAATGAAAGCTTGAATTACCTTTAGCTGTTGGTAACTGGCCAATTTCAGGCCAGTAGTTTGGACAGAATATACCTGAATCTTGTTTGAAATTTATACTGCAATTTAAAGATATCCTTAGAATTTGAAAAAGAAACATGAACTCTAGTGTATCAATGTGAAGCTTTGAGTACCTGGTTACAGACACAGCTGTACGAGCGTGCAGAACGTTCGAGAGAACTCAAAGTCTCAGAGTTCAGACGTGCCTGTGTAGTTCAGGGTCTAAAACAGGTTCAGTGTGACCAGAGCCAAGAGCCCGTGACTGAGCCGAGACTCAACATGTTGACAGAAGGCCGGGAGGCGGGCAGGGGCCGAGCCACCTCTGGCTTTGTCCATCACGTCAAGGGGACTCAGCCAACAGGAGCTCCTGCCTTCCACACCCACCCGCCCGCGCGCGCACCTGTGTGGGCGTGCACCTGTTACCTGGGCAGCGACCAGGGCTTCCTTCAGCTGACCCCGGGACAGGAAGAAAGTGACTAGCTTTTTCACGTCCCCAGTGGCTACGCAATAGGGAACGACATCATCCTTATCTTCCTGGATTAATTGATCGGCTCTCCTAATAAAACAAGAACATTTTTTGTTTTACAATGTACAAATTTCAAGTTCTCAGACGGACTGAGATTTCCTGAAATATCTAAAATTTGAAGCAGGTTTCACAAAGCTCTTTTGCATATCACTTTTTAAAAAGACAGATTTCATGATCAAATCATATATGGAATGCGAAAGTTTTCTGAACTAATAAATACTATAGGTACTTGTTTTCCCTTAGAACACTATGTAACTTTCCTTTTTCTAAAGATTTTATTTATTCATTTTTAGAGAGAGGGGAAAGGAGGGAGACAGGGAGAGAAACATCAATGTGTGGCTGCCTCTCGCATGTCCCCAACTGGGGACCTGGTCAGCAACCCAGGCATGCGCCCTGACTGGGAATCGAACCTGCAACCTTTTGGTTCACAGGCCGGCACTGAATCTACTGAGCCACACCAGCCAGGGCCCAATTTTCATATTTTAAATATACTGAATACTTCAGGCCTTAAAATTAAAGTAGCTTATCTATTTGTATGAGCAACATATTTTTTTGAAATTAAATTGTAAACTGGATGTGCATGAGGGGCGATCTTAAAATTAAAGTAGCTTATCTATTTGTATGAGCAACATATTTTTTTGAAATTAAATTGTAAACTGGATGTGCATGAGGGGCGATCAGTTGGATTGATAAATACATGGGTTTCTACTTTATTAAAGAGAACTTTAAATGTTATGGTGAACACAATGGTGAAGAGAGAGCTTCTAAATACAACTGGCTTAAAAAACATTGAAAAAGAATAATGCAAGAACATAAATATTCATAATAAAATGGAGAATACTGTCAGTGGCCCAGGCAAGGTAACTGAGAGGAAGACAGTGTTCCAGCTACGTGACGAGGGGAGGCAGCCGGTGCAGACTGCGAAGGCGCACGCCTCTGTCTCTCTGTATCCGTCACTGTCTGTCTGTCTCTACCTAGGTCCCAGGTTCTTTCTCAACGGCCAGCCTAGATCCTTCCACCCTTCCCGGTTAACCTCCGTGTTGCTCAACACTGACCTGGTGTATTTAATTTACGTCCATATTTGCATTAAATTACATGTCAATTGCCAGTCTTCAGCTAGGCACAGTGACGCATTTTATGCTGTTTTTCTCAGTTTGCTGTCTACCAGCTCCAGTGTGCAGGGTCCCTGGGGGTCTTCCTAGCAGCTGTAATTTTACCCTGCGACCCTGATTTCCTTGTTATTCTCTCCCTTGGCATTGGAAACCAGGACTGAAGGACTGCTGGTCCCTGTCCAGGCTGGCTCTACAGGACGTAACTTTGGAGCTGTGGGGGGACCATCTTCTGGCCCCCGTGCGGACTGTGGAATGGAGGAGACCAGATGTTAGTTTCCGCAGGTCAATAGAGCTTTTGCTGAGGTTGAGACAGAACTGTTTCTGAAATGAATGCCTTCTGCTGACTCGACCTATTAAGGGCCCAGTGGGAGCCCTGACGTCGAAGGCTGTGCAGAGGCCCTGCAAACCCCGCCTCTGCGAGCCTGGAGCTCAGCGCAGGGAGCCCAGGGCGCGGGCGGGCCGGCCTTCTGTTGCGCTCACAGCCGCGCACAGCAGGTGCTCTGCTCTCCCGCCGCAAAGGCGCTCACCCTGCGGCCCCGGGTTGATTTTTATTTGTACTTGTGAGTGGCAGTTGAGTTTTCAATAAATCATATATCATGAAATAAAAATCAAAATTCTTTCACGTTGCATGCCAGACATAAACACTCATCGAATAGTACCCTATAGGCTTAGCACAGGGATCAGCACATGGTAAGCCTTAAACACGTATTTCTTGAGTGAATGGAATAGAGAATAGTCTTGTGTCATGGGTTAAAATCTGTCCCCCGCAAAAAGAAAGGTTGAAATTCTAACCCATGGTATCTGTGAACGTTACCTTATTTGGAACGGGGGTCTTTGCCAATGTGATTCGTTAAGACAGGACTACGCTGGAGCAGGGCAGACCTTAAACCTGGTATGAGTGATGTCCTTACAGAAAAAGGGAAACCTGGACGCAGAGACCCAGGGACAATGCCATGTGAAGAGAAGGCAGAGGGTGGAGTGACGTGTGTACAAGCCAATGAAAGCTGGCGGTGGCCGGCCACCCCCAGCCGCTGGGAGGAGGCATGGGCCGGGTTCTCTTCAGTAGGCACCCGCCGCCGCCAACTTCCTACCAAACTTCCAGCCCCAGAACGAAGCCACCCAGTCGGTGGTGCTTGGTCATGGCACCCTAGGGAGTGAATACATCCTACAAAAAACACCTCATTTATTACACCTGGAACGAGGACATCTAGTCTAGCCTGCTCAGCGTCGAAGCTCTTCCCCGTCCTCTGTCGCCGCCGAGGCCCCGAGTGCCCGCGGAGAGGAAGCGGCAGGGATGACGCCTGCTGGGAGAGCTGCCGAGGCTGCAGAGCAAGCATTCCACAGGCGTTTGGTGACCTTCAGAAAGCCTCACCGCTGACCCTCCGGGGTCGGCACAGTGGCCAGGGAGCGCGTTCATGGCCCTGTCGTGTCATTTCCTCTCGGACGGGGGAAGCGGCCCTGCGCCGTGTTTGTCGGATGTCGGGTCACACACAGGAGCACCAAGGTGACTTGGAACCGATTCACTTATCGTGTCAGCGGACACCAAATTCAGTTATTAGTTACGCCAACATAAAGGGGAAAATCTCAGACGCTGCCATCGTATGTACGTATTGTCTCTATTTTGCCATAGTTGAACACATCTCATAGACCCAGACCCTCTGCCTTACCTCTGCATTAGCTTCTTCCAGTATTTCACGGACACCCCTGGGGCGACAGACAAGGCTTTGTCCCACTGGAACAGAAGAAAGAAGAGCAGGATTAGAGCGTCCTGTTCACCCTGCCTGGCCCGCAACAGACTTCCTGCAATACAAGATTTTAGAGTGTTTACAGAGTATGTGCATTTCCAGGGTTATTTTTGTATTCTCTCTCTCTCTCATTCCACAGGGTATAAATACCACCATATTTTAAAATAAAATAAGACAGGTAAGTTCTATTATCTAGCAGGGAAAATCCCAAACCTAGACAGAGAGAGGAGAGCTAGGGGGAGGGGAGAGAAGGGGAGGGTGGGAGGGACAGGAACTAAACTATGGAGTTTGAAAACTGTATTAACTCATCTTCCAGCGCAACTCAGAGTAGTCTGCTCTGTGTCGTATCCTAGGTTCAGCATAATGCCTAGTCAGATTTTTATTTTATTTTTATTTTCATTTTTATTTCAACAAAATGCATAGTCAGATTTTTATTTATTTTATTGTATTTTATATAGCATCTATTTTTATTCTTTCCCTACTTATTTTTATGTTATACTTATTGTAAAGTCTTCCTTTACAATTGATAATGCCTGTCTTTATGTTTTAAAAATTAGGCTGCTAATAAAGAACCTCTTGGCTCGATCAAGGCTGATTGTGACTGTTATTTGAAAATGTGGATTTCACTGAATTCATGTCTAGAAGGGAAGTAAGGAAAAAATTTTCTGAAATAGCACTACATAGATCAAAACTTTGTTTTAATGAAGGCTTTCCAAAACGGGGTTCTACTGCAATTAAGGATATAAGATTAGTAATTAGCCTGAAAATAACAGGTTCAAGTTTAAACAGGTTATTTCAAATATTATATTATTTATAATGATGTTACCTAAAAAAGGGAACTTAAAATATGTTTTTAGGGGAGATTTATCTATAATAAAGAGAAATAGGAAAAAAGTTAAAATGTAGACTAAGTTAACCACACTATGCTCTTGCAATAAAAACGTCTCATAATTTAAAGATTAGTTATTTTTCTGATCTCATAGTATTAATCTTACAGAAATAGAAAGAATTTATAAGTAAGTGATAATGATCAATTATAAGGACACCCATATTTCTAAAGGACTTTAAACACAGACTTTGCATCACTGAGCCCATCAATGAAACCACACAACAGATAATTATTAAGTTCCATAAGCACATACTCGATTAAAGGATCTTTAATTAAATTTGCATTAAATATAGTTTAAAATTATATATATGGAAATATAGAACTCAGAAAGATAAAGTCTACAGCTCTACCAAACTTTATTTTCTCATTGACTTTTGATAGATATTATTCTTTCTAGTAGTGCCCAGTTAAAAAAAAGTAACTGTTAAATTATATCTTTACTTCTTCATAAGTAAAACTTTTACACTGCTCTTAGATTAAATACTTTTTAATGTGCAAGGCCTTTCAATAACATTTTTAAATGACACATTTTATTATTTTAGTTCAAGCAGTCATTGTCTCTAGAGTATAGAGCAATAAAAAGGTGCATTAATTTTCATTTTGATATACTTTGTTGTAGCTTCACTGTTTAGTTTATATTATTTATAAGTATCCTTAATATCCTGCTTTGTCATAAAGAAATTAAGTCACTTAGAGCTTTTCAAAAATGATCAAGTATGAAATGAACCCATGCCATTCTAATCGTTGCATTTTTTTGGACAGGTGGGAGAACATCAGTGAACTAAGTACACACGCAGAAAAATGGAAAGCTCAATCAGTTTTCACAAACCAACTACACCCAAGTAGCCAGCACGCGGACCGACACGCAGAAGCCCTCCCGCCTGTGCTGAGGCAGTCACCACGCACGTTCCAAATGCGGGCGCCCTGCTGAATGGTGATGGGACGGCCTCATCCTAACATGTTTTGAAAACTGTCTTATTCAGTCTTCTGTACAAATCAGGACATGTCCTCAGATCAGCCTCAGTGGAAACCCTGCTGGCCAGTGTGGGGTTAATCTGGACCAACAATATTAGCAAGGGGAGTGCGCTGGGAGCAAGGCAGCCAACATAGATGCTTCTCAGGGACCCACGAGTCCGGCCTAGGGCAGTGATTCTCAGACTCTAACACGCGTGAGAATACCCTGGAGGGCTACAGAAGCACGGATTAGCGGGCTCCCCCCCGAGGTTTCCGATTCTGTAAGCCTGGGGCGGGGGGAGGCAGATGGAACAGGCTCCCGAGCAGGACCCACACGGACAACTACCGCCCCAAGGCACACGCCTGACATCAGACGGGCAGAGCTGCTCGACCTGAAGGAAGACACGCTTACTATTTCGTGTTTAACTGATACTTAGGATACTTCATTGAACTCATTCGTTTTACTTTAATAGCACCTTACCTCCCCAAGTTCGACCATCAGTTCACAGTATCTCTGAATCTGTCCTAATCTCAAGTGTATTTCAGCGGCTTCCTTCAGTCTTTCTTCTTTAGTAGGAGCACCAATACCGCCACCAAATTTGGACATCTTGACCGTTGTCAGTTCTTGGGCTTCAGACTGGTGATAAAAGAAAATAAAGCTTTTCTAAATTTTGTTTTACAGGAGCTGGTGACAACACATGACCAGGAAGGCACTGTGCGGATAACATGGATACGTATTTTAAAAGCATGCAGCACTGGAAATGCAGTATTTTAAAAAATCAATACTTTCCCTCTATGAAACGTGACCCGTGCGTAAACACAGAATTTCGGTGTGGGCGGGGCATAGAGAGCGGACGAGCCCGGGGCGTGGGTGTGTGCGTGGGTGTGCTAAGGAGCGCCGTCCTGTCCTGCACACTCACGGGGGTGGGGGTCATGCAGCGGACCACAGGCCGAAAGGTAGTGACTGAAAAAGACGGGTCACTGGTGACAAAGGTACAGAAAGGCCTCTCATCAAAGTTAGAATTACTGGCTTACTCTGGCTCCTAAACGGTCAATAGGCAACTCTTACAGTCATCACGTGTTTAGTTAGTGATTTAAAAACGTGCTGCTTCTTTAAGAAAACAACGGCTGTCGTGAGCATCGGACCCACCCCCCGGCCCGATTCTGAGCTCGACCAGCCGGGTTCACCACCTGGCTCTCACTGCAGACGTAAAGGGTAGCTCTCCGTTCCGGGGCCAGGGCTGGCTGGCTGTTGCCGCTGCATAGTGACCCAGGAATGAGATAACGAATAATTTTGCATTCAGATGCATGAAGGTCTCCATGACATGGTGGGTTTCAATGGGACACCCCAGTAGTCTGTGTGCCACCGTCAGCTGGTTGCAGGTAAACGGCGAGCCAACAATATTAGCAACCAACAATATTAGCAACAATACACCAACAATATTAGCAAGGGGAGTGCGCTGGGAGCAAGAGAGCCACCACAGATGCTTCTCAGGGACCCAAGAGTCCAGCCTAGGGCAGTGGTTCTCAGACTCTAACACGCGTGAGAATACCCTGGAGGGCTACAGAAGCACGGATTACCGGGCTCCACCCCGAAGTTTCCGATTCCGTAAGCCTGGGGCGGGGGGGGGGGCGCAGGGAGGCAGGTCGTTTCAAGTCGTTCCAAGTGACCACTGAGGAGTGGCGTGAGTCTCAACCTATAAACACGATAGTGGCCTTCCCCATCCTCACGTAATTCACAGCCTCTTGCTTGCTTTTTCCTGAAGATTTACCTCCTCAGTATTCACTTATTTCAGTCTACCAACTCTGATATATACATTTTGAAATAATCTTTATGTTTTCGTTGTGAAAAGGCAAAACTAATTTTTGCCTGAGCGCGTCACCTGTGCACACTTCGCTCACCGTTCTAAACTGGACCAGATGCTTCCGATGCATTACGCCCTCACGGTAGCTCTCGGGGAGCAGGCTGTCATCTTGCCCTTGTAGCACGGCAACCAGGTTCCACAGATTGTCGCTGCCACCTGGAGGCTAACAAGTGGGTACAGAACAACCGACACTCTGCAGTGAGTGGGGCACCCCCGCCCCAGCACTCGCTGCACACCTTCAGCAAGATAAGGCAGGCGCAGTGAAATAGAAAATGAACAAAATGAAATCCACGCCTTATCCCATTTCTTGTTTCTGGTTTCCACGTACTTTCTTGCGCTGTACGGGTTACGTTCCGAGGCACCCAGGGAACAGGGACGATGCATTTAAATATGTGTGACAACTTCATAACAACAGTTGTCCAGGTTCATTATTGGGGGGAGGGACACGCCCACACGGAACTCCTGTGACTACTTACTGATAAGCACTCTGAAAACCTTCTCAGTCTTTCCACACGAGGGTCCCTGGGGAGCTTCTCGATGTCTTGTTTAATATCTCTGGACACTTTGCCACACAGGACGGGAGGCGTGCCTTGCAGTAGGGCGTAATCTGGAGGACAGACGTCATTCGGTGAGAAAAGATGGCTATACGATATCCTTTAAAAATAAAAATCTTAACCATGCAGCTTGTCAATACCAGTGTTCCCGACGATTTCCTTCAAAGGTCTGTCGGCCAGAATTTTCATCTGTAAAGGAGCGATCAGAGGGGCCAGGGACCAGAGCCGCACCGTCGAGTCCCGGGAGCAGGAGGCCACGGTGAAGGGCCGGCCGGGGTGGCAGGCTAACCCTGGGCGAGAGACAAGCCGGCTTTAACGACAGGAAGCATCGGCAATACTTTTGATCTGTAGGCTCCTCCTGGACCTTGTACAGAATTGCAGTCTTGAAGAAATGCTCCTATCTTGGCTGAAAGTAGTAGAAGAATGTAATACGTTATTTGACATAAAATAGGAATACACATGGAACGATCATTAGAAGGCAGAGGGCCCCGGATGAAGATGTGGAAAGGACACCTCAGCGGGCTGACACCCAAGGAGCGCACAGCCGTTCGCGAACTGACGGACGCGCCAGCTACCCGGGTGGGGGTCCTTCCAACTGCAAGTGTCCAGAACCGGGGTTCTCTCTTGCACAGACCCACAGTGCTCCCCAAAAAGGCCACAGGGGGAGGCACAGGGATTCAGACGGCACGACTACGGTTCCCGCGAGGAACCATTTTTGCATTCTTAATTGACCTCCTTACACCTACCAAGGTTTGGGGGCTGCAAAGAACAGGAAAATGATGCTCAAAAGACAGAACATCTGATTTCCCACACCCCACACAATAGTATTAAAAATCACACACCACTCTCTAAATACCTAAGAATAGAGGGGGAGGAACGGCTAAATAAGGTACACCCGCTTCATTACAGGTTTCCTTTTCACAGCTTACCTCTGGGGGAGAAAGATCTAAGCCACATACGCAAATACGTGCATGGGTACCTGTGTGCATGCGCGCGTGTGTGGTAGAACAAAATATACCCGCAGATAAAGACAGCACAATGCTAATAAAAGTTACCTTCTGCCAATTTCTGATGATGCCTTTTTTATCACTGTCTGTGTGTTCTGACAGCTCAGTAACACCATGTATAGTTTTCTAATGAGAAAAATGTCTTTGAAAATGAACCACTGTAAGGCTTCTTCCAAAAATACTATATTGCTCAGAAACGACAGTCATCATTAACAGAGCAGCGTTTACAAGCACATGAAAACCGCTTTACCATACACATCCGCACCGTGGTCACGCACAGTATCCAAGCAAGTCCCGTCTCGAGTGTCCCATACTTTCATGGTATAGTCCCAGCTGCCCGAGATGAGCAGGTAGGGGATCTCGGGGTTCCACGTTAACCCACGCACGGGGCCACTGTGTCCGCGGAGGATGTTCACGCAGGCGTCCTGAGTGTAATCCCAGACTCGAACGGAACTGAAACAGAGCACTGGGCAAGTGATGCTGTTCGAGCTAGAACTTACCTAAAACCGTAACGTGTTCCTGTGGGAGCACAGCAGCTATTTCTCAGTGTATTACAAAAGGCATTCTGTGTGTCCAGTGATGCTGAGGTTCTCTTCTTTAGAGCAGATGAAAAGGAATAATTTGGCTAGAGCTAGCCTATTCCTAACTGGCATTTTTTCCCTGACTTGACTGGTCAATTTGCTAATGAAACTGAATGTGCTACTGCACAGTTTATATGTTTAAAAACTGCCTTCTTAAAGTAAAATATCCAGAATAGATAAAGCCAAATAAAAATATGATTAATAACATGGATGAGATAATTTAAGAACACTCAAATTATGTATAAATGATAAAATACAGTATGTATGACAATGGGTATTATATGAAAAATCAATTCATATTTATAATCATATCAATACAGAAAGCCATTCTTTCATGTTTTTGTCACATAATAAGTTGCTTATCCAGTGTGGAATCACCCTCAGATCAAGTACAAAATTTAAATACAACCAGATTCATGATATTAGTTCAATCTACTGATTGTACAAAGTACAAATATTACTAAAATAAAATCTGAACTGAAAATAAACGTAAGACCTTCAAATGCCAACTTTGCTTGGGCAACTATACTAAATTTTTAGTCACAGGTTTATATCAATCAGATGATACCAAAATATTAATAATTCAGAGATTATGCTATACATTAAATTATGTATTTTTGTTTTTTTAAGGCCTATCTCTTTCTGCTTTATATAAAAGGCTTCTTTTTCCCCCTTATCCTAGTACAGAACAATGTATCCAGGCATATCAAAAACTATTTTGGGGCACTGATTTCCTATTCATGTTTAAATTATTTTGTTTGGTGTCATACCTTCATGGGTAATTCTATATTAAAGTGACTTGTTTCAAAATACCTTCATGTTGCCCTAGGGGCACCAGACCTGGTGTTCTTGCTTTTACGGCTGAGTCAGCCCAGGCAAGCACCGGGCTCGGAAGTCCGAACGTATATTTTTTAATGAAACCTAAGAAAAGCTTGCGCATGTCCCTCTGCACAGAAGAAGGGCCTGCGGCTTCCGTGTGGAAGCACAGAACCCGCAAATTCTGTAATGAATACATTGGCAAGTAGTGATTTCGCTACAATTTTGACTTTTACTTAAATGTGCTGGATAACATGTTAGGTATGACCATCAGCTCTGTGACTACTGAAAGGACCAATAACCAGAATTCAGGTAGAACCTTTCTACTTTCATTACCATAAGTGAGTAAAAGGCTTACTGCTATCTTTCTGACAAATATTTTTGAGACAACAATTGAAGAGTATACTTCTTTCATATAGGATAGAATACAGACTCTAGAGTACATGTTAAGAGACTGAAGTGATAACCCACAGAAGTCACACAATTATTTTTATTAAATTTGGTTTTATTTCAAGATTTCAAGAAGAATATAGTTAATTTTTAATATTAAACCTGAGGTTACTGCATACTATGACTTTTAGTTGCATAAAGTTAGATTTTTTTCACCTAAATTTATCTCTTCTTGTTCAGTAGTGACCAAAATGTTAAATCACTCTCATTCCTAAAATATCTGCTCCTCATGCTAAAATATATAATCATCTTCTTTTATTCCTTTCTTAATGAAAACAGAGTCCAGTTTTTTCTATCATATGTAAACATTATTAAAAACCTCTTCTCTATATTTAACAGAGATAAATCTGTTTCCAATCTATTTCCCTTTCCCAAAAGATCTTTTAAAATTTTTGTGTCTATTAACTTTGCTATTGGTAAGATGGAAATAAGCATCCATAGTAAGTAAAATAAGTAAGAAGATAGATATCATGATTATGATCATAATATAAGCATGAAAAGATTGAATTTACTTTTGGTTGAATGCAATTAGCACTTGTTAACCGCCAACATGTTAAGCGCGTATTTCAAATATTCCCCATATCAGTTGGATCATATAAATAAGTACATTTCCAAAAAATTGTAAGTGCATGATTTCATGGCCTAAAAGATGTGAATCCAAAAATGCATACCCATCGTCAGAACCGCTGCAGAGAACTCCCTCCCGGAGCGGCGCCCACCGGACGTGGAAGACCTTGGCTGTGTGCCCACTGAACACCTTCAGCGGCTGGTCGGAACTGGTGGCCACGTAATAGACACGCACGTCTTTGTCCTCACAGCCCGTGGCGATCATGTCTCTGAAACACCACCGGCGGCACGTGGAAGTGGGAGACATTTGATGTTACTTGTTACAGAGGGTTTGAAAACGTGCACAGCTCTCATTTCTAGCACTAGAATGTGTTTTGCTTCCTTAATGAAGTTAGGCTGAAAACTTAATCTAAGTGAAAACACAGTGGGCAATAACTGTCCTAATACCAAAAGGAGTTTCTCTCTCAATGTTCCCTTTTAATCGGTTGAATTTTATTGTATTCATCTTAGATCAGAGATAATAATGGTATTTACATTTCTCTATGTTCTTTTTTCCAAAATGTTCAAATCTGTAACTTCTCAAATAGTTCTCAGAACTTTATACTTTGCAACTATTGCTTCTAAGAAGGGTCCCCAATGGTGAGTGACAGAGATGTGCTGACTTGCTGGTAGGCAAGCTATCAATCACTACTCACCCTCACCACTAAAGGTGGGAGAGGGCATGGGGTAAATGGTAGAGGAAAAAATACAATAAAAATAATGTAAAAAAAAATAAAAAACATATAAAGCTCAGATTAAATAAAAGAATTTAAAAAAATAGAAATAAAATATTTCTAAAATGAAAAAACAAAAACAAAAACCAAACAAACGTTATTGGTTTAGTGGCAAGAGGGGTGGTTAGAAGAACACTTAGAAGGAGTATGTGGGAGTAATTCACGGTTGACTGGGAATGGAAATTGAGAGATGATGAGGTGTAGTCCTAGGGAGAAGCTGGCATGAGCTCATTTTGTATATAACCTCTAATGGTGTGTAAGAATTTCTTCTATATTGACTGGAATACAGAGATCCATCATTTTGTATAATATGTGTCCTATTTAGAACACATGTAAAGTTTTAATATTTTAATATGTATAGTTTCCACCTGTAATATGGAAAAGCGTGAGACAGATACTTTACGTGTTTTAAGTTAAGTTTTATGTGTAATTTATATCCCATCAAAGAGAGATGTGAAATACATGATTCTTAGATGTGCAATGACTTTACGATCAATTTTTAGTGGAGGTTTGACTTGGACTGATTTTAAAATTTAAGCTGACTTTTCCATGGTAAGTAGTAGGCTGTTAGACAAGGTTGACCTTTCAAAACCATCCACCTCAGCTCCATGTGTTGGGAACCCCAATGGCGTGGCATGGGGGCGGAGCGTTCGTGGGGGATGATGGGAAGTCAGGGCAGAATAAGACCATCACGTAGGTTCCTAAGAGGGGTGCAGAAAGGCCCCCATTTCTCTGGCAGAACCCACACCGCACAGAGATTGGACTGATTTCCACTTGTCATTCATTGAGCCATAAAACACCAGAAAGTTGTGATATTTCTAAATCATGTGACAAGTTCATGAAATAAAATTGACATTTAGAATAAATACGCAATTACAAGACAAGGCAAGGGAACTCTGATCTAAAAAGAGTGAGGTGCGTCATTTATAGAAATAACATTGAACTTTATGGTTATTTAATATCTCAGGAATGTAATTATTATGTACTTTAGAAAAAAAAAATACTTACTTGTTGTTTAGGCTCCAATCACAACCGAAGACCGCAGCAGGGTGTTTGTATTTGTGTAGCACTTTACCATCGATTGTTCGAATAATACTGAAATTAAGTGTAATATGTTAGTAGAGGAAAACATTCTAAACATTTCATTCAAGGGAACAAAGTGAGAATTGTATAAGTGAAACATAAATACTTGAGGATAGAAGCTTTGTCTGAAGAGCACCAGGAACATTCAAAAGCCCTGTGCAATACCAATTATGAGTCTATATACTTAGGTTACCTATTATTAATTATTATAACTTATTTATATCAATTTAGAGGGGATAGATTTTGATTTAGAAAGTATTTCATAGAGAAATTTTTTGATCTAGGAGAAGCATAGTTTCTACATCTCCTTTAAAACAATGATATAATTAACATATGCATTAGATGTTCAGTTTCAAAATTTATATTTAAAACAACTCATTTATAACGCTGAGTACACATACTGTCATACCAAGTCCAAGATGCGTCAGTTGTAATATTTCCTGGGCATCCTCTAAGTAATCTAACTAGGAATTCAAAGGGCCCCCTCTCCCTAAAAGGGTCTGATATACTTTAACTGCAGAAATAGAAGAAGGTCTAAAATCCCACTCTATGATATCACAATGCAAGGGCTACTGATTCCTTTAGAAAGAAAAAAAAGATAAGTATGTACACACTAATGTATGACAGGGTTTCAAAGGGCTCGGGGGAAGACCCTGGAGCACACCACTGGGCCCACCACAGCCTCTGAGGCAACGGGGCGTCGGGGACCGGCACTTGCGCGCCTCCGTCGCTGACTGCGGCTGTTCATCAGACCGGCGGGGCCCTCCGGGGAAGAACAGCCACAAGAGGGCACGCCACCTGTCCAAGGCTACGGGGAGCACCATCTGATTCCAAACATTTTTAACCCAGAGGCAATTCTTCCCTTACATGCAGTTTTTTTTAGAAACCTACTTTCCCCTAGAACGTAATGGAACTGAGAAAGCACATATTGCTGAAACGCAAGGTCAGAGAACTTAGCTTTAAAAGAAAAGGCATTTCCCATAGGAGTTACCTTGTTTTTCTTTGCAAGGGCTATTACCCTTTCATAGGTAACAGCACCTACAAAGAAGTTTCTAGAGGACCTGATAGCTCCCGAGTCACTTTAAAAACTGAAATGCCACCCCCTCAAAAATCTGATGAGAATCATTTAGACTCTTTGTGAAAAGTCCTTCAGTTTCTTGGAGGCAATTCACAGCCTAGTAGGCGTAATTCAAGCAGTTGCTGGTTGGTTTGTTTATTTTGGAACATCATTTCATTATTCTTTATCACTGATGCATCATAGCGGTGCAGCGTGCGCCCGTGTGGGCTTATAAATACTGTTTGTGATAGCCGGAGAGCTGGACGAAGAGAATCGGCACTTTACATCAGCACTTTAAAGCTTGTGCTCGCAGGGTGCTATCGATGCGCCTAATGAGTCCTTTACAAACAGAGTAAAACGCACACAGCACTCACCAAAAACCATCCTCGCTGCAGGTCGCTATTCTTCTGGAATCTTTATGACTCCAGGCAATGCAGAATATTCCATTTTTTCCGTGCTTCAAAAAATGCAAAATACCTATCAATAAGAAATAATTCACCCCTTTTTTTCTCTTACTAGTTTACTTCTAAGTATTATTTTTCTACTAGGAGCTTGCTTTGGATGATGTGAACCGCAGCATTATTGCCAACAGCAGAATATGTATTTTACGAATGTTAAATGTTGTCACGCTTAAACAAAATCATTGTTTTAAAACACGAGTTGAGTGGCATCTAGTTCTTTTTGGTGAACGCAGGGCAAGAGCCAGAATCTGCTGGCGGAGCCTTTTGTAGGATGAAACCCTGCTCACAGCCTTTCCCTGAGAACATCAGCCTGGGGATGGAGAGCGTCTCTCTCCGCTTCCTAACCGGGCGCAGCCACACCCGTACGGCAGGCACTGCTGCCGGCCATCGCTATTATTGACTGGTCTTCTCAATTTCTGAGAACACTTTCAAGACCATTCCTACAACAGATCACTCTATCCATCTGTGTGCCTGCCTTCTTGGAGCGTGGACGTGCAAGAGGACCTAGTCACAGCTGCTGTGACAAGAGCTGCTCGAAACACAAGAGATCTCGGTGGGAATGTCATCCACCCATTAGGTCATGGGTAAGTAAAGGTCGCTCTGTTTCCAAATTTAACTGAAAACACTTCGGTCTTGCACAGTATTTCGGTGGCGGCGGCGCCGTTTTGTCCTGCGTTTTAAGGCTGTTTGACTGAGGTGGTCTCTAGCTGCTGGTGTTTCTGTCTTTGGATGTCAAGGTGGGGGGCTCAGGAAGACCGACACAAACCGGGAGGCGGCCTCTGTACTCAGCGGGAGTGGAGGTCCCCGCCAGCCTTGTTACCCCCATGGGGAGCGCACTTCGCGCTCCTCACAACCCTGATTTCCTTGTGGGAGGCATGTGGGACTCTATTCATTAAAGCTGGCATTGTTGATTGTTCCCACATTTATTCTCCTGGATTTAAGCAATTTTGTTATCAGTCTTAACTATGAAAGACAGGGGTGTGGGTACAAGAGATGCCCAGGAGCCAAAAGGCCAGGCTGCTGAACAAGGCTGGGAGGGCCCCGTGCTGTGGGGTGGGTATTTCAGGCCACAGGGTCCCACAGGGGCGGCCAGCAGATCCGACCCCTAAGGATAAAATGTTTTAGATTTAGGCCGCCAATTTCTTTTTTCGGTTCACCTCCTCTCCTGTCACTATTTGTTGTGGGATCGGTGCTGTTCTGTTTGGGAGGGCAGAGGGCAGGCCGGACCTAGAGTACAGCCAGGAAGACGAAGGGGAGGGACCTAAGCAGGCGGCTCTTTGGTGGGGCTTCCTCTCCCGTGAGCAGCGTTGCTTCCGGGGGTGGACAGCTTCCCCTGCCCTCTGCACGTGGCTCGTTTCCTCAGTCCCCCAGAAGAGCAAGGCCACTTGACCCTCAAGAGGGTAACCGTCTTCCATGTAAGTGGCTTTAAAGCCTCAAATATATAAACAACTTTTATATGTTATATATTTAATAAACTTTAACAGTAATCATTTGAAATGAATGAAATTTCAAAACTGAGACAATCGGAGTTTCTGTCCTGCATCCCTTGATTCATATGTAATATTTTGTAATGAGATTCGTATCTATTCTGTAATAATTTTCAAATATGAATGGACCTCCATAAACGACAGATGACAATTTGACTCCAAGCAGAAGTAAAAGCACCAACTGTGGCACTGCAAATAAATAGGAAGAGCAGGGGTCTTAGGGCTTGACATAGAACAGAAGGATTTAGGAACTGAAAGGACATCTAAGAAATTACACCTGGTTGGCCAAAAACTCTGTATGGTTTTTTTTCTCTAAAACAAGGACACAGTTTTCATTTTTACCAATAACTTTATTGATTTGGATATTTTGAGTCTGCCAGCTCTCTCCAGTGTGGTATAAAATATTGATTGTTCTCAATTAATGTCTTGATTTGATCACTGTCAGCTTCAACTAGAGCATCCAGTTGAGGCAACCCAACTGTGCAGCATCGTCCAGCAAGAAATCTCCATTACGAAACGTAGCAAACCACTACTGGCACATTTGAGCAGTCACAGCACTTTCTCCATAGACTGCGTGAATCTTTTTTTTTTTTGTATTTTTACCTTTCTTGAAATAATAAAGCATAATATGCTGAAAATGTTGTGTATTTTCTTCCATCTTCAATATAAAAATGGCTACCGAAAAATTCACCAATTTTACGAAGTTTTTTAAAAATGCACACTGATATGACAGCTGTCACAATACAATCTAACAAAACTGTTTTGAATGAAGTCAAAGACAACTAAGCACTACTAGAGCCATTGTACAGAAAAACCAAATGAACTTTTTGGCCAACCCAATAGAATCCAACTTCACCATCTTAAAAGAAGTTCAGGAAATAAAATGATTCTCCCTAAGTCAAGAGCTAATTAATAAGAGAATTGGGACTGTAATTTGGGACTTGTTCTGAGTTTAGTCTTCTTCCAATTACCAAATATTTGCCTATAGCCCCTACTCAAAATTATGACTCTCTAATGCAACTTCAGGTGGATTTTTATATCTTAGACTCATCAACATTTTTCAGAATTCATTTTGGCATGTAAACGTCCTCTTGGTTTTCTTCGCATTCAGAGAACATAATGCCACCTGGCGATTAACTATTAAATTAAGAGACTAACGCATTTAGAAAACAGGGAGCAGTATTAGACATCAGGTTATTCAGCTATCAATAGACAACATCTTACCTCATTAAAGCGTTGTATCATTTTGCCCTTTTTAACATCCCAAATAAAAGCACCATTTTGGGAAGTTGCTCCAGCAATACAATCCAAATCACCTTAGGAAACAATTTGTTAGACATTATATGAAATGTCCACCACAAATGCACTTTTCAAAAATGTAATTTTTGAAAAAGCAAGCCTTGAGATTTGCAAAGTAGTTCTTTAAAATTTTTAATATGGAAATCATGGAGTGTACGCAAATTAAAAAGAATGGTATGAACGTATCCATCACACAGCTTCCACAACGATCAAAATGCAGTCAGCCTTGCTTGGTCTGTAGCCCCTCCTAAATTGCTTCGCTGTAAACCTCTGAAATTACACCATTACATCAAAAAGCACTTTAGGGTGGATGTCTAAGACAGGGACTCTTCTATTATCATAACCCATCCACCACCATCACAAATACAAAAATTGTCAGAAAACTCCTCAATACTATCACATGTCCAGTTAGTATTTACTTTTCTCTGACCATCTAGTAACTTTTTTCATGGTTGGGAAAGCATTTATGTGAGCAACACCCAGGAAAATAAATCCGTTTCTCTACTAAAAACATAGAACGGGCTCTGTCCCTAAGACATGAAAATGTCCGTCGAAATGAAACCGCCACCAAGTGAGCGGACGGTCAAGGACTCCAGCCATTTCCACGCGGCTGTCAGGGTGGGGCTTTCCCCACGGACGGGAAGGGTGTGGTCCCTACCGGGGCGTGAACACAGCGGGGAATTACCCTGTGACAAATGACTACAGACACTAACAAAATCCTCACCATAGTTCCAGGATTTTCATTCTGCTCCCTTTTTGGGCCCTGAAGTTATTGGGGAAAAGTGTCCACTTTACTTGCACCGTTTTTCTTTTCCGGTGGTATCCACTCTAAACAGAGAGGAAGCTATGCAACGACCTCTATCCTTTTCTACTTCCATCCATGGCAACCTTTGTTAATCTTTCAAACGTCATCCATACTTACCTAAAAAGAGAGATTCACTCGTAATCACACTTCAAAAAATATCACAGAATTTGCTTCTCCTAACAGTTTGGCTTCCTTGGGGCAATTTCTCAGTGTTGACTGGAATAATGCTCCGCGGAAGGTGCGCTGCGACGGCGGCCTGTACGGTCACAGATTTGCTCAGGATTTGGGTCTGAGACTCGTATGCATTTTGTAGGAGGAAGAACGGTCTGCAAGTAGCTGCTGTGGTGCTAAGTCTGCACCGGCCGGTTCCACCCTCCATCAGCTGCGAGGGGAAGCTGCTGCGGAGACTCACAGAGCTGGGACTGGCCGCGCAGGCTGCCCTGTCAAGCTGGCCCCTGTTCCCACCGGGGCTCCACCGCCGCTTGCTTTGCATAACGTCCTGCCTGAGTTACCCAGCCCCTCTGACCTCAGACCCTCCTTCGTAAATGCTGGCCAACACAATCAACGAATGAAAGAGATGGAAGTGAAGAAGGGAGAGGTAAGAGAACTGCTGGGTTCTTCTGGTGCTTCTCTTCGTAATCAGTGAAGGGTCAGTTCTCTCAATTAGCTCTATTTCCAGAATGGCACTGAGTGTGTTCTGCTTAAAGGAACAACTACTTTCTGTAAAAAGTGGAAATAAAGCCTTTTTCCAGACCTACTCAGAAGAGGAAGGCTACATAAAAAAAGTGGTTCTATGGGCGGTGGGCTGGAGAGCCAGATTACGATGATGTTTCACAGACGTAGGCACACACACGTCTCCACAAAGAATTACTCATGAATTCCAAGAGGTCCCCAGGTCCTAAAGTCCTTCACAGCCCGTAAGTTCAAGGTTAAACGTCCCTGTCTATGACATAAGGAGGAGGGGGAAGGTATATCCTGGTTATATGGATTGTATGTGTAGGTTTTAAATTAATATTTTACTAGTTGGACAAATAAGTAAAGCATTCTACATACTTTATGAAGTGAAATTCATTCAGGTATGGACAATTATTTATTATAGGGAAATAATATTTTGGGAGAAAATGTCAGAGGTTCCACAGGACACCCACTTTATGTGAAGGAAAGTGCGAAGGCAGCAGCATCTTTCTGAGGTCAAAGAAAAGACCCTACTATGACCTAAACATTTTTCCATATCACAAAGGTGGAGTTGACACAGAATTAATCACATGGTCACAGGGGAACAGTGATGATATATAATGGTTCATATTTACAAAATGGCTGTATTAGGGAAAGATATATATTCTAATTTTTAGAAAATTAGTTTTTACATATTTGAATCACAGGAAAAATTTAAGGGAAGCTTCACGTGAAAAGTGTGGTACCGTTAAAGGCACAGCCATACAGATGAAGCGAAAATCAGATGGGTCGCAACTGTCCTGCCTCACGGTGGCTTTTCCATGTGATTATGTCATATAAAAGGGCCCAGAAATCAAAGTACCTATGCAAGAAGCCTGTGCCAAAACCCCCCAAAGCTGAACCAAAAAGTACGTCATTACTAATCTGCCTCTACCAGCCTTCAGAATGAGATGGCATCAATGGGGAGGAAGTAATGCCACTGGAAATGAAAGTGAGGAAAGCCATTTGATTGTAGCCTTGATTTCAGTAAAATACCCCTTACCTGGAGCCCACGACAGGGAGTAGATGACACCCTCGTTCCCCGGGGAAGTGTGGACTGCCGTCAGCGTGTTCACATCCCAGACTTTGATGGTGCCATCAAACGAGGCGGTGGCCAAGAGACTCGGGTCAGCAGGCTTAAATTTGCAATCAAAGATGGTTTCCACGTGTCCCTAGAATGCAGCAGGCAAAGTCACAACCACAGAGGGAAATCCATGTTCTTAGTAAGCAAACCATAATGTATGATCAAGTTGAACCATGTATTATGGCTCCCAAATACGAATGCAAATATATAAAGGCAAGCAAAACCACAAAATCTGAACCACTGCTGTGGCTGAAAGATCTCTGTGCTGTTATTACTGTACAAATTGGCGTCGATGTAGATTTTATTCAACCTCAGTTCCTTCAATCAGCAACTAAATACAACTATGTTCAAAATCTAACTTTCAACTTCAATGCATACATTTTCTCATGATTTATCAACTACAGAATACGATGCTAGAAACTTATAACACAATTAACTATTAATAGTTATTATGTCATTCTGGTAGTATAATAAGAGACCTAGATAAAACAGAAACTAAAGGTCCTTTAATGCAAATATTCTTTTTTTTGATACTCCCAAAAAATGTCACAATTTTAACAGAAAGAACCATTGGCATGGTCTCAATTTTAAAGAGTCTTGTTCCAAAATTTTCTGGCAAGTTTATTCTTTGGGACTCGTGACGCTTGCTCCCACTGCATGATGATTTGGTTCCCAAACATCCCACAAACTGAGACATGGGATATACAGGGATACGCGGACATTTACCCGTGAAGTGGAAACGAATCACTTTGCGCCTGTGGGAGAAGCTGGTAAGAATCTAAGGTAAGGAGCCAGAGGTACCGTGTGCCGTCTCCCTCAAACTGGAACACGAGGACTGAAACTCCTCCCAGCAGCACAAACTGCATCATGCTAGGCCCTGGGAGAGGGTTCACACGGTGACAAGGCTCCCTGCTCCAACCCCTGTGCTAGAGGTACAGAGGCACCTTCCAGGCCCTGTACCCTCTGAGACACCGGAAGCGCCGCCCACAGAAAGCCACACTGGGCTGCGAGGGCTCCTCTCGGGAGGGGAGAGGAAGCTGTCCTCAGTTGGCATGGGCGGGGGGCTGGTTCAGCCACAGGGTCACCCAGCTGGAGCTGGTCCAGTCCTCACGTCTGATGCTGTGAACACACTACGGCAGGGCCTTGCCTGTCTGTGCATTTTTCAATGCTAGTTCGTGGCTACACTTCCAGATTTTATTTTTGAAATTTGAAAAACCACACAGCAAGCACTAAATTGTGAATATTTCTCCTTCATCTTCTTATCAGGAGGAATGCAGGGATGAAGGGACAATTTTGAAGCATTTTTCTTCATCTTAATCAAGCAGCTATTCATATGGAAGTACACCTTTTAGAAAGTACATGAATAGGGTTTTTCTTATCCCATGCAATTGGAATCTTTGGAGATGCTTTATGCATTACAACATCAGAGTCAGATGTTTCTTCTGGTAACATTCCTAGTCATCTCAATTTTGGGCCTATGTAAGGAACGAGAAAAATTACAAGGAAAAAACTCCCTGTCTCTTCTGACTGGCAGGCACTTTGAAAGGCAGAAGAGTCACTGAAATAATGTATAATCAAGGGCTGTTTTAGTTTTTATTGAAGTATGAATTTAACATAGTTTTTAAAATAAAACATACTTTAATATGAGGATATATACTCAATAGACACTCTACTGAACTCAGATTGTGTTAACTTCTTTACCAATGTAAATTTTAATGTACTTGTTTTTCTCCCTTTCTTTTTCTAATTCTTTTTAAAGTAAGTAGTAATTTGAAATAGACAAAAAGTTTACCATACTGGGAAAGCATTTACAAAAGGAATATTTTTAAATAGCTACACACTGTTAAAAATATTTTTGTTAATGTTCAATATTTTTATTTGAGGATAAAATTAAATTAGTCCTGAAATGATAGTATTATTGATTTTTTTCCCTATTTTATTTTTATAAGGGCAATTATAGCTCTAGACTCCCAAGCTTTTCCATGAAAAAACATTGAACATTTAAAAGTTTCTTAAATATCTAGATTAGTATAATTCAAGCCTGTAGAAAAAACAGGCAATTTTATAAACTCTAAATGAGGGGAAATTAAGGATTATTACTGTCAAATATTAATTACAACACAATATACATTACTACATGCATGCTTTCATTAAAACTTAATAAAGACTTGCTGTGTACCAGGCACTATTTTACGAAGTAGAGACAAAGCATGGAACAAAACCAAACAAAAATGTGAGTCCTCAGCAAGGTTTTATTCTACCGTATTAAGGCTTAATGATCGTAAGAACGAACGTTGATAGAATCATAGCATTATTCTAATGATTTAGTAATAGAAATAAATCTTAAAACCTCTTACTCCAACCTTGCTCACTTACAGATGAGAGCAACAAAGCTGGAGGAACTGACAGAAATGGACTGTTCTTCCTTCTAAAGAGTGTTCTGTTTCTCAGTTTGCTTCCCAAATACGGTGCAGCGATGGAACTTTCCCATACGATCTGAAGGGCTGGCGTGGCCCACATGAACATGGGAACCCTGCCGACCACGCAGAATAATCACGCTAAGGTAGCATTCGCGCTTCTCAGAGTTGAATGTTTAAAGTTGAAAGATTTTTACTGGTTTTGTCTTCATTCTATACATTATTCTAAAATGTTTTAGCCAACCAAGATAAAGTCCTAACATACGTTTGCAAAAATATGTTAACGATACTAATCGGTAAGTAAAAGTAAACACTGTGAGCCTCGCAAAACGAAGGGCCGTGTATGAAAGAAGAGACGCGCGCAGACTTGCCATGTCCCTGAGGAAATCCCACGTCCGGGCCCCCAGGTCGTAGAGGCCGACGCCCCCGTCCAGGAAGCAGCACAGGGCGTGGCCCGGGGGCAGCGAGAAGGCCTGGGTCCGAGTCAGCGCCGGCGGGGGCACCGCCTCGCTCGTGGAGGACGTGTAGTGGTTTTTGGTTGGAGGCTGGATTAAGACTAAAAAAGAAAAAAAAGTCAGCAGGGAAACAGGCATGGCAACAGCTTGCTTCCCATAGGCTGGGGTGAAACCACCTGTCTTAATTTATAAACTAATTTATAAATCATGTATAATTGATACACACGTAATTTTTACGTGTATGTGTATACATAGGTATACATATGTATACACTATATGTAATTTAGAAATTTATAAACGAACAAATAAATTAATTAATAAAGAAAGAAAAGCCCTTTGTTTTCTTTTACCCAGAAATGATCACATTTTCTGCGACACGAGTACTTTCGCAGCTTTGCCAAAATAGAGGGTGGGGCAAAAGGAGGCCTACAGTTATTTGTATGGGAAAATAATGCAATAATTAATAAATATTAATACAAGAATAAACTCTGTGTTTCGTGTACTCCCAACTGTAAACCTACCTTTGCCTCACCCTGTATATACACATACACACAAAATTGGATATTATCTTGCATAGAAGTGTATAAAAGTGCAGGGGGAGGAAAATGGAGGACAATTAGTATGTGAGGAATCACAATATGTTGTGAATATTTGCTGTTTTATCTCCCTGTAAATTAAAGCACAGAATGATTATTTTTCAATTAGAATCTTCTCTCAAAATTGTGACATATTAGCTTATGTCCCCCTCTACATATACACATACATGTCCATGTGCATTTTTCTTTTAAAGCTCATAACTCTCTTCACTAAATGCCAATCCAATGAAAATAAATACTTTCGACATTATATGCGTCGCCCTAATTTAGCACCCAAACTAAGAACCCTAATTGTCGGACACGCATTTGCATCCCAATTTTCCTTTCTTCTCCCTCAGCTTTACTTCAGCTGTGCATATGCTTCCATTTCTCCAGCTTCCAGTTAAATAAGTGTCCTATGTTTACTTATTTTCTGGACATTATTTATCTCATATTGTGTCTTCTTGTAAGAAGTTTTTGCTGAAAACATGATTATTATTTTGCAAACATTATTCAACATAATGATACCACTCTAAATTACCAGACCAATCTATATTAATTACCTACTGGAATACAGATAAATACTGCCCAGGTATTCTCTGCTTTAGTATATTCCCTTTTTTATTCAGATGTAATACAGTCTCCCTTATTGCACCCATTTGGACAAGAATTCTGCTCAGAATCTGAGAATGACAGGAAGCCCTCGCTAGAAGGAACTGCCTACCAACAACAAAAGAGGCATTTGATTCAATGAAATTTTGTCAGCAATTTGGTGAAAATTAGTATGATCCATGACTTGGATTTCTAGTATTTTAATTTACTGACATTATGAGTGGTTTTGAACTCTTTTTGTACCTCTCTACCAGTAATTCATCTCTTTTTTTAAGAATTTGTAAGGCCTGTATTTAAAATCTTCACTTTCACATAATTTTTCTTATTCCATACTTTGTTACATTAAAAAAAATGGGGCAAAAGGCTAGACATCTGGAATGACTCAAAAATGACAAGATTGGTATCTGCTTCTGTATGTCTTATGGCTTTTCTCTAATGAGCATGGCCTACTTTTCTAAGAAGAAAAAAACATGAAAGAAGAAAATCTGTGCTACTGCAGTCACCTCACAGTAGGAATGTTCATAGCAACTGAGCAGAGAAACAAACAACTACAAAAGATTGCAGGAGATGTGAGCAATACGTCAGCCTCCCGAATATTAATTCCCAGCCCTGGTGTCTCCAGACCCCCAGGCTGCCACGATTTAGAAGGGTCACGGCACCGCACAGGAGCCGAAACGACGAGGCTCCCTGTTCCTCTCGCATGTTTATGGTCCAAGGCGACTAGTTTTTAAAATTTGGTTTTCAGTGGCGTATGGCATTTGACATGGACACCTCATTGGATCAGTCATTTTATTTGAAAGCAACACATACAATATTTTAACATGTTAAACTTTGTTGATACTTGCACTTACATTTTTTTCTTGGAGGAGAATTGAGTATATGTAAGCAGTGAAATCCTGTTTTCTTTAATTTAAAGTTATCAATAGGTGTGGTTTTTGAAACACTCCAAATGCGTAAAACGCCTACTTGAGAATCTAGTCAGGGAAAGAAGCGTTCTGTTAACAAATTTTATTTGAAATATAAAATGCCCAGACATGAAAGTAATGAAAGACTTCTACTTGTAAGACTTTCAGCACTATGAAACTGGCATTCTTCAAACAATAAGATTGCACAATAATACACTCAAACAAACAGCTAAAGTGTTACTCAGCCTTAACAGGTCTGGCACATTTTACTATTTTTTCCTGCTCCAAATCCTTCGTAGGGTGAGAAGCTGCCTTTTGTGGTGCTTTACCCACAAAGAGCATCGTGACAACTTGATCACAGAAGAGCACCCTGCTGACCTGCACCAGGTGACCTAGGAAGACCAGCCACTGGAAACGTCCCGCCCCGACATTGAACGATCTTTCCTTGCCAGAATGTTCCTAAGCTGCTCCCTTGCTAAACTGTGGCAAACAAGGGTGCCTAACAAACCTGGAGCTGTTGGAAAGGCCCCTCCCTTCCAGAAATTCTACCTTAACCAGCGGCTCGGAGAACAGTCGGCCCGTTCCTCAGAGGATTAACCACGGAGCCACCACGTGCGCCAGCACCCGCACCCCCAGATATCCCCAACAAAACTGGACACACGGCCACACAAAACCTGCCCACAAGTATTCCTGGCAGCGCTATGCATACGAGCAAAAAGCAGCCCTGAGTCCATCAACTGCTAAACAGATACGCGCTGGCATACCCACGCAGCGAAACGTGATTCACCCGTGGGTAGGAATGAATCACTCGTATGCCCAACGACATGGATGCCCCTTGAAAACTTCATGCTGAGTCAAAGAAGCCAGACAGAAATGCCAAATATTGAGTTATTTCATTTCTAGGAAATGCCAAAATCCAGAGACAGAACGTGGGTCAGCTGTCTATGCACACGCGTGTCTCCTGGGGGCTGTGGAGGGGGGGCGCAGGGAGAGGGGGGCGCTCCTAGTGGGTGCGGGCAGAACGCTCCGGAATCAGTCAGCGGCAACGCTCGTACACCTCTGTGACGACAGGAGCCGCCCAACCGTTCCCTTCCCAACGGTGAGTTTTACGGCACGTGAACTTTATCTCACAGTAGTAATAAGAGCTATATAAAAATTCCCATGTCTGTCATCAATTATATCACGTGAAATTAAAGGCAATTAAGATACGTAAGAATCTGTCTACTCCCATATTGTAATGTAAGTGTTTCAAGTGGTAAAAAAAAAAATTTCTGGTACCTTTGTTTTGTCAACCAGTTTACATTCGATACCATTCTGTACCGTTTTCCGACGGACAGCAATGTGGCTGGGGAGCCATGCGCTCTGGAGAGGGGTCCCCTGCCGCCCCGCGCGGCCACCCGGCCCCGTGCCCGCGGCCTCGGCGTCGCTGGCTCTGCGCCCCGCGCTGCGGTCGCAGCTCTGCGGCTGGTCCGCAGCGACCCGTTGGCACGGCTCAGCCCTTCGCCTCTTCCACCCAGCCCCCCGGCGGCCCCCTCCCCGGCGGTCGGTCTGTTCTCTGTATCTATGGCTCCGTTTCCCTTTTGTTTGTTTATTTTGTTCCTTAGATTCTGTGCATAAGAGAAATCACGTAGTATTTGCCTTTCTCTGAATGGCTTATTTCTCCAGGTCCCTCCACGCTGTCGCAGAAGGTAAGACCTCTTTCTCCTTTACGGCCAAGTAGCATTCCCTTGTGTGACTGTACCACAGCTTCTTCGTCCCCTCACCTACTGATGGGCATGTGGACTGGCTCCGCCTCTGGGCTGTCATAACTAACGCTGCCGAGAATCTCTTTTAAAACGTGAAGAGGACAAAGACCCTGCCTCTCATTTCACACTGAGCAAGTGTGGGATGCGCCCATCCAGCAGCTGATGGCACTGCCGCTCGAGAGACATCTTTCTGAACCTCAGTAAGGAGTAAATGCAGAGTCATTCAATTTCTAATCGCCACTTTAAATTCCCCATCTTCCCCTCCCACACAGCTGCTTGGCTTTGCTGACTCTCTCTTGGGTAGGCGCATCCTTCCAACCCGCGGCGATGCATTCCAGCCTGCCGGGGCCTAACTGCTCGCGGACATCAAAGTTACCAGTACGGCCGACAGGCCTCCTGTCCAGTAAACTCTTCTGCTCGGTCCCCTCCTCTCAGCCTGCTGCGCCTGAAACTGGCTCTGTCCTCTGTACACATACAAACACAGACGTGCACGCGTGTACGCACAGATATATTCCAACTTATTACCAGGCACCTGGACAACAGCACCTTAATTTCATTTTTATTTGTCATTATGGTAAAGATACACAGTGTAAATAAAAGTCAACTAGGCATTTATTATAACCGAGGATACCCTTTGTCCTGTTATTAAGTCTTACTCAAAATTAACCAATAAAAGAGTATAGTTTTCCTGACCGAATTACAGAACACACACAATTAACACACCGGAGACCAGGGGTGACATACCTCCCGTTACAAACATCCCGGGGGCACTGGGGACCCAGGCCAAGCAATGCACCGAAGCCGCCGCACTGGGACAGTTAAACGTCGTGATGCAGTAAAGCGATTCCGAGTCCACCAGCCGAATCCCATAATGCACATTGGCCACAAGGAGGTAATCAGTGGAGAGCGGGTCCCATTCCAGGGCTGTGACTGGATCCTCTTCATCTGGCCCTTCAAGACACTCAGGCCTCAGAACGTGCTTCTGACTTTTACTACCTGATAGCATACGAAGAAAGTGATTTTAAACAACGTCCTCCTAAAAGGACCAGTAATTGAGATGACACTGATTTTCTCCTTGCCCATCGCTGAGGCTCTCGGAGTCCTGGGAACAGAAAGCTGGCGGTTCCTGCAGAAGTTACTCAGTGACTGCAAATCAGAGCGTGTCCGCTTGAGGAAAGCCAGACCGCACTGCTTTGCTTGGGCAATCCTTAGGGTCTGGAATGCTGTCCCGATTTATTGCTGAAAAGCTCTAAGAAAAAGACCCGTGAATAACACACATGACATTGTCAGCAACCGCCGTTTCACTGCGTTACAACAGCGTAAGGACAGGGAAAAGCTAAACTGAAGGAAGAGCACCGTGCTGGGATTAAAACTACAGCGTCCGTGGGGACAGCCTGTGCCCCACTCTGCCTAGTTGCGCCACTTCACAGCTTCGTGTTCTTGAAGACACCTAATCTCTGCGTGCTCAGTTTTTATCTTTATAATGGAGAACATAACAATACTTACCATGTAGAATTCTTTTTTAAAGATTTTATTTATTATCCCGCCAAAGGGAGGAAGAGAGGGAGAGAAGCATCAACGTGTGGCTGCCTCTGGCGCGCCCCCTACTGGGGACCTGGCTGGCCACCCAGGCACGTGCCCTGGCTGGGAATGGGAGTGAGCATCCTTCGGTTCACGGGCCGGGCTCAATCCACTGAGCTACACCTGCCAGGGCAATTTTCTTTTTTAAGGATTAAATGTTAGTGGCTTAAACAGCTTAGAACTGCCAGGGCCCATTCTAAACCGCATTATCGATATTTACTTTCAGTCCTTTCTCATTCATCCCGCCATTTATCATAATCATAATTCACTCCTGACTCCCAGTTTGAGGAAGGCAGCCAAGAAAACAGGGAGATAAAACAAGTGCATTTAAATGAAGCCAAGGATCATCAAACAATCCTCTGCTCCTTCCAAATGGAACGCACAGCTGGCCACGGGGAAAAGCGCTTCCGCCGAGGTGCCACCAGGGGGCTCCAACTAGCAGGCCTTCTCTTCCTCAAGAGAAAGACAGGGAAACAAGCAAGTTTACAGACGTCACAGAAAGTGTCCATTTCTGCTGTGCGTTCTACACTTTAAAAGAAGTGTTTATTTAACAAAATAACATACTTGAAAGACACCATAGCTCTGCGTGCAATGTCATCGGTACACATTGTCTTTCGACCCATCAGATTAGAGCAGCATATTTCCTTCGGTCTATACAATATTGTAAAATGAATTGAAAAGCTTATAGCTTCTGCCTTGACATTAAACTCATCAGAATATAATATTATTTAAGCATAATGTTGATTTTATTTAGAATGTGTGCATATATAATCTCAGGAAGAGCAAGAGAGGTTTCTTTTACTTGGATTTGTCAGCTTTTTACAATAACTGTCAAGGAAATGAGTTTGCTTCTTCTTTCCCAAAACAAACATCTTTTAAATTGCTATGTGATATAACAAACAGTAATGAATATTAATATAGTGGACCGTTATAAGGCAAAAAGAGGCAGAAAAATGACTTAACCTAAGTTGTACTAGCTATTTCTTATGTCATTTTTAGGTATTTGCATATGCCAGTTAGTATCTGTGATTTACTAAAAATATTCCAGCATGTAAAAAAATAACAACAATACAAGACATGGTGAAATTTGCAATGCAAATGTTATAATATGTAAATCATGTTGCTGCAAAGCCTCACGCTTACAGTCAAAATGGTAACAAGTTATAGCCACCGTTTTCTGTTCCACCTGGTATTAACGTTTTTATTATAAAAGATGGAAAATGAAACTATGAAATTTAAAGCCAGTCATTAGAACAACAACTGATAATATTTTCACTTATATGTGTTATTTATTTTGCTATTATTTATATTCTATTTTATTATACAACTATCAGGCAACTTTGCATTGTCAGATAAGGAGTAAAGCACATAAGCTGATAAGAAGATGAGGCTGACAATTTCCGTATGAAAAACAAAAATGGGGGCACAGATAAACGGGGGCTGAAAAACAAAGTAATGAGGGTGATGTATAATCCAAAGAGCTGCTGAAATTCTGACTCGGAGGTGCAGTGGCTAAAGCAAAGAGGAAAGAAATCACGAAAGATTGCACAACAGGAAAAATAGAACAAAAACATGTACTCAGGAGAAGCACAACTTTTCTTAGAATTGAGATCAGAAATACATGCCTCCTATGTGCTTTTAAAAGGGGACACAATACTAAACAGAGACAACGTCACCAATAACATTTCTAAAAGAAAACAATGCGAATTTGATAAATACGCACCCCAGGGATAATACCAAAGTCAATTCAATTAAAATATTTCTGTTGTAGAGATAAAAAATAAATTCTCTGATGATCGGGCTTTATCGGAGAATATAACTTGAAAACTACCACTAAAGCAGTGGCGTTCAACATTTTTGGCCCTGGAACCCTGTATTCATGAGGATTTTTACGCCAACATCCAGAACACAACCCAGAATAAAGCGGTGTTTTCCGGGGGACGGGGAGCAGCCGGCGTGATCGCAGCTGGATCACGTGCTTCCCACGCCCGATACACACGCTGATATACAAACATCCTCAGAAGCTCACAACTTAAAAATCGCTGCTTTAAAATAACGGGCCCGCTGCCCTATTGCGGCAGTCCTCCGTGAAAACATTCCCTTTTTCTTCTTCCAAAGGAGATAAAAGTGGGCTTTTTAGACGTCATGTATTCCAGCTCTACGTCCTGATTCATTCAGGCCATTTTCTTAGCAAGTGTGCAGAAATAAAAAACTGACTTAAAAAAGTTAAAATACAGGACAAAAGACTGATCTGGGTTAAACCAAAGTAAAATCTGCATAGCTGAATTAAATGTATTACAACGTCTTATAAAGAAACTTACTTCACATGATTATTTGGAATCAGTGTGACACTGGATAATGTTTGCACAGCTATTATTTTAAAATTAAAATTCTGTTACCTTTGGCTTTATGCTGTGTGAACACGAAGTTACACACGCTAAGAAAAAGAAAACATAAGAGCTCCGGCGAATTCAACTCTTACCTGGTTGTAAGATCGATATGCTTCCGTCCATGTGACCAAAGACAACTTTCCCCCTTTTCTGGGTGTGCCACCTAAACACGGAGATGTCTGACAGGAAGCTGTGGGCGTCTCGGTGCACGGTCACCCCGCTCTCGGGCCCCGAAACGGCCCAGACGAACAGCGGGCCCCGGCGGGAGGTGAAGGCCACCGCGTTGCCCGCGTTCCAGCACCAGCTAAGGGAGGCAGGCGTCCCTGGAACCGACCCACACGGACACGTGACAGAGGGGCCCGGCAGCAGGCTGGCCATTACGTTACATTTGCACTGTGCATTTCGAGAACAAGAGTGTGTTTGTGATTAAAAAGCATAACCGTCTTACTTGGGAATTGGAAAAGAACACTATAAAAAATTTTGAACAAAGAAGGTGGTGAGATTGTCACTTCTTAATTTTCTACCTCAAAGTTACAATCATTATTTTTGAGGGAAGAAGCTGAATATGGAAAATGTACCCAGCAGTAGCTTTCAAAACCGTAATCAATAGTTGAACTACAACTGGTGCTCAAAAAGAGATTGTTTTATTGTGATATTTAATGCAGAATAATGATTACTTAACTTTACAATTACTACAGGGCATGGCTCTAGGTAGAAAGAATGTAGTGATCATTGTTAATCACTAAGACCCACAGTGTGAACTACGACTTTACATCTTGACCAAATTAAAAATAAAGGAGAGAAAACCAGTTCAGCAGGACACTAAAAATACATGTAATGCTGTCCTTGTATGTTTTGGATTGGAACAGAGTAATACATAGGCAAGGACAGTAGTCTCGTTAAGTAAACCTTATCTAAAGGTTGCAGGTTTGAATCCTGGTTGGGGCACATACAAGAAACAACCAATGAAAACATTAAATAATTTGAACAACGAAGCAATGTTTCTCTCTCTCTCAAATCAATAAATAAAAATTTTAAAAAGTAAAATCTTATCTAATTATTATTTTTATATTTATAGGGTGGGACAGAAGTAGCTTCATAGTTCTGAATACTAGAAAGTTTATTTTTGTATTATTATTTATTAATTATTTTCCAATCTGAGCAACTGTAAACCTACTTTTGCCCCACTCTGTATTTTTAAATTTTTTGTGTTATATTTAAACACTACCAAATCATTTGGTATTTACTATACTTTCAATCGACCAGTGTACTAGGTGTAATTACGCCATGACATTTTGTTTGAGTTTTGCACACATGCACACACCCAGTGAGTTCTGATGGAGACTGTGTTTCTTATATACGTCACTGTTAGAAAGTTTGACTACTTTAAAACCTGAGCTCACTGAAATAAAAATAGCCCATTCCATAAAATAAATCCCCGTTACAAACGTACCTTTCGTATTGTTGAGTTTAGCGACGACTTTTTGTTCCGCAACGTTCCAGACGATCACCGAGTTCTCAGCGCTGCTGCTTGCGAACAGGTCAGGGTTATGCGGACACCAGGAGATGGCTGTGATTGTCTTCTTGTGTTCAGACATAATCGAGTGAAGTTTAAATTCATTGTAACGGTGATCCAACTAAAAAAGACCCATCAGTAAAACATGTCAGTGCTTCTTCTTAGATCACACGTTTCCCATTAATCACATTACTTTTTAAAAGCTACCTACGTGAAAATTAGCACAGCTAAGAGCAGAATATGGACCCCTGTCAAGCCTTGCTCTACTTTCAGGCATAGTCCATCGACTGCAAAAAAGAACTATTTCTGAAAATATATGAGAGAATTTAAATTAAACATACCAATTTTAAAAACAAGTAAAAGTAAATGATATATATTTAAATATGCATAATAATTGAGTTTTATTATATTTTTCCATAGCCTTACCTATTTATGAGGAAAACACCCTTGGTCTCAAACTATTTTTTCGGCAAATTTTCACTTACGTTTGAATAAAAAATAATTTAGGTTAAATAAACCCGCGGTTCATGATGACGTTACTAAGGTGTCCAAAGGCTGCAGGGCGAGGGGTCCGTTTCAGGTGGCCCTTCTTTGGATGGGGCACTACACAGTGTTCTTACATGTAAGTGGACAGAAGGAATCACCTAATTTTCCTGTGTCCTTTGTAAATGCGCCATTCATGACGGGATGAGTTAATCTTTTTATCACCTGCAGCGTCTTCGGGATAGGCTGGCACTCCTCGCTTCGGCGCACCTGGCTCTCCCTCTAGCATGCAGTGCACTTGCCGCAGCGTCACAGAAGGTGTTTTCAGAGCGTATGCTGTGCACGGGTCGTTTACCATCCCCACCTTTGCTGGACCACCTGGCTGCAGTGAAACCCTAGCCGCTCACGTGGCCTTGCATGTCTGACATCGGGAGCCTCCGCTCACGGCCAGTGCCATGTGGTGTCCTGCTCTCCCCGGTCCCCTCTGACCTTGCTTCGCCAACACAGCGAAACCGCTCCTGCCTCAGGGCCACGGCCGCCGGTCCCTGGGCCGCGGGGGCTCTCCCCACGCACCGGGCTCCGCTGCTCCTTCGCTGCTCAGGCCGCAGTTCAGAAACACCTCTTTAGAGACATGTCTTCCGACCACGGTATCTGTTCATACCCCTACCGGAAACTAACCCATGACTTTCTATAGATACAGAGTTCACATTTAACATTGTGTTCCTTTCAGGTATAGGGTGTAATGATTTGATAGCTGACTATGTTGCAAAATGATAAACGCAGTAAGTTTAGTCAGCATGGGGGAAATGTAGGTTAAGAGTTTTGAGTACATGACACACAGAGTTTATTCTTATATTGTATTTATTAATTATCATAATGTTTTTCCATAAGAAACACTATAGACCTACTTTTGCCCAATCCTACATTCCTTCAAAAAGTAATTATAATAGCTTATACTTACTTATACTTAGAGCATATTTGTCAAAGCACTTCCGTTTATACGAGTGCCTCTACAACTTATGAATAAAAATGTACTATGATTAATGCCACCCTTTCATAATGTACTTTCCTACTTGCATGCTTTGGAGCCAGGGTTCACAGTGGACTCTGCAGCGAACTGTCATCTGGGTTTATCTGTATTCACTTCTACATCGGGGTAATTTTCTGATCGTGTCGGTCTTTAGGACACATAAACTTATTTGATAGTGTGTCTATTAATAATTTCAGCAAAATCTTTCTAAATAGTCAAGTCATAAAATGTCATCATAAAAGTTAAGACACACGCGAGCATAGAGAAAAGATTTACGTCCTGCCTTCACCTCCTCTCTGCCCTCTCCCTCGCTCCTCAGAGGAATAGTTGGCTTTGCCTGGTAAGTTTTTCTCTGAGAGAAAATGAAACAAGAAGACAGGGACTTAAGACTAAGGGAGAAATTTGGCTCTCAGCTTTCGGCTAGGAGGCGGCGAAGGAGCAGCTTTCGTCGGCCGTCCCAAGTCCAGGTGCATCCGACACCAGCCGTCTCCACGGTGCCACCGAAGCCCGGCCCCAACGCGGTCAGAGCCGTACACCGGACGCGCCCCTGCGGGAAGCCGGTGCCACGTCTGCCCCGGCCCCCTGGGCCTGGAGCCAAAAAGGGGTGGTGATGACATCGCCAAAGCAACGGGGACTGGAAGGGCCTGAGGACGGCGGTGAAACGGGCCATGCGGAACAGACAGGCCCAGACGGAGGCAGCGCCTCCCGCGTCTGCCCGGGCCATCAAAGGCCTCCAAAAGCCACCACAAGGCAGAAAGCAGCAAGAAAACAGTAAGCACAGCGAGCCTCTGCCACTGTGGGCGGGACTGCCCACGTTGCCCGACAGAGGCAGCGCCAGTCGGCAGCTAGAGAACTCTCTGGAACCGTTACAGAGCTCCTGGGGACTGACTGCCCAGGCCGCCGGCGGCCGCGTTGACGGCCGCCACCCCCACGATGTCCGCAGTGGGGCAGCGGGTGCCTGGCTAGTTAGGAGCAACAAAGGGAAATATTTCAATTAAAGATCGTTTGGCAACAAACACAGCAGCAGCAGCAACAACAAAAAAGACTAAGGGAGGAGGTTAGTGGAAGGAACTCAGGGATGGGAAGCTTGGGAGGAGGAGCAGAGTGTAAAGCAGACGGACAAAGGGCAGCGCCTGGCGGGCTCGCTGCTGGCTTTGGGGCGGGGCGGGGGAAGGGAAAAGACGTGGGTGACCCTGGCGTTGCGTCTTGATTACGGGGCATTTCCACACCCTGGAGGAATGAACCATGGTACGTATAATCTTACTCTGCAGTGTGGAGAATTAATTAGCTTATAGATTAACACTATTATTCCTAAAATTTTCAATAAACGACAACACTATGAGTAATGAAAGGGAATATTACTTCAGAATAAAGCAATATTGTTTTTCACTCTTAGATGAAATGAGTTGGTGCTTCAAGATTAAAAAAAAAAAAATCACTGAAGAATCATCTGTGGCGTCTTTACGGAAGCCGCAGAGTGCAAGGACTGGCGCCCTGGGCCCGAGGGGGACCCCAGGCGGACCCGCAGGTGAGCGGGAGCGTGGAGAGTCAGTCCTTTGCCGTCGCTGATGGGGCGGAGGGAAGAGCAGAATATGGAACAGAGCTCCTACGGTTGAGCTGAGACTGGAAAACGTTCTCCTGACAGGCAATGTGGGCCCACGGAAAAACTCACATAAGCAAAGGCTCGCCCGGAAAGAGTCTGAGATGTTTTGGAAAATGCAATTATCTTGGTATGTCTGGAACTTAAGGTGAGAGGGAGCCAGAGGCAGGGAGATGGCAAAAGAATGTCATTCCATGAAGCTTGGATGTTAACATTAGGGAAGGAGGGGTAATGGAAGATTTAAAATTTTAGATTTGCATTGCAGACGACGGATTAGACACAGGTATACTTTAGAGGTAGTCAAAGTAGAGGCAAAGGGAACGTTAAGAGACTACTAGAAGAGTTTAGGAGAAAGACTTAAAGAAGATAAGAAAAGAGACACAATACTAGAATCACTCTTAGTTACACTCATAGGATGCGAGCAGAAGAGGAATCGAAGGTGCCCCTCAAATCTGTGGTTTAGATGGATGGTTCGCTGGTGGCACAGAAACAGCGCCCCCAGGAATAAGGAGAAGACTAGACTTCGATTTAATATGCGGACGGCACCTCTCTAAGGAGGGATTCAGGGGGCCATAGGCTCTAGAGGTTGGGAGCTCATAAGAGATGCGGCAGAGCTAAGACGTGAAAAAACGTAGTTATAAAGGTCTTTCTCTGAAAAATATCTCAGAAGTTATTATATCAGCATTATTTTTATAGGATGGTCTCCTATATACTATTAAATACTACTTGCTCATCATTCATAAATGGAACCTTCTGATTCTTGAAGAAAATCTTTTTGATGACTAGCACAGAAAGGAAAACAATTAAGATTTTGCTCATTAATACTACGATGTAAGCATTCTCTAAAAGCATGACTTCTAAAACTAATATAGTAATCTAAATAGCAACAAAATAAAAAGTATGTACCACTAAAACTACAGCATTAAGCTTTCCACATGAAAGGGATTTAAAAATAATTGCTCATTACACATGAACTGCCCTTGCCAAGGTTGAATTACCTGGTAAACATAGATGGCCAGCGTGGCGCAATAGGCAAACCTGTCTCCACCGGCGGCACACACGTCCTTGTTCCACGGCTGGCAGCCCGCGGCCAGCAGCCCCACCTGCCTGACCTGCGACATGTTTGCCTTGGAAGACAAATGGGGGGGGGGTACATCAGTTATTTACATTATCAAGTAAACGTCCTCTGCGTTGCTTTACATTCGTCACCCTCAATACTCATCTGTAGGCCCCGAAAAATGTTTCTCTTGCTACCATTAATCTCAGTCTGTACTTATTTGTACTTTCAAAGAATAGCAGTTTAAATCCGCAAACGTCTATAGACGCAAAGGCAGGTGGGTTAAAAACTAGGGAAGCCAGAGGGCGGAAGCCCCAGAGGTAGCTCGCTCTGGGCCGCCTGGCTCTGCCGGCCGCTCTGCCGGGTCGGAACAGAGCTACGCACGCTGTCTCTGATTACCGTTTGCAGAGTTAACCTCCTCCATCGCTTTACTCTTTTGAGGGGGGGCGGGAACTGAACATTTTTTATTTTCCATTGAATTTATTGGGGTGACACTAATACAATTATATAGGCTTCAGGGGTACGACTCTGTAATGTATCACCTGTGTGTTGTATTGTGCATTCACCACCCACGGTCGAGTCTCCTTCCCTCACCATTTCCCCCCCCACCCTCCCCTCCCTCCCCCCCACCCTCACCTTTCCCTCTGGTCATCACCCCACGGCTGTCTATGAGGATTTTTTGTTTTGCTTGGTTTTACTTTTTGTTTAATCCCTTCACTTCTTTCTACGCGTCTTTCTATTTCACGTGCCCCTTACAGACAGCACAGGCTCGGGGCTTGTTTTCTGCCCGGCTCTCGCAATCCCTGTCTCTCCCGGGTGCACGTCGACCGCGGGTGCTCCAGGTCGTCCCTGACACAGTCCGATGACTCTGTGCCATGTTCTACTATTTCGGTGTGTCGCTCTGCTCCTTGTTCCTGCGTTTGCCTTCACTGATTATTCTTCCTTTTGTGGTTTCGATGGAGCACTTTATAGGATTCATTTTTTCCTTAGCATTTCAATTACACCCCACTAAAAAAAAATTTCTAGTGGTTGTCCTAGACTTTCTTCTATACACTTGCAACTAATCCAAGTCTACTTCGAAATAACACCTTCTTGCTTCTCCAGCAGAGTCAGTACCTCGTAATAACAAAATACCCTTAATTCCTCCTTCCTCTCACCTCATCGCTGCCGCTCACTTCAGCTGTACATAAGTGTGCAGAACACATATATGCGTGTGTGTGTATGCATAAACGTGCACGATCAAACACACTGTTATTCTCACTTAAAAAAACTGGTATTTGTTAGATCAATTAAGAGTAAGGATAAAAATTTTTATTTTACCATCACTCCTTTGTTTATGTAGAACTGAGTTTCTGACCTGTATCCTTTTCCTTCTGAACTGGTAACATTTCTTGAAAACAGGTCTACTGGCAACAAATTGTTAAATTTTTGTTTGTGTGAGAAAGCCTGTGTTTCTCCTTTGCTTCCTCAGGATAATTTCACAGGGTACAAATATTCCTAGGGTGGTGTTTCGTTTCTCTCAACACTTCCAATATTTCATTTCACTCTCTTCTTGTTTACACCGTTTCTGAGAAGTCAGACCGGATTCTTATCCTTCCTCTTCTCTAAGTAGAGTGTTTATTTCCTTTGGCTTCCTTCTCCTTGTCTTTGATTTTCTGCAGGTTAGATATAATATCCCTAGATGGAGTTTCTTAGGCATTCACTCTGGTTGGTGTTCCTTTAGCTTCCTGGATCTGTAGTTTGGTGTCTGGTATTTTTGCAGGGGAGGGGGATTATAATTATTGTGATTTCAAGTATTGCTTCTGTTTGTCTCTTTCTTCTTCTTCTGTTATTTCTAGTATGTGCATGCTATACCGTTTATAGAGGTACCACAGTGTTTGGATGTTCGGTTATTTAGTTTTCCCTTTTTTTTCCCCCTTGCTTTGTTTTGGAAGTTTCTGTCGTCACATTCTCGAACCCAGAGATTCTCTCCTCGGTCGTGCCCCCGCCTGCTCATCGGCTCACTAAAGGCACCCTTCACTTCTGTCACAGTTGTGTTTCTGGTCCTTCCTTTTTAAAAAATTCTTTCTTACAACTTCCATCTCCCTACCTACATTACCCACCTGTTCTTGCATGCTGTCTATTAATCACAGTTCTTAATTTATAGTTCCACCGTTCCTGCTGTATCTCACTGTGGTTCTGATGCTTGTTCACCTCTTCAAACGGTGCCCTGTGCCGTTCACCAAGCCTTGCAACCTGGAGTTAAAGTCTTTGCAATCAGTATGAATTGTTACACAGCTGATGATCCTGCATTACTGAAAGCAGATGTTCATCTGAGGTCCATTTCAAAATACATCTTTGCATTTTAAATATTAATTCAATAAAATGTCACATAGGTAGTTAAGCAGATTTTTTAACTTCGGTGATTATAGAGTTCGCATACATGTTATAAAGATCCTTTATAGATCCTTTTTTATCTTTATGTTTTTTTTTTTTCCCCCTGTGAACAACCTAAGAAATTCCACGTCCGTTCTAAAGGTCTGTGGCTTCAGGACAGTCTTTCCAGCCCGGAAACCACACCCGCACTTTGGAGAGGAGGCAGTAGGCGGCGCAGGCCACTGCCGGAGGCGGCCAGGGCCCAGGGAGGCAGCCGGCACTTGTCACCTGCAGCCACCAGCCGTGAGTGGCAAGCAGCCTGGCAGCCGCGGCCCTGGCAAGACAGTGTTTTTATTTTTCTAACCTGCACACAACTTTTAGTTTCAATCACAGACACCACACACACACTGATAATTATAGCGAAGATGCTTTGCATCGCAAGTGTTTAAACTATTTTAAAAAGTGGTAAGTCTATTTTCATTACATTTGTATAATATGAGAGCTCGCTTTCGAAAATGCAAGGACAGTAAAGGAAATGATCATAATAGAAGTTGAAATATGACACTGTGGACAAAAAAAAACCGATAAAACTAAGCTAAAATCAAGTTCATAATGCATGTCTCTGGGTCTGTGGAAACATATATGTATGCCATATACATTAATTATATATCACTGTATAAAGGCCAATTTCGTGCTCTCAAGATCAAACTCACAACCGCCTGTGATTTTCCAACACTGCACGTCCAAGCTATAATTCTTAACTGAAAAATCTACCTATCTCTTTCTCTTTCTGCAAACATTTAACAAATAATCTACAGAAAAGTTTGCTTTGCTGAAATCTGATATACAGGGTATGTGTGCACGTACACATGGCCTGAAAAATAATAAGCTGGATTTTTAGAGAAAATTAAAGTCACATGTGTCCAATTTCATTACTCAGAAGAGAATCTTTCTTCCTCATCTAAGTCTGCAGAAGAACAAAACTTGAGCCAGAAGGAGCTCAAACTCATGAAGACAACGTGGTGATGTGCGGGTCACACCAGGTGTAGAGCAGCCCGTCGGGAAGTGTCTCGGAGCCGGGCTGTCGCTTCTCAAGGCCAATGGTATTAGCAAGGCGCACACGCGGGTTGTTACAGTGGGAGGGAGAACCGTGAAGCCTCGCGAGCCCACGAGCAGCCCCGAAGTCACTATAAAGAAGCCCACAGCTTTAGTAAAAAAGCATTTTTCTTAGAATCAGCCCCCTCTGCCCCCTAAATTAGACGATCATCCCTGGCGTGGGAGCGGCAAACGGACGGATGTTCCTTTCGCGCACACGTTTCTCTCCCTCTCTTGCTCCCTCCCTTCCTTCTCTTTAAAAAGAAATAGACAACATCTTTTTTAAAAGTAGCTTTAAAAAGACAGATCATTAAAAAGGAACTGAAACACTGGGAAAATATCTTCGATTAATGTGATGGGCATGGACACCTGGAGAAGCAAGGAAAAAGAAAACTCCGGCACTGCGACCCCTCAGTGGCACACACCCGCCAACGCCAACGGGCAAGTGTGGGCGAAACGACAGGAAGGGGTGCTGGCTCTTCCGTTCCGCTCGTTACGGAAAAAATTCCACAAGCTGCCTTCACTTAAATAATTTACAAGTCGTCCATTAAAAAGGCAGAAAGAGTGAAAGAGCAATCATACATGATGCTAAACTAAATCCATTCTGAGAAGGTGCATTTTTAAACAGTAGCTTTGTGCTGTTGCAATGATAGGCCAGAAGAGCTTTTCAAAATACTACGTAAAAGTTGCCATAGTAACAATGCAAATCTTTTTAAACATAATTAATTGCCTAGAAATTTATCAAATACAATATGGCACTCTTCTTCAGAAAAAACTTAAGATGTATTTTTATATACCTCTATTTCGTTAAATGTTTTTATTTATGTAAAATGACTGTTGAAATTATTGCTATTCTTATACATTAATCTCATGAGAAAGAATTCTAGTTTATAAATGGTGAGGCAAAAGTCGATTTGCAGTTCATATGGAAAATAATACAATAATTAAGAAATAATACAAGAACAAATTCTTTCGTGTAAACCTACTTTTGCCTACCCTTTATTTAAAGCCTAAAGACAATCTGAAAATACCATGAATTCATCTAAAACCAGGATAGAAAAAAATGCCTTTTATTCAATGTATAATTACAGTTATTTGTATATATTACCTGACCTCTGCTTTTAAATCTATCAAAACAGTATTTTTTTTGCACTCAGAATTTTGCAACGCAAAAATGTCCACAGTATAAATGACACAGTAATACAATTGCATGAGAAGTAAAACAGAAAAAAAAACACAGAAAACTGTAATTACAACATAAATATAGCTTACTCTTTGTAGTCCTTCATACCAATCATCTTGCTCAAACCAATTTGAAATGTAAGTCATCCAAGCCATAGAATGGTTCTATTTCTCAGCACCTGAAGTAACAACAATGTGTTTCAACCAAGCAGCTTTACCCAGCCTGCCTTGAGAAACGCTGTTCGGGACAAGAAGCTAGGTTTGCATACACATTTCAGCTGAAATATTTTTAATAATTTACAGATAGCCGTACCTGTAAAAATAATGCTAAACCAGAAAATGGAAACCTGCGTTCGACTAAGAAAAAATAAACAAACAATAATTATGTCATTGTTCAGTACCAGAGAAGGCTACATCATGTAGTTCATTCGGTCTTCCATTTTCTTTCTAAAAAACATCTTAGATTTAAGTTTTGAAAGTTTAGAAGGCACCAACATAGCAATAAGGAATCCGACAGGGAAAAAAAACCACCAAGAAGCAGAAAATCGGTTTCATTTCAACCTTAGGAGCTAGACATACAGCTAGAAGAAAGTTTCTAGACTAAAAACTGTTCAGTCCTGTACTGCTATTTGTTCCCAGCTTGGCTGAATATTATTAACCTTCATGTTTCCAAAAGTTTACAGACATCATTGAATGGAGTGCTAATACATTCAACAGAGAATCAAAATCACATGAATTTGATTTCATTTTAGTTTGACTCACTTCTAGGAGAATTTCCTAGCCATTCTCAATAAGAGATTTCTTGGTATACTGGGAGAATACGTGAACTTCAAAATATTCCCTTTAAAGTTTAGGTGCGTCACCCGACATGTAACAGGTTCCGAGTGATCTTACACCTCAGTCAAGACAAAAATGATGGTAGGAAAGGAGGGAGGGCGGGGGGCAAGGTGGGGAGCAAAAGAAAGCAATTTGAGTAATTTGAATATTTCATTTTTCATGCCCCCCAAAGCACGATAGCGTTTGTTCTGACGTAGATACCCTTGTGTGGCATGTGTCGCGGGAGCTCATGGAGCACAGCCTCATGGTTACTTGAAAAATGTAGCAAACGGAACAGAGCACTCGTCTTTGGACTTCCTCCTTTTTCTCTGGGAATGTTTTCTATACTATCCGCTTGCAGCCTGCCAGGGGCTGTTCCAGGATTGGAAGGTCCTCTTGCTTGTTTCCATCTTGGCGACTTCGCTGCACCAGGACCACGCTTTCTGCCCTGTCCTTGGAGCTCCCCAGAGCCCTTTGTCCCTAACTAAGTGCCCAGCATGTGGCTCTCCTGCTCTGCCTTACCCCTCTGCATTTGCCCCCACCCCATTGTTTCTCTTGTCCACTGTTTATCTTATTTCGAGCTACAACTCTGCGTCTGTGTCTGGCACCAACTCTTTTACCCCACCTTGACCTCACATCCGGCAGCCGCCGCACCCCTCCCCCCCACTGCCCTGACCTCACATCCGGCAGCCGCCGCACCCCTCCCCACCCACTGCCGTGACCTCACATCCGGCAGCCGCCACACCCCCCCCCGCCGTGACCTCACATCCGGCAGCCGCCGCACCCCCACTGCCTTGCCACCACTTCAGTGGTCCCCGTCTGGCTCCCAGCACACCCGGCCTACGTCACCCCTGTCAGGCTCCCAGACTGCATCCCGAACCACCTACCCACCGCTGGGGCCCTCGGCTCCTTCCCAGGGAGCCTGGGTGCGGACGTGTGTGAGGCCTAGCTGTCTCTCCTGAGGGGGGTCCCCTCCCACCGCTCCGAACGCCCCTCACTTCCTCCTGCAGCCCCGCTCCCCAGACTGGGATTATGCGCCAGGCAGGGCCCAGGATGCACACCCCAAGCCACCTTCAGTCTCGCCTCACCGTCCCCTGCAGCCCCCCGCCCCGCACTCGACTGCCAGGTCTTACCAAACCGCGTTGCACCATGGCCCTTCAAAGGCCCTTCTCTCCACCCGCCATGCCCCTGTTTTGGTGAAACCTCTTGTGTCTTGTATAAACGAATAAAAGAGCGTCCTTAACTCATCTCCCTACTTTCACGGCAATTCCTAAACGTGTTCTCTGCTGTCGTGGCTTTATGCCTTGAAGTTCCTAAATGTTTTGGCCTGAACTATCCTTCTCTTTCCTCTTTTTCTGTGAATAACAAGCTCTTTCAAGACGCAACTTTATCCCTCGTCTTTGAAGCCTTTCTCAGATGCACCACCAAATCCCTCATCTGTTTGCCCTTAAATTTGTACTGGTTTGCATTGGATAGTGATTGTCTGTGTAAATATGAGCGGCGAGGTCCCCAGGGCAAAGGACCACGCCTTCACCAGGTGTGTGCAGAAGATGCAAAGTGTCCGAGGAGGGAAGAGACACCCGTGTGCAGGGAGAGCCTGCCGAGCAGGGGCGTGTCACCGGAACCGGAGGTTCGCCGCCCTGGCACCTGGAAGGGGCCCGCGGAAGCAACCCAGGTGACGGTGACGCACTCACCAACCAGCGAAGTGGGGTCCCTCTTCAACTTCTTGGGGGGACGTGCCTACCAAATCATTTAAGAAATTGTTTTTAAAAAGGTAAACAAAAATGCAAACTTGAATTGGTCAAGTTATTGTGTAATCACCCCAGGCCCCAAGTATGGGTTTGCTATACCCTTGCAAGGCCAATGAAGTTGACATCAATACCTTGTTTATAGGGCACGCACGAAGTCTTACGCCTCATTTCCGGATCATTTTCCATGAGCACTCGTTACCATATTTGCAAGAATTTAGAAAAGCAAGCTATTTCCCATCATGTCATCTCTGTCTTACATAGAAGTGCCTCTTTCTCTTTTTTTTTTTAATTGCGCTGCTGGTATTTTGATGAACTCAGAGTCGACAGAACCTTGGTTCAGTTACTGTAAGAATCGCAGATGGTTTTGAACTCTCGCATCTGCTTCGCTGGATAGAATGGACTGGAGTGCAGAGCTGACACCCTAAACTGACCTCCGGCGGGGAAGCATGTCCCCACCACTTAGCAGTGACTGAGACGGGAAGGACAGAGTCACGGTGACACCTAGTCCTCGTCTTCCCCTATTAAGATTAGCAGTGCACAGCAATGACAACAATCGAAGGCTAAATGCCATCGTGACAAAGAAATCGAGATAAATAAAGCTAGATGTTTTGCAATGTCAGAAAGCTTACTGCCGGCACTGCTGTCCGAACGTGGCCTGCCCGTTCGTCCTGACCTTTTCTGTGACTCTCTGCGTCCGTACGTTTATTGTGACCTTGCCGGGGGAGGCTGTCCTTGCCTGTTGCTTCTGGACTTGCCACTCGACTTGTGTTGCCCAGTGGCACGTGGGCAGGAGTCCGAGTGTGCATGGCGCACAGCCGGCTTCGGTTCCCACCTGATGCCTCCCCCATCAGCGTGAGAGCAACATGCCGCGGCTGCCTGTCCGGTAGGACGGGGATGCCAGACATGGCAGTGGGGCGGCCGCAGGCTACTCCCCGACCTCCAGTGAGGCGCAGAGCCGTGCAGCTAAGCCTCACACTTTATTGGGATTTATTGTGAGCCTAATACCTGGTCCTTGTTGCATTCTGCTGAGATGTGGAGGGGTTTGTAACAATTATTTCGGCGACAACAGCGAACGGACACGTGGCCCCTGGTGACACTGAGAACCCCACTCCTGAGTCAGGCAGACACGCAGCTCCACGGACACTGGTCAGTCAGATCAGCAGCCTCCCTTTCCCCACACGAGGACACCGGGGTTTAGTGACTCTAAGGATTAAGCAGGACTTGGAGGGTTCGTAGTGTTGACGACAATCTATGTCCTCTAGCAGGAGAGTTATAGAAGATAGGATATTTTTGAAATTAAATATAGCAAGAGATATTTACTTATATCTGAGTTATCTCATTTTTTTTCAGTCTCTAACAATTAATCACTGAAAAATATTTAAGATGAGTCTTTTCACAAAAGGAAAACGTATCAGCACATCTCCCGCGACCCATTTGTGCAGCCGCAAGCCTCCCACTTTGTCACCCATCGGCCTTCTTAGGAACGCTTTCTAATTCTTGGTTGGGATGGTTAGAACTACCTGGGCACATGGCAGCGTTAAGCGAATAAAGCAAGTCCCTGCTCTCATTCGGAGAAGCTGGTCGTATCTGCCAGTCACCAACATCCTACCATAAATGTGGGAACTATTAATAAAATCAAAACAGTCCCTGGCCTAGAACTGAATGTACTTGAAGTTCCCTCGTTGTAATTTTATGTGAACCTATTTGTACCAGATCCTAAAATGTTTATTTCTGCTCTCTCGGCCTAAACTGGATAACGTTTCCGTGTGCTCATGCCTGTTTAAATCCCAAGCGTAGTGAAATGACATTTCGCCTGCTCTCTAACTCTTGGGCCTCGGCCATGCCTTCTTTGACTCTACATTTAGATTTCGTCTGTCCAGCTTCCCCTGATTTCTCAGACCAAGGGAGTGGCTTAATCCTCTGGAATTTTGGCATCTGCAGCCTATCCTTCCCCCTCCCCAACCCTTCCCCTTCAGGTATGTCTTCTTACCTATGGTCCTACCGGCGGTCACACTCTTAGTGAGCCCTGCCTCCCTCCTCATGGGACACAGCAATGATACTCACATTCGCCTTCCAACAAACCAGAGGAAACATGCAAAGCAAGCACAGGCCATTGCTTGTTCAATCCGACAGGCAGAATGAAGGCGGCAGAATGTACACCACGTCGCCCCAGGCACTCCCTTCCCCACACCTGCATCTGACCCGCCTAGAACCACGGCGGGTCGGGTTAGCGGACAGGACGGGGAGATTGGGATGCGGGAGTGTCCTCCTGCTGAAGGTGCCGCACAGGTTCACGCTCCTCGGGGATGGCCGGTCTGCTGCCTCTTACTGTGAAGAGATATTCTTCGGAGGAATCAAACTTAGTGGAAGCCAGCTGTCAAAAGCCTTGTGTGACCACAGTTTGGGGGGTTCCTGCACCCTACTTAGATTAAAACCCAACACTGAAATGTCAGAAGCAAGTCTGAGTCACAGAGCCGACGGTACAGCTTAGTAAGTGTGCCTCACATAGTCAGAACGATTCTTTATTTTTGAAAGCTTGTTACTTATAAGCCCCTGGCTTCCAGCACCGGCAGACAAGCACAACGCATG